CGTGTGTGATATATTGCACATGCCTTACATCTCCTAAAGCTAGAGAAGCATGCAGCCACCGAAAAGAGAGGCTTGATAGAACGCAAACGAAGATAACATTTCACAAGTTATAAAATGGCAATACAAGGTCGTACCTCAATCTGACTGAGGAACGCTTTTACATCCCCCATTGGGCAGAATCTTGTTCAGATGGAGCGATCAATCCACATAAACTAATAATATTATCAATCACTTCTGGGACTCGGCGGCTGTTCGAGGTTAGCAGCATGAACAGAACATTTGCCCCATCAATTGACTCCTCCTATAATTATCTCTTCTGACTATTGTGTTCAGTACTCTGATGTATCTCGCGGTGTCATAATATTAGTCCACTAGCAAACCTGTACAAGAATTTGAGCAAGTATTTCGCGATTTCTGTTTTTGGTGCCAATTATTTTTGAATGATTGTGTGAAGCAGGGAGTCGTAAAATACCGGTATTTTACGACTCCCTGGTGTGAAGCAAAACAAGCAATGTTATCTGTGACGTCATGCGATGTTTATTGTTTTTATGTGCAGAAAATCCTGCTTCCGGAAAATCTCCGGGGAAGCTTCAAAGCAGGATTTTCTTCTCAAGAAGGATAGGGCGGCCAACCTGCCAAGTAAAGTAGTTGCCACTACCAGAGCCTGTAAGTGCCTGGTCACTTGTCTCCTCAGTTACAGTATAATATTATCATAATTTGCGACCAATTATCTACCGATGCATGAGCTTCTAGTTCTACATGACTGTTACCACTACATGTACCAACTTTGAACAAGCAGGGACCCATGGCTACCTGTACCTGGCAATGACATTGTCAGTGGGTAAGTGACTAGTTATCTGTTCTTGTACACGACTGTAGTTTCATGAGTCTTTGACTGCATCATGCATAATAATTATTTATGCATGTCTGATTGACAGCTGGACACTGCCAAAAAGGTTTGACTCAGATCAGGCCAAGATAAACATGTGTAATACATCATACATGATCATGATGATTGTATACTACTAACTACTGTTCCTACTACTATACTACTGTATAATATTATGTAGATGGCCTGGTTTATTTGTACTCCACTGGTGGTGACCTGTGCTTTATAGCACTGCTTTGCTGGACTCGGCCTTGGGTACAGCACCACGGTTTCCCGTGCAACTATGGCGCGTACGGCAGGCGGCATTGCGCCAGGCACTGCACTCACTTAGCCAAACCTTATGATTCCACACTGCATTGGCCACTGCTGTACACAAACCCAAGAGTACGGGCAGCTATGGACAAATGCAAAATACAACAATATCGATGTACCGAATCAAACATGCTCGCAAGCACCCACGCATGTGCAAGAAGCCAGCTCATAACACATTCTCTCATGACACAGGTCAAATTGCTCAAGCGCCATCTCGGCCATAGCATACGCATACCGTGGAATCCAAGATAACAGCTATCAGCCAAAATAATATTGTCAATGTGACTGGAGCTATAAAAACATGAGCATGATTAAAAAAAGAGAGCATTGAAATTTGAAACTCTTCAATTATCTGTCCCCCGTGAATTCCGCGATTCCGCGGATTGCAGAATTTCCGCAGAATCCAGCAGTGTCTGCAGAGTTCAGAAAATCCCGCGGAATATCGCAGAAAAGAGAGAAAAACTGCTTTTTCTGGAGACTTTCGATATATTTCACAGCCAAACCAACCTGCTTGTGACTTTCGAAATCAACTTGCACCGTACATTTTGGAGCTTTCAATTTTTTTGGACGAGAATTTCGCATAATTTTGGTTCAGAATTGATAGGGACAACAAACTTCGGTGGGGTTGCGGAAATTCAATCTGTTTTTAACACTTTTTACGCTCATTTCCCTTGCAGAATTGCCACAGAATTTGGACGGATTTGCAGAATTAGCGCAGAATTTACTGTTTTCAGCCGCAGAATTCTGCACGGAATTTCTGATATTCTGCCGCAGAATTCACGGGGGACAGAATTATGTAGACTGAAGAGCTGATCCAGAAAAGATAGATTTGTTCCGTGCTAACCTATGATCAATGTGTATGACTGCATAGTTCTAGCCTCTGGCCGGGCCAGTAATATTGCACTGCATACTGCCCTCTCCTGACCAGGCCAGATGTAGGTGTAGGGTGATGTTAGAGAATAACAAAAAAAAACTGCTAGCACTATACAGATGTAGGCAAGTTATACATAAAGACGGAATTCCTAACAGTTTATAGCTGGGTCAGTTGAGAGCGCTATCCTTTTTTTCTGGTACCAAATCTCGGTTACGTGTCGCAAACTACAAGACGAAATTGAGACGAATTGAAAGGAAGAGAGACCAGCCGGAGCGAACAGAGTACGCAGGGCGGATCTGGACAAGACGAATCAGGTAGTGCTCCGAAGTCGTATCCGTTGTAGCCATGTGGCTTTGAGACAACAATCACAATACCCGCTGAGAAATGTGAGCAGTGGCAAGGGCGGTGCTGTGATCTATCAACCTAGTATGTCAGTCCATGCTCCCACCACTTCAGCAGAGTATTCACCTTCCACACTGACTTACGCTGAGTTGGGTGGTTCATCAGCAACCTCCACGCCAAGCATCTCTAATACGAACGAGTCCACCTGGACATTGGAGTGTTGCCGGTGCTGAATGATATAGTCCCTCGTCTCGGTGGTAATCGAGCGGACTGCGGAAAGGCGCAGCAGGATTTTCGAGAATCTCAGCTTCTGCTCCGGAAAGCGAGAGCGACAATACTCGTCAAGCGTCTCCATGCACTGCTCCTGCAACTGCTCAATTTTCTTTGCATCCAAAAGCTTGGGACAATCTAACAAGGCATACGGCACACATGCAAACACATACAGACACATACGCAGTTGCAGAAACACAAACCACACATGCCCGTGCACACACACACACCCACAACATACACAGAGACAGACGCACATACACATACGCAATAATTGTTCGTGGTCATCCCAGCTTGTCACCTCACTAGTGCGTACCCGGCTGATTTCTTTAAGCATGTCCACACACCCTCTCGACCAGGTCACTGACCCTGCCCACGTGTCTCTCTAGCAGGTACTGGACACACATGTCAAATACACAAATGAACATGCAGTATGTAGGTCGACATGTCGCCTGCAGCAGGTACACTGTTACACGTCAGTAGGATCAGTTACCATAAAAATTACAGTGTTTATGAGCACAGCCTAGCCGCTGGTGTCGGTCTCTACATGTACACTGTATCTCAGCGCGCACTTACCGGGATTGAACAATACTATCGCTTTCATCGACACAAGCTCCGCCATCTCCAGTCCCATTACCTTGCAGGGTGTTACAATCTCATCAATGAAGCGCCCGACAAGACGACAAATATCAGGGTTGCCTCTATCCCGATACAGCAGCTGACCGCTGCCGAGGATCAGTGTGTTCTCAAAAGGAGAAGCGCGGAATGCTAGCTGGAGCGTGAGCAGCTCATTCCACACACTCTTTAGGATGAGAGCCTAAAGAACAAACACACAGCAAAGTGCACCACTTGTTCATGGAATGAATCTAACACAGGCGCAGAAGGAAAGGGAAACGACAATAACAAGAAATGAGAGAGAGACAGACAGACAGAGAGAGAGAAACAGAGAGAGAGACAGACAGACAGAGACACAGAGAGAGAGACAGACAGACAGACAGAGACACAGAGAGAGAGAGACACACACACACACACAGACAGAGACAACAGAGAGAGAGAGGTGAAAGTACACGGCTCCACTACATCTCCAAACTCACTGCATAACACTTAGCGAAGCAAGAACCGGGATGTCACGTTGTAAAATCAGGGCCATACAAAAGAGGTACTTCGAAAAGTACAGGATTGGGCATGGAATGACGTCGGTACCCATCGCGGAATCGGAATGAGTGTAGCAAACAAACGCACTGGCATGCATTCGAGAATCTGGCAAAAGTTTTGCGCCACTCTGGTCGAATGTTTTGTTTTTGAGTAAGAACCATGTTCTAGATCCCGTTGTTTGCAGCCTTGCGAAGACTACTGCATGCCAGTCCTGGTAGTTGCTATTTGCTTCCGTAAGTTTCTGCATGTCCCTGACAGTCATGATGAAGGAGCGGCCAAGCACGGCGTAGATCAACGAGCGCCCGTAACTAGGGTGCCTGCAGGTGGCGTTTGGCCGCTACTTCATCATGCTATTCGACCTAGTATCAGTCACAGAAACGTCTCTAGCTCTCGTGTTTATTTGACAGAGACGAGGCACTGTTGTAAGAAAAAGTGAAGTGACAGGCTCGGTGCTTCTTTGGGTCACTTGTGCCATTATGGATAGTCGGGCTCAAAAAATAGTTCTGGCTTGCCTCCCTGTGTTTCTAGAGGCCCTGCTCGACGACGATGAAGATCTGAAGTGCGAGGGCATATTTCCAGTTCATCAACAATCCCGGGCGAACACTTTCCCGGGCAGCGAAGGGTCAATATACCACGAACAAGTAATAGTTACAGGGGCGTGCTCGGCCCCCCAACTAGGGGGGTGCACGGGAGCCGAGGGGAGCCCCCCCCGGCAGTTTTCTGCAATTTGTTTGCAACCTTTCTTGAATTTTAGAGCATATTTGCATACATTACAATTGCAATTACCCAGATTGAAAAGTTTTGGGGGGTGCACGTGCCCCCCGTGCCCATCGCCGAGCACGCGCCTGAGTTACTATGCCGAGGTTACAGTACCAGCCTATACCATGTATACCCTGGACGATGTCCGCCAACATTTCTGTATATCGATAATAATGTTTGGAGTTTTGTTGGGGAGGTATGCAGCAGCGACGAAGCCCCTCCGCGCATTTTCATTCCACTCGGAATGAGACCTCATTCCATTTTTTCTTAGGAATCGCCAGAATCGATTCTGCCCCCTTCATTCCGCGACCGGAATCGAAATTGCACCTAACAAACGCTGTCGAGTGCATCAAACAAACGCTCCGGAACCAAAACACGGCGGAATGGCTTTGGAATGGTGGCGGAATGGCACCGAACAAACGCAACCTTAGTACATTATGATTTCCCCCCCCCCCCCTCCCCCCCTCGACTGGTTGAACTTATGCACTAGGGTCGGACTCGAACTTGCTACACACCCTGCAATAATGAGCCAGCGGCCATGAAACTTCCTCATTTCACAAGTCACGGAACTCTTTCTATTTTGGTGAGAGCACCCCGGCAGACGAGCAGAATAGCTGCATGCATGGCTATCTCTCAGCACTATACAGTTGATAGCCACTGCTCATGAAACAGTTCAACTAAAACTACAAGTACATCAGTGGTACATGGTACGTGCAGCACTGTCAGTCACTGATAGAAGACGAGTACAGTTGACAATCCATACCTGATCATCCACGTGCAGAGAACTAAATGCTGGGACATTCTTTGCCCATGCAATGGAAAGGAACAGCTGGTCTTTTGTGGTGGCCACGATGTCACCGAAGTCGGCCGGGGTGGTAATGGGCGTCTTGGTCTCCTTGTCGTCCTCCCATGCCCTCTCCGCGTCGAGCAGCGCAGGAAGAGTCAGCTGTGCGGTAGCGCTGCCCAGACCATCAGTAGGACTTCTCGACAGCAGGGTGGTGATATTCTTGGAGCCAGCCGGCACCGAGGCAGCCATACCCCAGGAGGACACGGGCGAGGCGGCGACTACCGACCCGGCTACTTGCTGTACCGAGGATACCGGAGAACCGATTGGCGAATCGTCCTCCTTGCGAGAACCGCATACTTTGCCCGTTGCAGGATTGCGCTCTTCTTGAACAGCTGGGGAGAAAACACAGATGACATTGGCAGCGAAATTCAAACGCCTACAGTTTGTGTGTGTTTGTGTACTTCCTAGGCTTCTCCAGTCGAGCACCCAAGCATACAAGTGCCTTCACACGTGTGAGAGTAGAGTGGGTGTCTGTCTGCCCATGATGGTTGTGCACCGGCATCCATGCTTTGTCCGAACATTATACCTCTACTTGTGCTAGTGTTGTGCGAGTACCGTAAAGTCGCGGATAAAAGCCGGGTTTGCATACAAGCACATCGCGGATAGAAGCCTGAAGATCAAACGGGTCAAATGCATATAAGCCTGTCGCGCGTAGAAGCCTGGCTTCTATGCAAGCGCGGATCGGGTACGTGAAGAGTGCATGCGGTATGTACGGTGCATAGTAAAACTGCCGCCATACCGGTAGTCAGTGGTAGATATACGCGTGTCGCGCGTAGAAGCGTGCATACAAGCCTGGCAAAAATATCAGTGCTGCATATAAGCATGGTTTGAATACAAGCATGGTTTGAATACAAGCATGGTTTGAATACAAGCATGGTTTGCATTAAAGCCTGAGGCAGAAAGCGGCTTATATGCTTATAGGCCCGGCTTTTATCCGCGACTTTACGGTACTCGTACATAACATTAGTATGCATATAACTGTCAGCAGCTTAGCTTACCATCTGGCTGCATGCCAACACGTAAACACTTCTGATAGCGGCAGTATTGGCACTTGTTTCTAGATTGCTTGGCGACGTGACAAACCCGATTGTACCGGCAGAAATACTGAGCAGAGTGGCGAACACTTCGTCGGAAGAAGGATTTGCATGCCTCGCACGTCAGAACGCCAAAGTGACGGCCAAGGGCTTCATCTGCACAAACCAAGCAAGCTCGTTCAGGCATGTGAGTTGATGCATTCGACCCCGGAAGAGAATTCGTGGCAGACGGCGCAGGCGATGGGGTAGTCCGTAACATATCCGTGGGCACAGCTTGCCCCATCGGCCTCCACTGGCCAGGTTGAGACAGCCTGCTGTTCGGATAATTTGAAGTAGAAAACATTCCAGTACCACCCATCGTCTGGTTGTGAAACGTATGAGGAGGCTGCTGATGCGGTTGTTGATGATGAAGAAGTGGCTGGTGCACTTGTTGTTGATGCTGCTGCGGCTGCCCCAATGCCATGTCCAGCTGCGCAGCAGCAGCAAACAGCGGATCGCCAACGTTAAATGGCCCCGAATTAGTACTGCCGGCATTGTTGATGCCACCTGCACCGAGTGCAGAGTAGTTCGTACTAGGGAATGGATTTATTGTTGATGGGAAGCCACCCGCCAGTTCGTTAACAGCGGAGCTAGTTACACCAGGCTGCAAGCCTTGTGCAGCAGCAGCTGGACTTGTGAGATCCACATCCAGAAAGCCTGGAAGGAAGGCTAGACAACACAAAGAGGTGCACACATACATGTATAACAAGTTAGATACTAATAAACATCACAGCCATCGATAATCACTTCGGTCCTACACTAGCAAGCAACATGCTCTGATATTGGACAGCACTGAAAACTGCCTACTGTTCGCTAAGTATGAGTGTTCGCGGGGGGTTTCAGGAAGAGTGTATCGCGCATATTAACTAGCGTGAAACCAAACTTCAACAGTGGGTATATGCGTGTGGCCACAGTGTTCCGCGAATATTTGCCATCGTAAACTCGCTGGCTCTGAGAAATCGCGAAAGTTTACTGACACTGATATCGGGCCCCCCGGGTTTACAGTACAGGTAAAACCTGCTCCAAAGACCACCTGGACTCAGCGACCACATGCTGTGGACGACCGTATTTGTCTGGCACCGTCCGTTTCACGTACATTCTGACTCGCATTCAGCGACCACTCGCTCGACGCGACCAGCGACCGGCTTACAACTGGTACCGATCGCCAGTTCAACGATCACTTCACGACTTCAGTACTCGATCTGAAAATCGTTTTCCGAAGTTTTGGCAGAACTGGCAGGGGCAAGGTTGGGCTTTTTTTGTACCTTACTTAGCTGTATGGTAGCTCGAATTCAAATAAACAACAACGTACAGCTTCTCTCTGGTTCTGGTTTCTTGTGCTGTCTCTCAGTGCCACCACATACATGTACATGTACTTGTACACTACAAGTAGTACAGTGCACTAGTGATGTACATGTACATGTATCAGTACATCACTCCCCCTGTTATGCACTTCACCAATGCACAGCTAGCATGCAGTGCGAGGATTCATTTGATACCAATATCACCATATAGGGAGATCACCTGCTTTGAAAGACCACCTGTTTATAAGACCACTTTGGGCTGGAACCATGCGTGGTCGCTGAAACCAGGTTTCACCTGTACTTGATTCACCACTCAGCACGGTACCGAGTGTTTCATTCGTGCTATGTATCCACCGTGCATTGCCCGCACATGAAAAATACCACCAAACTGGGCACAGAACTGACCCTGAGGAGCTGGAAGGTGGACAATGCTGAGAGGGTCGGAAGTAATACAAATGCAGGGCGTCAGACACACTACGGTCCAGGGTTCTAGCCAGGTCAAAGTAGTAGGGGGGGGGGGGGGGCATGGGAGACACAGTTACCCCGAAATCCATTTTTCATGTTCCAAAATTGTCTTGCCATGCAAAATGCCACGTACGGGGCAAACCCCCGAATTTACCCCCAGACAAATGTGCCCTTATGAACCCTTTAGGAGTGACTATCGACTGCATTTTCGTAAAATGGCCTGAAAACACAAAAATCGGAAAAAGAGTAGGTGGGAGGGGGGGGGGCACTTTTCCACATGGGGGCACGCAAACAGAGTATGGGGGGGGGGGGCAGCGCCCTCCTACCCCCCCCCCCCTTTGGCTAGAACCCTGACGGTCTTGACTTGGGCCGTATCACTATTTTGTCGCAGGTATCCGTGAATCAATCAAATGATTTGGGCTCTAAATCTTCAAATGTCTTCAGCAGAGACCCCCGCCCCCTACACCTCGGGTGTGGCTGACCGTACCACCCTGAAATATCTTACGACGCCCCTGATTAGTGGATGCCCGTCACGAAAGATCTACTCTGTACGCGTTTTGCAGCCTTGCACACAAGACCCCATGGCTGGGCCTGGTTGATTTTTCATTCCGATGCTTGTCTCATAGACTATTTCTCCAGCCTAGGGTTACATTACTTCTTACCGACAAATGACCTAGGCTACTGTGTATAGTAAAATCCTACAAAGGGTACGATTTCCCCTACAAATCTTGACTTGAACGTCTCATTGCTAGTTCTATTTGTAGTATTCATAGTCAATCTGGCTAACTAGCAGCAAGACAACCAGCTCCTTTTTAAGATTTTGCCTTACTGTAACATTGCATGGTCGTGTGATGCCCGTGACAAAAGTCTATGCCGAGTGCGAGCTATTTCAATGAGCATGTGCCGCGGGACTTTGCGTGAAAGTAAGTGCTCATGCGTGATATACATTGCACTCATGCAGACACACCGCAGAGTTCTATTTGCTTCAGACCTCGAACGGGTGGCGTTGCACTGGGTGTATGCTGTAGACCTGCATTCACTGCGCTTGCATGCGAGCCAAATTGTCTGTTTACTATGATGTGTTTATCTAACTTCTTTTGAATTTTCACGAGCGGGCCGCAGACTGGTAGACAGGGACTGGGTAAATGAGGCTGGCTGTAGCTGCAGTGTAGAGTACACGTTTTTCATACCAGTCTCCCAGGCAGTGCAGGCATGCAGAGCATCGAAAGAGCTGCAGGGATTTGATGGTGACTGCCAGCTGAGGGAACGCTGCGCCCCCCCCCCCCCCCCCCCCCCCCCCTCTCCCAATTTCATCCACCCCAACCATTCATTGGCCAAGCTGAATAAAGATGGCTACGCAGTCACGTCCTCGTGTAACGTTATGCAATATTCATATCAGCTAGCTAGCGACATGGGCCAACTCTTGCATGGGCTGGTCACATAATAGCCTCACCAGTGCCGCTGGCGTCGTTGGTGTAGTCTAAATACGACATAGCGATAGTTAGCGCGGCTCGTATGCACAGCAGCGAGAAAGTACTGTTCCTCATCAAACGTCCCTTCCGACGTAACGCAGACAAATCGCCCGTGCGCTATGGTGCGCACGTCTTGCACGAGGTCCAATGGCGAGCAGCCGCACTGCTTTGGATGATAATGGACCTGGATCGCGCTCAATTATGACCGAGTGCCAGCAACCAAACAGGTGTATTTTGAATATTTTTCCTAGTTACACGATCAGACGATGGTGCCTTCGAGTTCGACTTCAAGGTCACAATCATGACAAATCCAGTTTGCTACTAGCTAGGATAAATCGGTAATGTTGATTAGAAGAATACCAAACAATTACAAGTTAGTTTACAAAGGGACTCTCGGGATCTCTGGTACTGTGGTAGGAGGTCGACAATCCGACATAATACATGATGCCGACAAGCAAAACCTTCGTGAAGTAACGCAGTCAGTTTGTACCGGAATAACCATCAATAAGAGTGTGTACAAGCTAGCACAGACGTCAGTAGCAGCACCCATACGGCCATGCCATGGCACATACTGTGACATAGCATAGACAAGCAAGCCATGAATCAAGTGTTTCGCGCTTTACTTGTTTGCTACTCCACTACTGCTGCACTAGTCTGTGCGCCGTCCACCATGGTCCACATACTGATGACATAGATCTACTACACAGACTGAGTCAGTGAGTACAACGACAACTACAAGTTTAGAAAGTAATAATAATTATAAGTCAACAAGTCATACTGGAACTGGACAAAAATTAATAATGCACGCCCTCGGCCGCGCGCGCACTGGAGCTAGCCTTGCCTTGTTGCGGCACAGTCACTACTGTCATTACTAGACATTAGTCATCCTCGATCGGGAAACCAAGACCACTGAAGACAGCAAGAGTGTTGCTACTTTTTATAGAACTCACGAGGTGAAAACCAGAAAACGGTATGCAATCAAGCGGTTACTTGTTCGGAGCATTGCAAAGAAGATGAAGACTTTAGTTAGTACAGACTGTGAAACCTGTCTAAGACGACCGCTCAAGGGACCTTCAAAAATGTGGTCTCTATGGCGAGGTGGTCTCCTTATCCAGGGTCATTTGACTGGAAATAGCACCTCTTGGTCCTGGATTCAGTTGTCTTGTGGGACAGGTGTTCGCCTTATCCGAGTGGTCGCCTTGGCAAGTTTCACTGTATTCCTGTCTGATGTGCTACACGAGCGCACAGACGCCGGTGGTCATGGTGGTGCTCCTTCATCGGGGACATGTACATTCATGTAACCGTGAAGAGTAGCTTCCCTCTGAAGTGTAGGCACACACGACAACTAGTGCAACAGGTCTGGAGGACATTGATAAGTCAAGTCAGACTGCAGAAAGTTGTGACTAGATTGTGAGATGAAGAAGAAGGAAAGGACAGAGGCTTATAGGTTGAAGGCAGGCAGGCTCGTCTGTGTTCTAGGTGGGGTGAAATAGAGAAAGTCAGTTTTAGAGGTTAGTACTAGTAGCCCCGCCCCCGTGGTCGCCTCCGTTCACCAACATCAAAGACTGGGCCAAGGATTTTTTTCTCTCTCTCTCTCTCTCTCTCCTTGCTGCTGATTGTGCACAATGGTGCGTGGCACCCTACGATCGACCAGGATGGTTATGACTTATGGGTTACACAATCATACAATACAACTTAGTACTGACGAAGACGTAGAGTAGGCATGCGCATGAAGTCGTGTGTGGCTACACTACGCCAGAGCAGCAGGAAGCAATAGTAACTGTTGATATGCATGAGGTGGCGAAGAACCAGATCCGGTCGGGTGCCGGGTGGTAGCAGCTACATCAAGAGTACATAACCCTCTTGGCTACATGTATGCGGATGAGTGGAGTCCAAACGTAGAAAGCTCACTCTCGTATGTTGTGCAAAAGCAATGTTTGGAAGAGGAGAGTCGAGTACGAGTGTGAGCTGGGTCAAGAATGCTGTGCCTGCAATGCGTAGGCCATGCGAAGGTCTTGACTTTAGGCTCAAGAAGACAAGAGGTGCAGACCGGTATCGTCAACAACAGAGAGTACTAGTAGCTGTCGTTACTACTACTACTAGTCACTAGCAGTAGTCAAACGTATCTAGCAATGATGGCGAGGGGCGTGCTACACCTCAGTCAGTTCATGCCTGACGCAATCCTCGCCGCCAGGAGACAAGTGGGCAACATGTACGCGACTCTTGTTAGTCTTGCCTCTTGCTACATGTATATCCGGATATCCGGATCCAGAGAGTCGTACACACCACACACCAGGGAGTCCCACCAAAAAGTCGACTCCCTGGTACACACGTACACGCACATGCACAGACATGACAGCTACAAATTAATTACTTGTAGCTCACACCATTGCACACAGCTCAGGCTGATCTCAGGCTGATCAGTCAGGCTCCCACACGTACACGTAGATCTACGTACACATCAGGGAGTCGTAAAATACGACTCCCTGCCTGGTACACATCAGGGAGTTCCTGACTACATTTTTTTTTTTTGAACAGCATTGCAATGACACTCATGTACGGGCAAATAACACATTTTGTGAAGAATCAACACATAATAAAAACGAATCATCATTATACAGTATTTACAGAGTCTGTCACTCAGTAGGATCACTGCACTGTGCAGGTTCACTGGATGCGTGCCTCCGCCGCCACTAGCACAGCAGGGGACTCAGGCATGGCAGGAGCAAACATGCTCCTTGAGCCACGCAGGCACATAGCACCACAACGCACCAGGGCAAACCCAAGGCGGCAGCGCAGCAAGGAGATAACCTGCCCGTATGGCTCCGTACTCTTCTCAGCCAGGAGAGAGGCGATCCGCGTGAAAAGAGCATTGGCATGCTTGCCATAGCCACCAGAGGCAGAGAGCACAACGGGCACGAAGGAGGCATGCTCAACTTCACGTACTCGCTCCTCGTACTTCCGGCGCTTTTCCTGTTCATGGCGTCTGTAGCTAGCAGCGAGGGAGGTGGCACGATTCGAAGACGCAAAAGGGTTGAACACCCGTACATCAATAAAGATGCGCTCGAATCGGCCACCCCACACACCACTAGCCGCAACGTCCCTCACCTCGTTGTGTCGCAGCGTCGGGAAGCCACCAAACGGGCACGACAGGGCGTGACTCACATTCAGCGGCTTACTGCACACGCAGAGGCTTGGGAGCCGAGGAGGTGTCCAGCCGTACCGGAGGCACAGGCCATCCCGGAAATCTCCCTTTACACCAGGGAGTAGTAAAATACAAAGTATTTTACTACTCCCTGCTTTACACACATCCCACATCAGGGAGTCGTACTCAAACTAGTTTGAGTACGACTCCCTGGTACACATGCACAAAACATGTTATGTAGACATGACGTCATTACATTTCGTGTAAAAACCATGCGGGGCACTTCTAATTTTGTGGGAAAATCTGATTTGAAATTCCAACTTAGACCCAATACATACTTAGGTAGTTTTGTTTGTTCCATTGCGGCGTCAGGGAGGACGTTGTTTCGTATTATCCAATGGGTGCGGATCAACCCTTTGATGTGGACGTACAGAGCTCTCTTGCCGCCCTAGTCGTGTAAGTGTGCAATTTAATTTCTGAATGATTTGAAATTTTAACACAATTAGATTATAAGGGCATCATTGACAAAGAATGGGGAAGAAATCCTATCAAAATATAAGTATGCCGCTACAATCTTCATGCAAGGGCAAGATGGAGCGGATACGACAGCTTGATGTTTTAATATACTCAAATAAAGTGAAAAAGAACCCTTTTTTTGCATTAAATTTTAATATGGGCGATTCACACAACGTATGAATGCACGTAGCGCATTTGTGTACAATCAATCAGCCAGTCATGTAGAAGTGGACAAACGACCCAGCGGATTCTCACGTACGCAAGACTTAGGAAATCTTGCACACGGCAGTGGCTCGATAGAGAAAACTCGTGTACTTTTAAATTGGTTTTGATCGCGCGCAAAGCACACACATGTGGGCACTAGTCGGGCTCATGTCCAAGTTCAAAAATATTTGCTCGCGCTTCCCCGAACGAGTATAGTTATCTCTATGGATAAAGCGTGATACACATGAGTTTATATGTCATATGAATCGCCTTTAACGCACTCTCCACATACAGGCATGCACCCGGCTCAGAACACATTGTTTTCTGGCTGGCATATCAGGGATATTGGGCGGAGCAGCTGGCGTGCATGAGAAAGACAGGTCGGCCTGCTCTGCGCAGGAGCTGTGACCCGGTGCACACATAGTGTGTGTGTGTGAGAGAGAGAGAGAGAGAGACAGACAGGTCGGCCTGCTCTGCGCAGGAGCTGTGACCTGGAGCACACAGAGTGTGAACGAGAGACGGTCGGCCTGCCGTTGGCAGGAGCTGCGACCGGTAGTGATTGAAATGAGCCAGCTGCGGAGATACACTGCCCTCACCCGATATAAGTATATTGACAAGAGTTGTACTGACACTGTTATTGAGGAAATTATGGTGACAGTGACGGAGAGATAGTGATCCCCAGTCGAATGGGGTTGGGAGGGAAAGGGAAATTGACAACTGACGGACAAACCAGTGAACAGTCAAGTCGTCGGAAAGCAAAAGTGACAAAGGAGTCTCTCTTTTCTCCTTCTCTCTCTCTAAAGCAAGATTTGGAATGCACGCGTGGGAGAGTGGCGCGCGCTGCGCATGTATAGCAATGACATCATAATCAGATGCATGATCATCAGACTAAGTATGAGTGGTAGATGTTCCACGTTCGTTAACAGGGCTTAGCGCACACGCTAAACCACCATTAACGCACTCTCCACATACAGGCATGCACCCGGCTCAGAACACATTGTTTTCTGGTTGGCATATCAGGGATATTGGGCGGAGCAGCTGGCGTGCATGAGAAAGACAGGTCGGCCTGCTCTGCGCAGGAGCTGTGACCCGGTGCACACATAGTGTGTGTGAGAGAGAGAGAGACAGACAGGTCGGCCTGCTCTGCGCAGGAGCTGTGACCTGGAGCACACAGAGTGTGAACGAGAGACGGTCGGCCTGCCGTGGGCAGGAGCTGCGACCGGTAGTGATTGAAACGAGCCAGCTGCGGAGATAGACTGCCCGTTCCCAATATCCCCAATATGGCATGAGAGTAATAATGAAATACGACTGGTGTATTGTGCTGTACTGACAGCAGCAATGTAAAGCTAAAGCTAAGCAGTTCAGGCATGATGTGGTCACTAACCCGCAGCTACCATTGATGACTTTGAACTGCAGCTAATTGACGTGACACCCGCAGGGTGTCAGCTGTAGCAGCCCGGATGTAGCGGTGGACCGCATCACTGCGCCATCTACCCATGATACGGATGATGTGTTCGGGGACACCTGCCATGGCCGCTGATGTTGCGGCGCCAATCCGGAAAGAGTGACTGGCATATGCACTCGGGTCCGTGACCCCACAGAGTGGCAGCAGGTTGCGCAGTTCAGAGGACACTGCATTTCTTGTAAGCGGCTGGCCATTAGCATAAGTGAACAGATGGTCGCCGCCGGGGCGAAACGCCAGGTAGTTTGCCATGGCCTGCACTGGGCAGATCAGTGCGTCCGTGCTGGCTCCAACCAATACTGTGTGGCCCGTGCTGTTGGAGTCCGTCTTAGATGAGCGCACGTTTACCGATAACGACCGCTGGTCAGTACTGATCGTCACATCACATCGCCTCAGGCCAGCAGTCAGTTCTCCACAACGGAAGAACCCATGAAACGCCAAGGAAAAAGCTGCCCTTAGCATGGCCTTGTCGTGAGGGTGCCGCATGCGTGGAACGGCAACATGCCGGCAGATCTCCCTGAGAAGTGGAGTGGTTATCGGCAGACGATGACGCTGTGTCGATGACGACCTGTCGATGCCCCGCAGGACCCTAGCGAGGAGAGTTGTTGGGCCCGACGGGTAAGCAAAGCCAAGTTCCACATGAAGGTTGCGGATTGCCGACATGTAGACACGGACAGATCGAGGCTGAAGAGTCCTGAACAACTCGGCAGCAAAATAGCACAAAGTAAAGTCGTCGCCCGGCAATGGGTTGCAGGCAGGCACTTGGCAGAACTGGAAGTAGCGGGTCTCGGCGGTAGAATACGTCCGGCGGGAGGATGGTGCTATTGCCAGTGCTGCTAGCTGTAGCACGGAGTCTGTCAACGGAGAGTTGGCAAGACTGGCTGATCTGGCTCGGCTGCTGCTTCCGGGGCCTGGTACCTGAATACCTGCAGCAAATTGCGAGACAATGCATCGGCGACAGTGTTAGTGACACCAGGAATGTGGACAGCTGACACCAAGAAGTCATGCTCAATACACAGCAGATACAATGCCCGGATAAGTGTCATGACTGGCGGTGAACGGCAGGTACCGCAGCGTATACAGTCCACCACGGCCTTGTTGTCACACTGAAACTGAATGCGTCGCCTGCTCCACTCCGAACCCCAGGTCGCGCAGGCAACTATGATAGCATACATTTCTTTGAACTCAATGTTCTCGTTCTCGTTCTGGGCTGTCCACTCTCCTCTCAGCCATCGGCCGTTGTAGAAGGCACCATAACCGTGAGTGCCGCTGGCATCAGTCTGTAGTTGCATGTCGGGGGCTGGCGTCCACTCATCCACCAGGAAGAATGACTTCCCATTCCATATGGTCAGGGCCTCTGCCCACCACAACAGGTCTGCCATTGCCGATGCCGAAATGCGTAGCCATTGGTGCAATGGTGTTGATCGAGTTGCTCTGTCCAGGTCGTACAGGCGTCTCAGGAATGTGCGACCAGCTGGTACAGCTCTGGACGCGAACGAGAGTTTGCCCAATACGGAGGCGAGGTCGCGTTTCTGAACCCGGCCGGATTTGACGAGGGCCGACACGGTGGTAGATAGCTTAGTCAGCTTTGAGGGTGGAAGGCGGATCTCCAGAGCCATTGTGTCCAGCTCTAAGCCCAGGAAGGTGAGAACCGTAGAGGGGCCGTCAACCTTCTCAGGTGCAACTGGGACCTGTAAATATGCAAACAGGTCGAGCAGTAGTGACTTCTGGTGCTGGGCAAGAGGAGGACTGGGAGGCGATACATTCAGGAAGTCATCCAGATAATGAATGAGATGGGGAAGGCGGCATGTGTCCTCCAGAACCCAATGAAGGGCAGATGCAAACTTGTCAAATATGTACGGAGCTGACCGAAGGCCGAACGGGAGGACTTTTTCGAAATAGTAACGACCATCCCAAGAGATACCCAACAAGTGCCAGTCAGAGGGGGCAACAGGGCATAATCGGAAGGCGTTTCGAATGTCCACTTTGGTCAGGTAGCAACCACGGCCTAACTTCATGATATAGGAGATAGCCGAATCGACAGTGTCATACTCCAAGCTGAATGACTCCCGGGAAATACCATCATTGACACTGCGGCCAGTGGGGGAGGATAGGTCATGGATGAGGCGAAATTTGCCATTGGATTTTGGGATCAGGCCCAAACCCGAGGTTTGAAACAGCTGATATGGCGGCTCAGCAAACGGACCAGCTGTTTCCCCAGCATCGCAACAAGACTGTAGGTACAGGGTGACAAATTGTTTATCAGAGACTAGACGGATGATTGACAGATTGAATGCATGATACCAGAGGAGTGGTGTGACCAATCGAGAAGCCGTTAAACATGCCAGCACATACATAATCACGAAACAGGGCATCAGGGTGAGCAGCTAGCAGTGCAGTTAGCCGAGGCACGTTGACTGGAGTGACGACATCACTGGGAAGACTGAGAGGCCGCTCGGGTGCAAGTCTTCTTTGGGTGTTTGCCGCGGCATGACAGACAGACATGGGCCCGTATGCAGGACGGGTATGTGCAGGCGCCGTTGTTGTAATTCCGGCAGATCTGGCGGCCATCGTGACGAGGAGCTGGGCTGGTGGCTGACTGGCTCCCGCCTGCGTGCTGCGCAAGAGGGAGCCCTCCACGAAAGGGGCAATGCGGGGCTGGAGATGGGTGCACGAGAGAACAACGCGAGCAGATAGGGCGCCCGCGGCTCGTGAAGCAGGACTGCCAGAGGTTAGGGTCCAGTTGCCGCCAGGAATACAGGTGCGGCATGGCAGCAAGACCAGCACGGAAACGACGGTCATAGGTCAGCCACGCGTCGGTCAGATAATTGTTGTTGGCCTCGATGATGTTGGCTTGGTACGCCAGCAAATCTGGAGCTTGGTCCGGCGACGCATCGACCAGGACTCTGGTGAACAAGGTGAAGGCCTCTAACCACGTCGCCAAGTCATGGACTCGGCGCTTGGAGGGCTGGGGAGTGGACGAGCTCTGCACCAGCTCAACGGACCTGCCGTTCACCAACGACAACTGCAGGACATCACTACTGCCGGACATGGCTTCAGGCAACAAGTCCCCAAATTCGACAAACTCACCTCGTGTGATACGTTCCCGTAGCCGTGGAGGGATGACGGGGAGTCCTGGAGAGCCGGCTGCGCAAGCCAAGTGCATCGGGGAAGGCTGCCCCAGCGGGAGAGGAGCTGATGCTGGTGCTGGTGCGGCAATGGGCGAGGTGGTAGGGGATAGCAATGACATCATAATCAGATGCATGATCATCAGACTAAGTATGAGTGGTAGATGTTCCACGTTCGTTAACAGGGCTTAGCGCACACGCTAAACCACCAATAGACTAATAGAGGTTGGTTACAGCATCGGTTGAGATGCTTTGGAAAAGTAGCGACACAGCGATGCACTAGCTCAAGCAAAACCGCCGACTCATGCTGTATACTCAGCTCCCATAAGGGGTTCTGCTAGTTCACCACCATGACAGCACTTGCATAACCTCTATAAGCAGTCAATATTTTTGGTATGAGGGCAAAAGGCCAGGTTAGGTATACCGAAATTTTAGGTACAGAGAAGCAGTTCCCTATTGAATTATGTGTGTTAGTGTTTGTTCGGTTTATTGGAATTTTTAGGTATGAAATACCATAATTATATATGGGCAGATCTACCGAAAGTACCGAAAATAATAGTACACCGAAAATTTGTGAAATTACGGTAGTTGCCGGATGACGGCTCGGAGTAGCAACGATCTGTACTCGTAAACTAGACCGTTGTTCTGACTGGATGTGTACTTACAGTCTCGCACACCCATACACTCAAGCGCGCGTGCCCACGTACGTGTTTACTGGTTACAGTTTTATAGCAGGTGGCAGGTAGGCATAGTGAGGTGGTCTCAGACCGTGGTTGAGAAACAGAGGATACCAGGGCAAAGTCTTTGACCACTTGGCGGTGGGTCTGATCTACTCACCTCCCACCGCTTTAGGAGCTGCATCTGCGCCTTGAGGGCGGGGGCATTCCTACGGATGCGAACCGTGAATTTCTTTTTCTTTTCTTCCTACTGTCACAAAGTACTGTTGAGCCCCCCCCCTTCACACACATGCACACACTGTGTCGCTTCCAAGATCGCTTTGCAGCAAAATGTGTACTTCAAGTACGTTACTAGTAAATCAAGGCTGCCGAAATGCAGTAGAATAAACAACACAATCAAGTGTGGGCGGCCAGACTTGTCGCACTGGTTTGTGCTCAGTTCCATTCACTGGAATGCCGGCACTTGCATGTCCTACATACAGTAGTGCATGAGTCCGTTCGGCACTGTCTTTGGTATACACTGCAGTTGCTTGACAAGTAGACAATCTACTGTGGACTGAGAGTACAAGTGTGATTGAGATAGGTGTTGGCTTGTATGATCCACAATGTGTGGATAGTTATAAGATATTGCCAGACCATATCAATGCTGGCTGCCGGTCCTGCAATACGAGTACACACAGCCACAGGTTGCTTCATAAAGCCGAACCTTTTTTTACGATACATGCACCGGCCCGCACCTTTTTGCACACAATCAACCTCGGCCCTCTCAGTCAGGAAAATTTACTGATGCCGGCTTCATCTGTACTTTGAAGTACAATGCAAGGGCGTCAGAACCGCACCGGCCGTGGTTATCTCATGAGAGTGCTCTTTTACCAGTGGTCAAGAGCCCTGCGCTCCCGTACAGTAGAGTCGCATGCCCAAGAACGTTGTTTCCAAGGGGTTAGCCTGGGACGTTCTTATTTTTCATGAAATCTGGCTACGTTCTTATAGCACGTTCTTAGAAACAATCCGTACTGGATCATATGTATCCCACAAGATGCCAGAAAACTAACACCGCCGTTCTTAGCTTTAGGCTGTTGCGTTCTTAAAATTTCAGGCTGGACGTTCTTGGGCTCCACGTTCTTCAGCGTGCGACTCTACTGTACTGCACTACACTGTGCTGCAGTGCATCGTAGTTCGAACTCCCAATCAGAACAAACAAACTGGCATCAGGGAGTACTGAGCGTAACAATAACTTTGAAGTGTACTATGAGGTCTATTCCTTGTCACATATTGATTCAGGGGGGGACATTTTCTGTCGTCCAAGGAGTTGCACATGGAAGGCACACGATTGTATCAAACTCGTTTTCACATACTGAAACTAAAACGAAAGCTGGATAGTGAAATAACTCACAGCATCGGAGGCGTTTTCACCAAAGGAAGGCACACGATTGTATCAAACTAGTTTCCACATACTAAAACTAAAGCGGAAGCTGGATAGTGAATAACTCAATCTGAAGACCAGCTTCAGAGCTAAAATTGTGACAGTGCTGCACATGTATGCGTTCTACGCTTCTGTAGCAAATGCCTGTCAGGTGTCTCGAGTGCAGAGCTGCAAGTATGTATCAACTTTTAACTGGTACGCTACACTAGGCAGTAGCATTCTCTTCCAGTGCAGAATCATTCATGACAACGTTGCAGAGCAGGATATTGTGCTGCTAAGTGCTTTCATTGCCTGAGCGACTCTAGAAGGTGAGGATAATCTTGCCAATGTTCTTATTGGATGACATCCGGTCATGGGCAGCGGTGGCTTCGCCAATGCTAAATACACTGTCAACGATGGGCTTGACCTGGCCAGCAGCAAAGAGGGGCATGGCGTTCTGTTGAAACTCTGTCGCCAGCCGTGCCTTGTAAGGCAGCGAGCGACTACGTAGCGTGCTGCCAGTCAGCGTAACACGCTTGCGTAAGACAGTACCCATGTTCAGAGGCTCCGCAGTTTTAGGGCCACCCAGAAGGCCTAGCGAAACAATGCGCCCGTCCAGCGCAATACTACGCAGGTTTTTCTCCCAATAGGATCCGCCGACAAAGTCCATGATTACATCGACACCTCGGTTGCCTGTTGTTGCGAGAACTGCATCAGAAAAATCCGCTTCCTTGTAATTGATGGTGTGTGTGGCACCGAGTTTTGTGCACAAGTCGAGTTTTTCCTGTGATCCAGCTGTGGCGAAAATGGCAGATGAACCAGATAAGGATTTAGCCAATTGAATGGCAGCAGTACCCACTCCGCTACCAGCGGCGTGGATCATCACCGATTCACCCTGTGTCAGATTGCAACTGAAATAAAGACCACCATACGCCGTAAGAAACGCTTCTGGAATAGCAGCTCCGTCGACGAACGAAACCTCGTCGTTCAGTTTGATCGTAGTCTCGACAGGTGTGACGCAATACTCTGCGTATCCACCTCCACCAACCAGTGCACAGACTCTATCTCCAGGCTGAAACTGCGAACAGGAGGAATTTTCTCCAACTGATACGACGGTGCCAGATACTTCTACACCCAAGATCTTACTCTCTCCTGCGGGAACAGGGTACGTTCCCTTTCGCTGCATCAAATCCAGTCGATTCACACCAGAAGCTGAAACTTTGACAAGCAGCTGGCCTGCGCCAGGCGATGGAGTTGGAGCATCGTCTTCTACGCTCAGCGTTCCTTGATCATCATAGGCAACGTATTTCATACGTGACGGAAGAGACATGGTAAAGAAACGAGTAGACGCACGATTAGCAAAGGAGAAAGAAAGAGAAGACTTCCTCAACAGCCCAATCATTTTTGTCCCAGTAGCTTTGCCTTTGTAATTGTTTTGATTTTTGCTTATTTTGAAATAAATAATTTAATTGTTTTCTTTTGTGGTCATGGGGGCTTCGAAGTCTCTCGAGTCCGAAGCCGGCTTAGCTGAGCGACCGTGCCATACTGAGCTCAGCATGACTGTAATGATCAAGAGACAAGATTCCACACAAGAGACAAGCCTACAATAGCAGGGAGCGGGGAGTCAAATACAGACCAGTACCCGGTATTTGACGACTCCCTAATCTGAGCACATAGCCCCTATGTCTCAGGCCAAGGTCAATGCCCAAGCCTCAGGGTTATGTACTCTTGGTTACAGTGAGTACAGCTAGCTGTATTATTATTACCGTAAAGCACCGTTGATCCGCCCCCTCTCTAATTCCCGCCCCCTGTCGATTTTCTCCTTGTGAAGCGACTTCGGCGTATACAACGAAATACGATGTTGAACCGACGCATGCACTGCTGTACACAATACTTGCCAATCCAGGAAAATGTGCACGATCCAGCACATCGAGTCTGATCCTCTACGTTGTACATCGTACTGCACTTGACAGCCTTGATCTAATTCCCGCCCCCTGCCGAAAACCCAGGTGGGAAGCGACATGGCGTGGGGCGGGGAGATCAACGGTACTTCACGGTACATGTATCATCAGCCTTTTCGCGGTGACATCACCAAACAAGCTTGGCAAGTTTTCGCTTATGCCAAATGGAAGGAAGAATGAGGAACGAGCAGGGTCAATGAGGTGCTCATACGCATGCAACTGCAGAATAAGCAACACAGAAAATATCAAAACAGTCCTAAAAACACACAAACTGTCAACTATTTAGTCAACTATTCATACCCGTATAGTTATCATCATGAATGTGCACAGTGCCACTCATGCTATGGTCTGGATGTATCTACACATTCTTCTACATGTAGTCGAGTTACGTACAAGCAAAATATGCGTTGGACCGATTTTTGCGTACAGTATTATGTGCATGACAAAGAAACGTAGTAACACACATGTAGATGATGATATGGACAGTGCAAGGCCCAGACTTCAAAAAAGGCTGAGTTTTGAATCAGGAGCGGCAAGTTTAATACAGAGGAAAGCGAAGGAAATATTCCGACCATCAGTTCATGTGATTCATTGCATACCAACAAGATTCAAGCAGAACCCATTTTGTTCGTCTGCGCTTTGATCCCTAGGGGTGGTGGTGTTCCTAGGTATGCGGAAAAATCAATCTCACTTGGTCTCACGCGAACCTTTAATTTTTTCAATTAGTCATCCAGAGTAACCCTCAATCTCAGCATTATCTGCGCAGTGTGCCCACGCTGCACGGTATGCATGAGCTACACGTACAAGCATACTCAGAACCGTCTTGTGTTAATTAACATGATGTCTTACTATTGGTGATGCCATCCACCAGCAAGATTGTGCTTACGAAATAATACTAATGATTGAAGCATACATGCACATACATTTGTAGCTACTTATTAAAGTACAGCAATGTACAGTACAACAATGCTGTTCATGTCACTCCATGATCCACGTCACTGCTACATGGCATACATTAGCAGTGTAATTTACACAATGTCATGTACTTCCAACTGAGAATGACATTTTGCAACATGCATATGTATGCCGAATGTAGCATGTCTCGGTGACCAGCTAAAAAGTTGGTACTTGTACATGTACATGTGCTCTCAAAGATCTACATGTACTGAAGCATTGCTACATCATGGCTGCACATGTCATTGTACATGTAGCTTAGAGTGTAACTTTGGATGTTCATGTATGTCGGTTTTCTGCATTACTAACGAAAAGGCAAATTTTGCAACAAGGAAAGTGCAAGCAGCTGTACGATTTGGCTACCTTTTGCAGCACTAGCATATCCTGAGTTTATAATTATTCAAACTCCCCTCGCTGTCTTCATTCTCACTTGTCTTCCTCTCCCACGTTGTTTGTTTGGTATTTAGGTGTAAGAATGCGGAGGAACTGCGGCATTGTTGCTCCGAGGTGGAGGCCAATTTATCTAGAGCTGTCAAGGACCAGGGGAACTCCAGTGTAGTAAGGTTGATAGTTGATCTCTTGATACTGCCAGCTAGAGATGAAATGCAAGAGCAACTTGATAATAGTATGTGTACTTGCTTGATCATAATGTAGAAGGATTAAGCAAAGGTTGAGATGCAATGCAAGATCAACTTGATAATATCATGTGTATTTGCTATTCACTAGAGGGCATTTCAAGTTGGATAAGTTGCACCGTCTGCCCCAACATTTGTCACACTTACTCATATACGTGCTTATTGAGTCTGTTGTTGATTTTGTGGAAGTTTACCCTGATGGCATGTTAGTCAGGACTCATAGCACGCACAACAACTTTGTTTGTTTCTGTGTGTGTGCGTGCGTGCGTGCAGGAGAGCTCTTGCGCTGGTAAGGATGGCAGCAGTGATCATGCAGTCGTTGTGTCCATTGTCAACATGCTTCTGCACAGTCAAGACTTGCAGAGCAAGAAGCTCAAGCCAATAGTACAGGTAGGACATTGGTATCATACACACACACACATACACACACACACACACACACACACACACACACACACACACACACACACACACACACACACATACACACTCACACTCACACTCACACTCACACTCACACACACACACACACACACACACACACACATACACACACACACACACACACACACATACACACTCATACACACTCACACTCACACTCACACACACACACACACACACACACACACACACACACACACACACACACACACACACACACACACACACACACACACACACACACACACACACACACACACACACACACACACACACACACATACACACTCACACACACACACACACACACACACACACACACACACACACACACACACACACACACACACACACTACTACTACTACTACTATGATACAGCTACCCTAAACGGGTCACGCCGCCCTCCACCCAAGCATGAGCACTATGAGGGGCAGTGGCAAATAAAGAGAATCAGCTAGCAGAACTGGCAAAACAGATGAAACAATGGAGCAGAACGGACGACTGATGTACTGTAACAACAACCTGACAGCTACAGTGACAACGACTGAAAATGAACAGGAAAGAAAAAAAATTCAAAATTTCACGTCACGAAAAAACACTGTCCACGAAAGAATCTACCAAGCAAAAGGAGTGTGGGCATCCGAAATCCCACCAGGACTCCACTAGCAGTTCTTCCACGTTGACGATGTAAGCGGCAGGGCAATGCCTCACAAATCCGACAGACTTCCGCAACGCTTGACCAGTGCACTCATGACGACGAAAGATTGAAGTTTCAATTCCCACCATTCCGCCATTGCGACCTTCCTCTCCGCACTCGCTCGTCCACTCCACTGAAACAACGACTTGTTCCAGCACTCCACCAGCCAATCCGCAATTCCCACCACTGCATTCTTCGAGCTTGGATTCTTCACAGCACTCGAGGGATAGCTACTCCACTGCGAGTGGTGGACCACGGCCGACGCAGCAGTGACAATATCGAAGTAAATTGTCCTGCAAGCTACATCGCGATTCCGCGCTCCAATCATGCAGCACTACCTTGGCAGTGTGCGAGGGTGCTCCAGGGTCGACTCTGGCTATGCCAGAGTCGCCCTGGGCAGGCAGAAAAACTTTGGAGAAAGCCAAGAACACGGAGCTCAGAAAGTGTAACACACACACACACTCACACACACACACTCACACACACACACTCACACACACACACACACACACAGAGAGAGAGAGAGAGAGAGAGAGAGAGAGAGAGAGAGAGAGAGAGAGAGAGAGAGAGAGAGAGAGAGAGAGAGAGAGAGAGAGAGAGAGAGAGAGAGAGAGAGAGAGAGAGAGAGAGAGAGAGAGAGAGAGAGGGAGAGAGGGAGGGAGGGAGGGAGGGAGGGAGGGAGGGAGGGAGGGAGGGAGGGAGGGAGGGAGGGAGGGAGGGAGGGAGGGAGGGAGGGAGGGAGGGAGGGAGGGAGGGAGGGAGGGAGGGAGTACTGTGTCTAAACTGCCCGTACTCTGTGTTTAGTAAGAAATTGATAGACTGAAGTATCTAGCTCTATATTCAGATCTTGGTATATCCACTTCATTTATTTCTCGATTTCATTGTTCACAGGCATTGCATAAACTGTTGCTGCTATTGCCAGAAGCGAAGGATGTCGCGCACGGCTATGTGCGGAGAATGCTTCAGCATACGATTGCATCTCAGGTATCTGCTATGTTTTGCACATGACTTGTGTTATATTATCCGTTTATCCACGCTCAAGTGTATCAGAAGGATGCTGAGTACACCACGGCTTTGCTTATGCTGAATGGCTTGGATGAGAGGAGAGATAGCTGCGAGGCATTAGTATGTCACAATGAAATGAAGAAAAACAACCTACATGTACATGTGCATGATTGTACTACAGCAGGGAAGAGAAATGTCTAGGGCCATTGTGCATATCCTACCAAACATGTACGCAGCAGAGGCATGGAAACATTTAAAAAGAAACTGTAATACAGTGTAGTGATGATTTCAGTGAAGTCTTGATGGGTGACTGTTCGCTGTACGTGATTGCATACATGGGCAAGACTTCCAACGTCAATGTCTTAGTCCTGTTGGGAGACGTTGTTGGCATGTTGCACATCTATGCATGAAGGTGGAAGTCAACAGTTGAATACCGTTGCTGTCCTGTGCAACTCTCGTGGAGTATATCCGGTATGAAATTGTTGCCATCAAGTACTGTTGGCTTACTGCCTTACAGGTCAGTTTGATTTGACATGGTTTTCTCTGCCTGGTTTCTTTATAGAAACAAGAATCCTTGTCAGTTCTCAATGTCTGTAAGTCTTGTGCAGTCTATTATTATTGTTTTGCTTCAATAGTTTTAAAATAGCCAGTAGATGCCTGGATCAACCATTTTTTGTGTTGATTTCGGTATGGCACATGGCATAGAAATGCTTCATGGATTTCTTGTAGTGCTTGGAAGCTTTTAAAGTTACCAACTGTTTTGGCTGCTTTAAAAGTCGTTTGCGATGATGCTTATGTTGATTGTCTTCAGTTTGTATGGCTGTACCCCAAGTCACTTAGTGCTACTGTAGACCTGGTATCACGATGTTCCACTGATGCAGACACGGTGTTGTGTGTTTGAGTACAATCATTTACCTATTGCACAGCATGTGGAATTGGGTGTGACTGTGGAGATCACAGCTTTTGAAACAATGGCATGGGTGTCTGTGTGTGTGCGATGCAGTGAGCCACTTGCTTGAGCTACCGCCACAGCTGGGGATGGTACCATTCTTCCGCCAGCACGTTCCGCTGATCTTCAAGCTTGTTTGTCAGTGCTTTCAACGCCAACGGTTGGTACGTGAATGCTGAAGTACCCTGTCCTGGTGGTGACAGTCAATTTTTTCTTCAGACTTTTCCCGTTTGAACCGTTCCCTCAAACCAATGAATATCCTGGTATCCTGGAAGTATTCCTGTGCTGTAGTATTTTTTTTCTGGCTCCACTGACGACGAATTTGCTTGTAATACATTTTATGATATTGGTGATAGATGTTGGTTCCAAGTTTTCATTGGAGTGCATGCATGTATACTATTGATGAGAGCTGTTTACTTTCTTGCTACTGCACCTTTATACCAAGGAGAACATGTACAGTCATGCCGCCGCGCAGGTGATCGGTGAATAACCAGTTGCTTGCATTCTGCGTGTGTAGACCTGTGAGAAAGAGCATAGCTAGTGAACCTTGTGCCACACTCTCTCAGTCCAGGAGTTGATTGTGCCTGGTACATGACAGTTACATGCTGCGCATTTGCCGTCCGTTCTTCATCTATGTTGCATGCTGCGTGCTTTGCGTAGATGTCACCTATCATGATGCCAGGCTCATCCGAATTGTCATTATTCTTGTCCAAGGTAAGAGGCTGGGGCCTTAGCCTCCTAGGGAATGCTGAGCTACGTGTGGTAACTACTCGAGTGCATGCTGAAGGGATGCTAGGAAACAGTGTGTTTACGAAAGGTGTGCAGGCTGGGCCTGCCGCCACATCTCAAAGCTCGTCTGCATTTTTCACCGGTCTTCAACACGCATCGTGATCTTATCCTCTCCTTGTTGAATTAGTAATTAAACAGAAAATAGTGCCTCCCTCGCCTGAAGTCATGAGTTATCCTGTTGCTGCCTTCTCCAGGTTTTCAGTGTGGTCATATCTGAAGTGACACACGTCAATACATTTTTCCCTGTGGTTCGTTGAACTTTGTGTTCCTCCAGGCCTGCTTGCTATTATTCCGGCACTATGAAGAGGCTCTGGTCTCTGTGCAGTCAAGTACTGAGCATGCTGACCTGGACGACTTCTCAAGCATCCGCGGTACGTAGCATTTTTCTATGCCAACCTATGTGTACTGGTGAGCAATCTGATTTACCGCATTCTCCCACATTGCTTTCATTAGCCATGTGTACTGCATTTGTAAACAATTTAACTTCAGGCAATCCCTACAAGTAGCTTTATGTGTACTGTTCATCTGATTTTTCAGAGTCTACCGATGAATTGTTTCATCAGCTGCTGCTGGCTCTGTTTGATGAAGTAAGTTCTGAGCACTTGAGGAAAGCGGAAGAAGAATTATGTATTAAGTTCATGCATACTTGTGCACGCTGTTATGTTGTGGGACCTTGTAGTTTGTAAAAAACTAAAATACTGATTTTCTTACTTTCGAGCTTGAGTAAGTCATGTACAACAAAACATGGTCAGTATCCTGCATGGAACTATCCTTTCTGTGGTCCATATATCCAAGAGACAACTTGGAACAGAAGAAAACAGTACTTCTGTAAGCTGGTTTTTCACCTCCAAAGTGATTATAGCTACCTTTGCAAAGTTCCACGGTGTTTTGTTCACTTGAGAGGTACTGTAAAACCTGCCAAGGCGACCACTCGGATAATGCGACCACCTGTCCTAGAAGCCCGCTGAAACCAGGACTAAGGGATGCTATTTCCAGTCAAATGACCCTGGATAAGGAGACCACCTGGTAACAGAGACCACGTTTTGAAGGTCCCTTGAGCAGTCGCCTTCGGCAGGTTTCTCGGTACGTGTTATTGACAGCCTTTTTCCCCTTCTACTTCTATGCTCATTGTACAGGGCTCAAGTCGTGATTGTTGTGTGATGGCTGGCACGGCCATTGCCCTGTGTTTACGCGCTTCATCGCCTTCACCATGTGCTGCTGGTGCTACTGCTGATGTGGCTCATGAAGGCAGCACCGGAGTTGGCCTATATGCTACTCTCACACTGCTGCAAAGGCTTGGTAAGTAGTCACTGCTGTTCTTCTGCCAGCAAAAAAAAGCTGGAGGGCTCTTATCCTTTGCCATGCAGGCACTACATGTACTAGAATTTCTACTGAGTATTTCACTTGTTGTCCTGTGCATTTACCATGCAGGTTTTGTTGTTGAAGGAAGTCTACGGGAGTACATGGATGAGTGTGGAAAGTGCCACCAGGCAGAGAAGGTCAGTCACATTTTTGACTTTCTTTGAAGTACACTCCATCGTGTGTTTGTAGTCTTTATAAGGCATGCATGTGTGGACTAGCCAGGTATTAGGAGAGAGGTTCCGCATAACGTAATTACGTTAGTAAAGAACGTAATCGATCTACGGAAAGTATTACGTAAACTGCATGCGCATCTGTGTTCCGCCATACGGAGTTTTGAAATCACGTAGCTGCCCTTGGCAACTCCGAACGCGGCAGTGTACGACCAGATCGATCTGGGGAGAGAGTCATAAATTTGTACCCCAATCCACTCACGGAGCACCTACGTTATCAGAGCCCTATCTACGTACTCTACGTAGACAATATCCCGTACGTGGAGTGCAAACTCGCGAATTCACGGGTTTTTCCCGCCCACTAACGTAAAGTTGCGGAACCTCTCTATTGCTGTGTATTTCTTACTCTGGCATGGTGGCATGTTGCCACTGAAGACCTCTCTTTGCCCTCGGCCCGTTGCTGGCATTCTGTGCATGATGTGCATTGGTTGTTCTGATGAAACTGCTCATCCCAGATTACTCTGCACGCTGGTATTATTATTATTATTAACTTTTATTTTACTAGGGTGTTTCCCACAGACCTATGGTATGTTGTTCAACGGTGGTGATACTAGTAATTGAAAGTTTGTATCTGGGGGTGGTTGAGAATAGTACGCAGGGCTGTGTTCAGTGTTCAGCATAGTGTTCATGATGCTAGGGGCAAGCAGCCTGGAGGCTGTTCATACTGTTAACGTCGGGTTTCACTTCAATCAACTGTGTCGTAACTGTGTCATGTTAAAATAATATTTTGTCCATCTTGCTTTTTGCGTTTGTGCGTATCAGGATGTGTTTGGCTGCAAGAAGCACGTGGACAGTGTCTGTGTGGATCAACTGACAACTGATCACCTGTGGACAGTACGCCTAGCAGTTATCCACGGCCTTCTGGCTGCTGGTGGTGTGAGTTCCTGGCACTGCAGCTGGTCCGACACTCAGGTTAGTATGTGATGGGTGTGATAACGTGTGTCCGGCCATAGGGATTGTTTTTTAGCGGTGTAACGATTATGGTGAATACTCGTCAATCACTCGTTAGAAAGTATGCCTTGTGACTGTTTTACATGTACTTGCTATCAGCGTATCGGCTTGAAATCAGTGCACATGTTTGGCAATGTTCATAAAACGACGCATGCGCAACGATTGTCGAAAGTCCTCTGACTCAGTGCACAGCACGAAGGCAAGGAGTAGTGTGACAGTACAGCACTGGCCCGCACCAGTGAGTCATTCGTGTTGGTCGCCTGGTTTTGAATTTGCCATGGACTGTTCTTCTTACCCGCAGGTTAGACAGTTGTGGATTGATGTCGTCCTGGCCAACGTTGTGTCGGCGTGTCAAGAGCTTTGCCAACCCCAGCTTCGGTACTTAGCTTTTCAAGGTATGTTTTGACACGAAAGTCTCTCTCACAGCCGCGTCTTCTTAACAAAATTATTATTCAAGACTAGACTTGGTTGTCATGCCTTCACATGTATGTCTCTTAGATAACATATTGGTAACTTGGGTATTGAGCCAGAAGTAAAGAAAGAGAAGAGTCAACTAGTTACACGTTGTGCCTTCTGTCTACCAAATAGAACAAGAATGGTGCTTGACAAGATAAGAAATCAATTTGGCTGCTGTTGCCACTGCCACCGTCAAACCCAGTGCTATTTGTGTTGCTACTACATGTATTACTGCTACAGTGGCATGTGAATTACTTCAAAACGTATCAGACACCACCCGGAAGGTAGTCACTGAGAGCTTGCTGGATTCCAACTGTCAGCAGCTGAAGGCAGTGACAGCGCTGCTGTTTGGCAACTGGGATGACACGGTGAGAGAAAGATGATGATACAGACGCGCGCGCGCGCACACACGCACACACACACACACACACACACACACACACACACACACACATGATCATATCAGTAATCTCCCTGGGTCAACCCTCTTCTTGTAAACACCCACCTTTTTTCTTCAATCCTTCAGACTTTCAGCTGAGGTTGAACTTTCTCGTGTGAGCACAGCCTTGGATATTAGAATCCCGGTGTCAGAGGCCTGGTGGGCTTAGGTTTAACTTGAAGTTCGGTGACGTGCACCTCCCTTCACATACCACTCGTCTACATGTGTATGACGAACTCAGTAGCGCATTGCTGTCGCGCTCATCGCTCAAGGCGTTAGGTTTCTTGCCGCCTAACTGGCCACAGATCGCTTCAGTTACACAAGGGACATCCCGTTCTGCAGAGCACAGCAACCCTACACCAGACCAGCGTGTACGTATCCGCCAGGACCTCGTCGACGAGTTCGCTGACGTATTTGCAGAGGACACGCTCCGACCCATGGATGGTCAGCAATTCGATCTAGGAGGGGGTTCCGTTGGCGCCGGATGTACGCTTTTACTGCTATGATGATCTCCGGAGCATCGGCACTGTGGGAGATGACAATCACATCTTCGCGCATGAAACGACGAATGTCGGCATCGAACGCCTGGCGAAGAGCGGACACCCGAGTCTCACGACTTTGGCTGGCGAGGTGCTGGCACACAGCATAATCTCTCCAAGCCTCCTCCCATGCCGTGAAATCGGCCATGGTTGCAGTGCTGAGCAACACCGGTCGCTCGACAGAAATCGGCTTCTGACTGCAGGATGTCGAAGTGCTGGGTGGTGCCTGGTTGTCGCGCGTTGCGTTTTCGACCAGTGTGGTGAGGCGAGTCTCGCGTGCCTCAGCCGCTTTCATCTGCTGCTGCATCAAGGCGAGCAGGGATACGATTTCAGCACTGATTGGGGAAATTCCAGGTTCCGCCATCACGACAATTCTACAAATTCTACAACTACAAGACACTTCTGCTACACGATCGATCGTTTGAAAATAAAAGGCTACAGAATTCACGGACAACTACAGGCTGTCAAATATTCCGTACTCAGGTTACTAGTAGTTCACTGCGCCATGTTAGGTTCGGTAGACAAGAGACAAGTAGTTTATTGGTTAGAATATACGAAGTAGAAAAACTGACAAGATTCAATCTGTAAACGACAGAGAAGACCTTCAAAGATATGCGTGCGTGCATACACAGTAGAGCTAAAGTTGTACGGCATTACGTCATAACATAACATACACTGCATACTTTATTGCTGTTTAGGTAACATTCTGAAATTAGGCGCCATGTTTCTCTACTGAATTTACCGAATTTTACGTTACACCGAAAGTGATGTACATGTACTTCGAAGTAGTATACCATAGTGATACGCTGATCTGATTGCGCATGCTTTTTTCTTTGTCGACAGTTGTGTCCAGTGAAAGAATCCCCCCTCCTCCTGCTGCTGCTCCTTTTGTTGCTTGTGTTCAGGTAGAGGGCTTGTCCACGCTCGTCAGAAAGCTGTTCTCTCATCTCCTACAGTGTCATGTTGTTGAGGGTAGTCGAGAGAAACTGATCCGATCCAAAGTATGTGATGACGATGATTAGTTTTAACTTTGAAGTCGTTCATGTTCATTGTTATGTTACTGTAACTTCAACTTATGTATAACATGTATTGCCATGCTGAGCCTGTCTGTATATGTATGCGTGCCTGGCTGAGACCTGTATGTGCACATACCGTATGTCCGCACCTTTAAAGCCATGGCGGTATATTCGATTATAAAGCCAGTCTCAGTTATAAAGCCATGGGCTTCATAAAATTAATGAGATGACATTTGAAGTATGTTTGGCAAAAATGAAAGATTAAGTGCTATGCTAACAAACTTACAGCCCAGCAGGAAGGGTGAACAAGTAGATTTAGATTGAAATTTCTGTGTGGACTTTGATTTTAATGGCATGGCGTAGTGGGTGAGTCATTTTGCATCTAAAATAGCTAGGAAAGCAGCTGTGTTTCGAATATAAGGCCATGGCTTTAAAGGCGCTGACATACGGTATATGAGCCCCGGCCAGCGAAAACCAGCACTTGTGTACTTGATATCAATCATCAAAATGTGACGTCAAAGTTTGGGACGCGCAGTGAGCTGGCTTTTGAAGATTCTTTTCGATCGAGTGGGTGTCTTTGTTGTCAAAGGAGTTTCAAGTGTCTTCAAATGTCTCTGGTCAATTGATTTTAGCGCTAGGTGAGAGCTCGTCACACGGAGGTTGAGTTTAGACACAGCGATGGCGACAGGTATCGCGACAAAGACTTAGGTCCAGAGTTGTCAGCGTGAGACTCCCTGTACGAAGCGGCGCTGAAAGTTAGTTCGCGATCGGAATTATTTCTTTGTTGGCGATCTTGCTGAGTTTGTCCAGCAGTGGCGAGTGTCATATGCATAGCAACGAAGAGCCCTCATAAAATCGACACTGGATACTGGTGGCGACGATAGTCAGTGCTGAAGAAATAGCGACTGCGAGGAGAAGCTGAATGTCGACCCGCTGAGCGATCCGTATTTCTACATCGACAACAATGATGTTGCAGACACTGATGGAGGGCTTCTCACGGCGCAAAACAGAGCGTAGTATTCTCAGTACTCTACCTTGCCAGACGACACCAAGCTGGCTGCTGCCTGTGTTGAGAAAGGGGATCCCTAAAAACTCAAACCGGCTGAACGCTTTGGGGCAACATGTTCACGTGCTACAAAACACGAGCATTCGCTCATATCATTGAAATACAATTATGCTGAAATCATGGTCTGAGTGAAAGTGTGCAAGGGAGTGGATGTCAGTAGTATTGATCAGTACATCTATCAGTATGGCAAGCTTTGGGACAACGCCTAAACTGCCAGCGCAGAGGTCCCTGAACACAATTTGGAAGGCCAGCCACCAATCATCGTTTTGCACTCTGGTGTTGTAAAGAAGGTAGTGATGTATACGGAATATCGCCACTGTGACTTCTGAACTACTCATGCCTGCACAGGCTGCAGCACCAAGAGGGCAAGCCTGACTTGCATTCTATTTACTTACATGTACCTGTTCCACATCACAATCAGAAACTGTAGGATCAACTTGCATGGAGTCACTAGGCATGGATGCTGCGCCAACTGTACCGAATCTTGACCTCTCTGACTTCAAACTCTATTTTCCATGCTTTCGCTTATCAGATTGTCACCAAACTTGATAACTTGAATGATTAATAGTGTAGAAACAATTTCGAGGGAAAAAATAATTTTTGAAAAAATTACACATGTTCAGGTTTCTGCTGGCTGGGGCTCATATATGTTAGTGTTTACTGTTTGTGCGAATGTACATGTACACACGCATGATTGTTTGTGTGTGCATGTGTGTGTGTGTGCGTGTGTGTGTGTTTCTATGCATGTGTGTGTGTGTTTCTATGCATGTGTGTGTGTGTGTTTCTATGCATGTGTGTGTGTTCATGTGTTTGCTGGACTGTCTGCAGTGGCTGGCTGATGTCCTGAGTACGCTGTCCTCATCACCGTGGCACGTCAAAGGTCGCTATGGTTTCATGGCCGAGTTGATTCCTCACATTGGCCAGGACATGGTACGGTTTGCATCACAGATAGATGGTGATGTGCACAGGGGGGGGGGGGGGGGGGGGCTTCAGTGTTTTGTGGTGATACAATAGTGACCAAAAATACATACAATGATCAACCACCTACAAATTCGCTGGCTTTTGGACTGCCAGTTTGCAGAGCAGATTGATCTGGTCCTTGGCAGGCATGTTAATCTACAATGATGCCAACGTTCTTGGCATTTGAAGACTGTTTCGTGGATGAATATCGACGAACCATGTACAGCATGAAGTCAGCTTTACGGCAAAGCACAGGCCTTAAAATTGTTCCCCTTTTCCTTGTGTGTGCACATGTGTGTGTGTGTGTGTGTGTGTGTGTGTGTGTGTGTGCGTGCGTGCGTGCGTGTGTGCGTGTGCGTGTGTTCGTGCCAGTTAGTTCGGTTGGTGGGTACACGTATACCTGATTGCGTTGGGCCTGTTGCCAACGGACTCGGCTGCTTGAAGGTGTAATGTTGTACCTGCCACCTTTGTTGGTTCCAGGGTTCATATACCGGTACTTTCTATTTGAAATATACATACCTGCTAACCATAGACTGCTTCTGGCTAGATTAAAGGGGAACTACACCCAAAAATCAAAACTTCATGGTCCGTAGAGTTTTGGACGCTGAGTCGAATGGTGAAGGTCCCACTTCGATCCGACCAAGCGTTCTTGAGATATATCAGTTTGCAATTGTCCTTTTCGGGTCCGTGCCGTGACGTCACAAACCCGTGACGTCATTGAGACTTGGTGATCCTTTGGCCAGATCCAGAAACACTGGGATTTCGCATCTTCTTTCTGTTTGTCCATGGAAGAAGAGGGTATTTGTGTCATCATGGCTTCTGGCTGTGTTGTTGGCTACTATAATCTTACTGGTAACCCCCCTGGGATGAACCTGCACCAATTTCCGAAGGATTGTGCTTGGCACAGGCCGAGCAGTGCCGCCATAGCAGCTATCAAGCGACATAATTATTTGCTTGACAATTTCGGGACTACAATGTAAATCCTTCGCGTGTGTTCCAGCCATTTGGCAGAGGAGGATTTTCAGGAGGAATATTATGCACTCATCCGATGCGGACGCTGGTGGATGAAACTGTGGTGTGTCCTTTTTTCGCACGCCACACTGTGAAGCGCCAGTCGAAAAGTGGAGGTGAGTGCAATATTTCAAAAACACTAGCTCCTGTATGTAGTTCTTTCTTTTCCAAAGCATTTGTAGAATTGTTTTGGACTACATCACTACGAAATGTGAAGCTTTCCGAAACCGGCCTGATGAGGTGGACGGCAGTAGATCTCCTGTTTCCCTAGGCTATACTGCGTGCGATCGATGAACCTGTCTGCGATTGCTGTTCTTGATTTTACAGGAAGAAGATCAAGAGCGGCTGTACCATCGGTCGCAGTGACTCAGTGTTGAGCTACGACCACTGCCAGTGCCACCGCCCAAAGGTTATAGGAAGGACTGTTTGCAGCACCAGCGCCTCTAGCTGGCATGTTTTTTCCTGTATGAACACACAGCCTGTACTGCTGATAAGCTACATCACGTAATGACCCGCAGTTCAAGGAGAGAAGATAGTCCACATACCGGCAACAGTGTACACCTATTCAGGAGCTCGTTGCGTTTTCTCAGTATGGATGCAGATGAGAGCCAGACATTAATATTATTGTGTGTATGCGTGCACGAGCGTTAGTGTGTGCGTGCACGAGCGTTAGTGTGTGCGTGCACGAGCGTGTGTGCGTGCGCGCGCGCCCGTGTGTGAGTGTGCGCGTGCGCGCGCCAGTGCGTGAGTGTGCGCGCACGTGAGTGTGTTTGCGCGCACGCGCGTGAGAGACAGACATTATTATTATTGTGTGTGTGCGTGCACGCGCGTGAGTGTGTGTGTGCGCGCGCACGCGCGTGACACTGAGTGTGTGTGCGCGCACACGCGCGTGAGTGTGTGTGTGCGCGCACACGCGCGTGAGTGTGTGTGTGCGCGCACTTGCGTGAGTGTCTGTGTGTGCGCGCACGCGCATGAGTGCGCGCGCAGGCGCACACATGCGTGTGCTTTTGTGTAACGTAATATAACATTCCAAAGATATTCACGTCATCTATTCTGTGTTCTCCTTTAGGTCATTCTCTCCCCCTTGCGGGAGGGACATGGAATGACAAGTAGTAGATGCATTGCCGTTAGTGATCCTGAGGGATGTGTGGGTATGCAACCAAGTGCATGAGTGCGCGCATGTGTGCGTGCATGTGCACAGGCACTTGTATGCTTATGCATTCGTGTGAGCACGCGCTTGTGAAATCGCGTGTCTGTGTGCGTGAGCATGTGTGACTACTATACTATGTGCCCACCAAGGTGAGCACATGTGCGTGCGTGGGGCGCAGGCGGATATGTGCACACATTTTTAGAATGATAATCAAGAAGGACAGAGCTGTTCTGGTAATGCAGTCATGAGACATCACAGTAGGGCAAAACGCACTCAATATGCTACTGTGCTGCTGCTAGAGTGCACAGCGTAATTGTTGGTACACAGCTACGTGAAATACAAGAGAACGTCTCAGCATTCTGTAAAGACTAAGTGATAATGCAAAAGGTGAGAATGTATTTCGCCACAATACGAATTGAGGTGCAGTCCACTTATGTGAGATAAAGCACAAGTGAACCGATACACATTGCACGACTTGCACGGAGATAATGCTAGCCAAGTTACGCAGCAAACTCCATGTACAGGAGTACGAGTGAGGAGACTATTGATCTGAGTACTGTGCGAATACAAAATTTCACACGATATGAAGAGAACGATTCGATTTGTGAGCATTACGTAGGACTATACTGTGAAAACACTTACGGATTGTCAGTCTTGTCTGAGCTGCTTTGGCTGCCGCTTCATTTCGAAATAGCCCAGCCAACCGGTTGCCAGATATTGCTGATGGAGAGCGACTTCTCCAATTGCAGTCATTTCTGCTTCATCCACATTTACAGCCCGAATGGAAGCCACCGCTTGCGCTGCCATAATTATCCTTTCCTGAAAATTTCGGCTCATGCCCGAAGCCAAACATTTTCAGCTCAGGCTCTGAGCTTTCAAGCTCGTCTGATACGTCGGAATCGCTCATGGTGAGGACGTCTTTGTCAGAACTATTCCTTTCACATACCAAAATACCTGTACTTCTGTTCTTGGCCCAAGCAAGCGAGTCTCAATGACGTAGAAGGGCGTGTTGGGGGTGTGTCGCGGCCGCATGACGTCATGGCGCGTCCCCCGAAAGTACAATTTAAACCGAAGATATCTCAGGAACGCTTGGTTGGATCGAAGTGGGACCTTCACCATTCGACTCAGCGTCCAAAACTCTACGGACCATGAAGTTTTGATTTTTGGGTGTAGTTCCCCTTTAACTCTTGTGTAATCAGTGGTGCTAGTGAAGCTTACATCAGATCCACTCTGATTTAGCCACCCACACTAGTAGCAAGTATTACCTTCACTGGGGGCAGGGGTAACTGCAGTTGGATCCCTGGACGGATATGCCGTCAATCCTTTTTCTGCACCTTGTCCTCACCCACTTACTGAGGTGTGGTGAGCCCATAAGTGGGATCATTTTCAAGTCCACCCAGAGTTTTGGGGATTTCAGGGGGTGTCGGCCGTTGGGCGGTTCAATAGCCAATTGAGTCATCTTTGCAAGATTCCTTTTGATTTTTGGGGGAGACCCACGTGACCAGTTTTGGCAGTGAGCAACAAGTGTGTGCGTGTGTGTGTGCGTGTGTGCGTGCGCGTGCGTGCGTGCATGTGTTCCGTAGCTGTTATCGCACTGCCCACAACTGACCAGCGATTGCCTTAGATGTCTCACGTCCAATCTTCTCGCGGCCACCAGTGGTCGTTTGTACAAAGTGTGCTTGCAACACCTTGTGTAAGTTGGTTTGGATTATGCTGGTTACTGTAGCACCATGCACTGTACATCACTACAACGTGCACTGTACATCACTACAACGTGCACTGTACTTACATGTGGGTCTATTTGGCATGTTATCCTTTCCGCTTCCAGTCTCTAAATGATATTACGTGTGATAGGTTGCCATCGGGAACTTTGTGCAAGAATATTGCCCATTTCACTACGAATTGCATTGGGTTTTTAACTTTTTTTGTGTGGTCTTCTCTCGTGTCCAGTTCGTCTAGCAAGCTCCAGAATGGTGGCACCTCTTCTCAATCACTCTTGCATGAGTGGTCATCTGTTTGGCTGCAGCCTATCATCAGTGCCTTGTGCAGTGAGAACTCGTGAGTTGGCCGTGCCATTGGTGCTGAGAACACTCTGCGAACACTCTGCTGCTGTCGTAATTTTGTAGTCTACAGGGTAGTTGGTTACAGACAGAGCTGCAGTGACTTTGTGTGAGGCACCTAGACTGGATCTTGTCACTGTAGTGACTGCTGCTGCTGCCTTGGTTTTATCTAATAACTACTAGCACAGTGGAACTCATTTGGTGCCTATTCTGATATAAGACATACTATTGCTTAGTAGTACGGCCATTGTTTACAGTACGGGTGTGTTGATCCATACAGAAGTATGCTGGGATAGGAAGTACATCGGCTCGGATGCTAAGTTCCTTTCCTTCTGCCCCCGTTGTACCTCTTTATATCAGAGTTCTGCTGTACATGTATCTTCATTTGTATGCCATGCATGCGTGTTCATGTGTCTGGTTTTTCTTCCTTTCAGTTCTCAACGCCAGTATTCCACATCACATTACTTGCTCTCCACGATGAAGTTGTGTCCGCCATGCGTCATGCTGGTGGTGGATCGGCTCTCCTCAGCTCTTCTGCAATCCGACAGAAGTGTGGCAGAAGGTGAGGCGCGTTTCTCCCGACAATCCTGTTCTACCTCTGCGGCAAGCGTGACGCAAACCAGCGCCGAGGGTGGTGCAATGAAGAATGCCTACGTGATGGTCGACTGCAGGGCACCACCTTGCTGCTCAACTGATGCGAGATCTTCCAGTCATGGCAGCTCAGAGAAAATGTCATCGTCAGGGTCCTGCAGTGTATCGGCGTCGAGGGACATCTGCCTCCTAGCGTACGTAACAGCAGTGAAGATTGCTTCAGGCACAGCCAACCGTTCCATTGCTCATCAGAAGGTAGGGGATGATCATAGAATTCTCGATAACGGGCTCCTCAACATTCATTTGTATGACTGTGTTGTCGGGTTTCTCGAACAAATTAGTTAATCTCTGGCTTCCACAGAATACCCATTTGCAGTAGCAAAGTCGTAAATATCTCCATCTCTGGTACAGTAGTAGGTTGCAGTGTTTGTTGAAGAGATACACTTACTCTCGTGGCCATCCATTTCAGGGTGAAGTGTTTCTTGAACTTTCTTCAGTGCCACATGATCTAGATAACTCTACCCGGCCCCAGCTCGGTACGTTCACATTGCAAAAATAAAACAGCACACACCTGTACGCTACCAAATAGATGCCGCTAGAATCAGTACTGCACTCGAACACGAAAATCAGGGCTCAGATTTCAGTTCCCACCACTGTACTTACATTGGCTTACATTGGAGATAATCAACATGTATTTGTGCAGCCAATGTGTGCGCCATCTTAGTTATTGGCGGTACATGTTGAATGGCGTGCTTATGGGTGTTTGTGTGCATGGATGTGTTTGCCTACGTGTTTGTGTGTGTGTGTGTGTGGGTGTGTGGGTGTGTTTGTATGTGTGTGTGTATGCGTGCATTGCCGACTATGTACTGTGCATGCCCATGTTTCCACTGCTCGCTCTCAGCTTCTTCACGAGGCCTTGAATTCATATGAAGATGGCACTCGTGTGGCTGCGCTGGCTATACTCTGTGAACACCCATGTAACAATGGTAGGTGTCTAGACCATGGTCACTTACTGACACTTAAGCTGTGTTCCCAACTGGCGCGTGGACGCGGTACGCTTGCGGATCATGCGTGCCCAAACGCGCGCTCAAGCTTTCACAAAAAAAAGCAATCCGAGAGTCGTATTTAGCGCGTGCGACACCTTCGAGTAGTAATGTTTTGACCCCGCCAGTCAAAGTGACTGGCATGTACGCTGATACGCGCCTGATACGCGGTGAAAATTCCAACATGTTGGAATTTCCATTTCAGTGCGTTTCCGTACGCATGACGCCCCAAAAGCCAGCAAAAATACGCACAAACGCGTGGTTTCACGCATACACGCGCCAGTTGTGAACACAGCTTTAGGTTTGAGTTCTTATAAAATGTTCATATCTTCAACTCCTTTGCTTTTGGAGGTGTACTGGAAAAGTTGATGAAGACTACCGTGTAGGCTCGAATAGAAGCCCCGGGGCTCTATTTTTCCAGAAGACACCCAGAGGGGGGCTGTATTTGAGAGGGGGCTCTATTCGAGAGGGGGCTATATTTTTTCAGTAGAAACATCAATTTTTCACACCTTTCAAGCTGATTGCACAAGGTGAGGGAATAATCAGTGTGTTCCCATTTTTGCATGTCTCTACGTTGACCCCAGAGGGCCAGAGCGATCCCGTACCTCCAATATGGATCTAGTGATCCGCAAAGCACACTGTGTTGATCGTGCATACCGTACATGGTTCATGTACTGCACTACAACGTACGGACTGTGGGCGCTCGATTAGAGCCCCGGGCTTTTATTCGAGACGGGGCTGTATTACTTCAAATGCCTCTGAGGGACGGGCTCTATTCGAAGGGGGGTGGGGGCTTGTATTCGCGCGTGCGCGCGCGTACGGTATTTGAATGCCATTTCAGTCTTTTAAAACTGGATTGTTTTCAATGAACCTCACATGGAGAATGTCTGAACGTGTGTGTACCTGTGATCATGTGTACACGTGTGTGTGTGTGTGTGTGTGTGTGTGTGTGTGTGTGTGTGCGCGCGCGCATGCATGCGTGCATGCGTGCGTGCGTGTGTGTGTGTGTGTGTGTGTGTGTGTGTGTGTGTGTGTGTGTGTGTGTGTGTGTGTGTGTGTGTGTGTGTGTGTGTGTGTGTGACTGTGTGACTGTGTGTCTGTTTGTCAGTATGGCTGTCTGTCCATGTCTGTCTGTAAATTATCTGTGTGTCTGTGCATCTGTGTATTTGTGTGTGTGTGTGTGTGCATGTGCGCGCATTTGTGTGTCTGTGTGTATGTATGCATGTGTGTGTGTGTGTGTGTGTCTGTGTCTGTGCCTGTGTATCTTGTGTTTATGCTCTGAGCAGAGAATGCAACTCTCCTGTCCGAGTTTGTCCGGAACAACATGAAGAGTGATTCTTCAGCCTTTCGTCAGCAGATGTTCGGTCACCTGCAGACTGCCTTAGTGTCTGTGCGAGACTACTGGTGAGTTTATACATGTACAGTTGCGCTCACTGAAATACGACCCGATGTGCAAAACTGATGCCCTGGACCAGTTCCGATTGCAGCATCGTACTGGTACATGTGTACACCCAGCCGCATGCGTACCACTCCCAGGGCGTCAATGGCCGTGCAAGCGGAGGGCGCCTAATGTGCGCTTTGGGTCGGATTTCGCCGAGCACAATTGTACGCTGGGTAGGTTTGAATGAAAAGCACTGTGCATGTACTGTGATGGCTACAGTCCTCTTCATTTTTCATTCTCTCTTTTTGCTCTCTGTTTATGTCCACACTTGCTTGTGTTGCTCACAGCCGTAGCCTGATCGGTAAACGGAAGAGGAAGGGGAAAAAGAAATCCAACGTGGCTGTCCCCGCTGGTTCTGCCTCCGAGGCTGAAGACGTGCAGGCAATGCGTATGGTCGGTACGTTTCTGTCTGCTGTGCATGCCGGCATCAGATTCAGGCTTGGAGCTCTTCTCTTTCCTTTCTTTGTATGTGCTTTCGCGTGCATGCGTGTGTGCGGCGTGTTCTGCTCTGTTTTTAGACCTCGTCGACGAGCTGCTCGCTGAGGCGTTGTCTTCATTCTATCCCGGTGCTCCGTACCAGCGGAAAAAGTGCGGTAAGTGCATTGCATTGTACACGATGAGATGGGTATTGTTTGGAGCCTTGACGCTCCATGGCACACGTCACTATCTGTGGCTACGCAAGTGCCATGCGTAATGACAAGAGTACATAGCCCTGGGATTACGCTTAGCTAGTGCTGAGACGATTACTTTTTCCTTGGTGGCTTAGCTGATATCATAGCGATCGGCTTACCGGCTAAAAAAAGTAAAGAAAAGTTAGCCGGATTCGCGGCCGCATCACCTGACGTGTTGAGGAACACATCAAGCAAAGACATTCGCATCGCTAAACAATTATTACTTTTCATTTGAACTAGAGCCATGCGTGTTCAACGAGATTCTTTAAAACCAGTCATTCAACAATCAACCTACAACTAGGGATCTCAGCACGTGAACTGTGCAGCCAGTCTGCGCAGGTGAGATTTTCGATCCCAAACACGTCCAGTGCAGAAACCATGGAAAAGAACTTCTTTTTTTTCTCGAAATAAATCAAGTTGAAGAAGACAGTAGAAATGGCTGAATGTTGCGTCCAGGAAAGCACGTTCTACGGCCATCTCCAAGCTACCTATCTCCCAGACACTCTCTCAGAGGAACTAGAGAGGGTCAAAGAGCACAATATTTCACTCTTGGACGCAGCGTGAACACCTCTTCTACTGAGCGCGATGTCTTCTCTCTGAGTGATAATGGCGGCGATGTTCGCGATGGCTGATGCACTGAAAATCGAAGTGAGGTCAATCTAACCAGAGAAAACGTCTGAATTTTTGACTGAATCCTCTCTGAAGTGGGTTCTTGCCGCATGGCAAATTATAGGAAAATCGACCAGGGCGATATCGCCTTGGCCACGCTGTCCTTCGGCGGGAATCACAAAGTATGTTCGAACGACGATGAAGATGACGATTCCGCTAGTGTCCACCGCTTCCGCTCGTGTCGAAAATCGACCGTCGCCATTTTCTGCTGTGTCCGCGAGCTGCACTCAAAACTCGATGACGCAATGTATGCGCAAACACCCTGCGCACTGCACGCACTGAGATCCCTACTACAACAGACATACGTGTATGTACATCGGACTGAACAAACTGGCTACAGTAACTATCTATGTACAGGGTTGATAGAATGAAAAGTCTGTGAAGAGTCTGGGCATAGCGACAGATCAGGTAAGCGAGATCTCGTAAATTAAAATTATTCAGGTTGATTTGTCAACACATGAATCTTACCGTAAGATTCTTCACACTAGCAATGGTTCAGTGTGCATGCTTGCAGTGTGCATTGCTTGAATCTCTGGAAGTACTGGGATGTCAGAAGACTTCGAACAGCAGGCAGCGATGGCTCGTCAGCTTCCTTTACTGGCAGCACAAGCATGCAGTCGATGGTCTCACAATCAACACTGATAGGTTGACACCGAGCGGACTTCAGCAGTTGATTCTTCCAAAGAAAGATTTGTGCATCGACATTGCCGGGATGAAGGGCGTTCCGTCATTTTGTCAGGAGAGCTCCCGCAGCAGAAAACACCACTTCAGATGGGACTGAGGACCCGGGGACGGACAGGAATTTCCTAGCAAGAGGAATAAGATCAGGGAAGCGTGTTGCGTTAACTTGCCACCATCGGAGAGGGTCGCTTTCAAAGTCCACTGCATCCTCGGTGAAGAAGACTGACTTCTGCTCCTCAGTGTTCTCTGTGGCGCAGCTGGTACTAGGTGACTCAGATCGAGCTTCTTCTTGCCCTGGCTGTGCAGACATCAGCAATGCCAAGCTACTGATCGCCGGAGATCGCTTGGCACAAGGCTCGACTTCTACTACGCTTGGGGAATGCCTGTCCTCTCTGGCTTCCACAGCGGCGTGAAGGACAAGGTCCTGCACTTCTTCTCGCTGTGACTCATCAGGAAAAGACAAGTTGCGGAATAGAGGGTCAAGTGCAGTGGCCATGACTGCAGGAGATGACGTTGAGGCTTTTCATGGAGAGCTTGTTGTTCAGGCTGTCGCGCAATGCTGCTGGGCATGAACATGCCATCCCTGAATCAGCATTAGTTGCAGTGTACTTCACTCCAGCAATCAGCTGGTGGATCACGGGAAGTTCCGACGAAAGGGTTACATACTGCTCTCCGCTGGCAATGATGGTAGTGGTGGCGAGCTCAAACGGCTTCAAGATGTCCACGAGTTGCACTGCCAATGCCCATTATTGGTCTTTCAGGAGAAGATCCCTTCAGCATGCCAATCTGGGCTGGCTTCTTGGATTTAGGGGACATGGATTGAAAATGGCCAGCAACTTTGCAGCCATGACACAACTTCTCGATGGCTGGGCATGCGGACTTTGTGTGTGGAGAACGACCACAGTTCGGACATTTCACTGCTGGTGCTTTCGGAGCAGCAGGGGGCTTAGTGGAAGAGTTGGAGGCAGACTGTTGCTTCTCCTTCTGGTATGTTGACTTCCGTGCAGCATTGGCATGTGCCTGCCCGGAAATGTTGTGGGAGGTGTCAGGCGCTGCTTGCTCAGCACGGCAAAGTTTGATAGCTGTGTCCAGTGTCTGGTCTGTCCAACTAAGGATTACGCAAACATCGCAAAAAACAGTCGTGGGAAGCAAGTTGTTGGCACGCAGAATAATCCTCCCAGGCTTCTTCCCATGTGGCGAAGTCAGCCAAAGACGTAGTGGCAAGCAACATTGGACGATCCACAGACTACGGCTTTGGTGTTGATGTGGATGTGGATGTGGGTGTCGAGCGTGTAGACGTTGGGGCTGAACCTGTGGGCTGTTGTTGTTGCTGTTGGAGACTTTTTCAAAGTGTCTTGAAACAGTTTAGACAAGTGTTGTTCTCTGGCCTCTGCAGCTTTCATCTGTACTGCGACTAACTTAGTGAGAGCTCAGGCATGTTTTCTAATGGTATGAAGACTACACTGTAGCTTGATCACACAATCATACACCACCACGACCCAAAACGGGCCCCTCGGCTACAATTCTGCGAAAAATTATTGTCAAGTGCAATGGTGGATTGCAAACATTGGTAGTGTTTTCACGATGACAGCATGAACAAGGTGGAGGACCCACTGTATGGGAAGCTGTTCATGCTGTCATCGTGAAAACATGTTAAACCTATCAAGCAAGTCTTGTATATAAACAATGGTAGTGTACTGTTCTCAGCTTGATTCTGTGTTTGTTCCACGGCGGACCATCCTCGCTCTAGTTACACTGTATGTTCTTTGCTGTGTGGGTTTTCACTGACTACTCAGGTTTACAACTGATGGCAGTTTTGATGGAGACGTTCTACCCGAATGCCAAGTCCTCCAGCAAGATTTGTGCGTCATGTGAGTGCAGTTAGTGGCGCTTTGAAGAGTTTGAAGTACAGTTGCGCTCCGTGAAATCCGTTCCAACGGGCGTATTTGTCGCCCTCAATTTGCATGGCCCTTGAGGCCCTGTACGTGGTACTAATATGGCTGGATGTACACATGTACAAGTAAAGTGATGTAATTGGAACTGGTCCAGGGCGCCAGTTTTGAACTTTGGGTCGGATTCCACCGAGCGCAACTGTAGTACACTACCAGTACATGTAGTATTGCAGATTTGTCTTCAAGAGTGAACTGGTGGATGTGGCCTTGAGCCATCACTGTACGTTGGCTGGTATTGTTGTAAGTAATTTTACTTTGCCAGAATGAACAGGCATTGCTGCCTTCTTGCATGGACAAGTGAATTGTCCAAGCTCTCACACAACCATGAAGAACGTGACTGCATACGTATTGACTGATTCTTGGCATGTGTTATCTGTCTGTCTGCTGCAGCTTCGACAGGTGACTTGCTGGATCTGTGTCAGAAGCAAGGAAAGTGGCAATTTGTCTCTTCCAGGTGAGTGTATGTTCAGCTAGGCTAGTAGTATTTCCATCTGAGTGACCGCTTCGTGGGACCTCCTTTTCGTTCATAGAGCCCTGTCAGAAACGTTATCCTTCTCTTGTACATATTTCTGGTCAAGTCTTCAATTTGGTTTCTGTTTAGAAGCTCTGGGAGATTTTGGGGTGGAGTGATGGAGTTTGTATGTATGGAGCATGCTGCTTACTAATGTGTGTGTGTGTGTGTGTGTGTGTGTGTGTGTGTGTGTGTGTGTGTGTGTGTGTGTGTGTGTGTGTGTGTGTGTGTGTGTGTGTGTGTGTGTGTGTGTGTGTGTGTGTGTGTGTGTGTGTGTGTGTGTGTGTGTGTGTGTGTGTGTGTGTGTGTGTGTGTGTGTGTGTGTGTGTGTGTGTGTGTGTGTGTGTGTGTGTGTGTGTGTGTGTGTGTGTGTGTGTGTGTGTGTGTGTGTGTGTGTGTGTGTGTGTGTGTGTGTGTGTGTGTGTGTGTGTGTGTGTGTGTGTGTGTGTGTGTGTGTGTGTGTGTGTGTGTGTGTGTGTGTGTGTGTGTGTGTGTGTGTGTGTGTGTGTGTGTGTGTGTGTGTGTGTGTGTGTGTGTGTGTGTGTGTGTGTGTGTGTGTGTGTGTGTGTGTGTGTGTGTGTGTGTGTGTGTGTGTGTGTGTGTGTGTGTGTGTGTGTGTGTGTGTGTGTGTGTGTGTGTGTGTGTGTGTGTGTGTGTGTGTGTGTGTGTGTGTGTGTGTGTGTGTGTGTGTGTGGGTGTGTGGGTGTGTGGGTGTGTGGGTGTGTGGGTGTGTGGGTGTGTGGGTGTGTGGGTGTGTGGGTGTGTGGGTGTGTGGGTGTGTGGGTGTGTGGGTGTGTGGGTGTGTGGGTGTGTGGGTGTGTGGGTGTGTGGGTGTGTGGGTGTGTGGGTGTGTGGGTGTGTGGGTGTGTGGGTGTGTGGGTGTGTGGGTGTGTGGGTGTGTGGGTGTGTGGGTGTGTGGGTGTGTGGGTGTGTGGGTGTGTGGGTGTGTGGGTGTGTGGGTGTGTGGGTGTGTGGGTGTGTGGGTGTGTGGGTGTGTGGGTGTGTGGGTGTGTGGGTGTGTGGGTGTGTGGGTGTGTGGGTGTGTGGGTGTGTGGGTGTGTGGGTGTGTGGGTGTGTGGGTGTGTGGGTGTGTGGGTGTGTGGGTGTGTGGGTGTGTGGGTGTGTGGGTGTGGGTGTGGGTGTGGGTGTGGGTGTGGGTGTGTGGGTGTATGTGTGTGTGCGCGCGTGCGTGTGTGTGAAAAAGTCACTTCAATTAGCTGTGTGGTGGATACCAGGCTAAAAATAGTGGCGGTCAATTCATCAGCCTTGCAAGCTGTTGAATGGTGTAATCCCAGCACAAGTTGCTATGTCTAACATAGCTGTTCGCTATCATCGCTTCCGCGATGGGCAGGTCTGAGGTCTGAGGTCTGAGGTGTGTGTGTGTGTGTGTGTGTGTGTGTGTGTGTGTGCGTGCATGCATGCATGCGTGTGTGCGTGCATGCGTGTGTGTGTGCATCTGTCTGTCTGTATTGTTGTTGGCAGGTGTTCATCATTGCTGCATAGCTGCATGGAAGACGAGTATGCAGAGGTATGCTGTGTGTGTCGCTTGAATTATCCCCGTGCATGTACTGTGAAGTCGGAGAGCTTTATGTCAGATTTTGTTCATGATTTGCACGTACAGACCAGTTTGTGCTTGGACATATTTGCAAATTGGTGATGATGATCAGGACATGTGCTAAAACAGTACAACTAGTTCAAGTTCCAGCTTTGTGTGGGCTACTCTACCCTTTACGAACAGCGTCTCTTATGTTTTGACTGCAATGCCTTCCTGATTTTACAGGTATGCGTGGACATCTCTGCACCCGTACACTACCAGTGCATGTGACTGTACTTGTACATGTATTGTGGCTTGCATTCTTTGAAGAGTCATTCGGCACAACCTTCAGGGTGCTTGCGATAGGCTGCTAGAGATGGGAGAGCTGGGTGGGAGCAAGGCATCATGACTCTAGAGTGTAGACATGTACATACACAAACCATTATGGTGTAGTCACAGCTATAGTGCCACCGGTGTGATGTACACAGCTTGAAACCGAGCCATATGCATTGCAAGTGCCAGCGACTGCCTGCGTGGGGTGGGTCCTGATTGTCAAATTGACCGGATTTCTTTGGACGCCTGGTATGATGCGGATCAGGTACTGAAGTATGTGTTTGACTTTTTCCATACATCTGTGCCCAGATAAGAGAGCTGGCACTAGACTTGCTCTCCACCTACTTCCAATGGCCACACGTCCTCATGCCCCTGGTGCATGCACAGACAGCTGCCTCCGCGACGGCTGGTTCTGCTGCGGGTTCGGCCTTGCCCGTCGTCAAGACCAGCGCCGCCAGCACCCAGAACGAAGCCACTTGTTCCGATTCCGTGCAAACGCCTGGTGGTTGTAATGGTCACAGCAGCACGGGCGTGCGTACGAACGGCAGCGAGCTGGAGCAGTGTGTTGCACTGCAGGGCTACTTGCAGGGTGTCTTCCACCTGGTTGACTGTCCACGCAGTGGTGACAACGAGATCGGTGCCATGCTGTGGAAAGCCGTGTTTCAGAAGTAAGCAGCACTAGAGATAGAGACCATGGGCAATTGGTGTTTTCGGCTTTAGTGAATGCCAACTCCTATGTCAACACATTGCAGAATGCAGAAGATCAAACATCACTGGTAGAACTAGCCAGCAATGCCTAAATTTACTTCAATGTAGATTGTTGTAGGCAGGCATACATGACTAACTTCAGTGAGCACCCTATTTTTAATAATGGGGGAAGGTCGGGAGGGGGCTCTGAGTAATCCCGCATACGCCCCTGAGAGACAAACTTCATTGGGCAGCAGCTTGCAGTAACTTTCATAATGTTAGAATGGACGTGGTCAGTGGATTCAAGTACGTACATGTATGTGTTGTCTATGCTCAATATCCGGATAGCTAGCTGTCTCAACCTTGTCAGGTCTCATCAGTAGAGCTCAGAGTGTTGTCAGGTCTCATCAGTAGAGCTCAGAGTGTTGTCAGGTCTCATCAGTAGAGCTCAGACTGAAGGGCCGGACAGATTGCAATGAAGCCTAGTGAAAACCAAGCATTTATTTTCATTTTTACGTCGGTTCAAAGCATCAAAGTCAGAGTACTCTAGCTGCGAGAACCACTGTGAGCTTTGTGTTGTGTGTGTGTGTGTGTGTGTGTGTGTGCGTGTGCGTGTGTGTGCGTGTGTGTGTGTGTGTGTGTGTGTGTGTGTGTGTGTGTGTTGTGTTTGTCTATGTGCGTGTGTTGTGCTGTCTGCCAGACTTATCGTGGAGCAAGGCTATCGGATATCAGTGACTAAGTGTGGCAAAGTGTCAGTACAGCAACCACCTCCGTCTCACTCATCGCCGTCACCGTCTCCTCCCACTGCGTCTTCCAAGGCATCAAGCGCAGAGTCACCATCGTACACCTTCATTGACCAGCTTATCACAATGCTAGCACATAGACTTGATGTGTGTCGCAAGGACTTCCTTTTAGGAGCCCGCACTTCTCCTATGCACGGTTAGTCCGGTTATAAACATATCTGAATATTGCTTCACACAGGTCCCTTATTAGGCCTCCGCGGAATGTGCCGGCATAATTTCGGGAATTATCGGTGTGATTTTTAAAACGGGAATTATTGGCAATTTTTGTGGAATAATCGGTAAAATTTGAGCAATGCCCCCCTTTTTTCAATTTTTTTCCATTTATAAAACCCTGATTTGTACCGAAAAGCTTGTGATCCTGAAGTTGATCGCCCGGTATTTCAAAAAAGAAAGAAAAAAAGGTTCCAGCCGAGTTTCACGCGAACCGCACACGCGAACCGTGATTTTTTTGCCCGTTTAAGTGGCAAAAAACCCGTTCGCGGTACGGTATTTGCAAAAAAGGGAAGAAAAAAGCATTATTGTGAGAATTATTGGTGGAAATACGGGAATAATCGGTTGAAATTTTGAGCAATGCTCAAAGGAATTATCGGTAAAAATACGAGCATATTCCGCGGAGGCCTATCCCTTATGCAGGTTTGTTTGGAGTTGGTTCAATTACATCACTTTGTGATATATTATGCTCTATTTGTGTTGCCCCTCCCTCTCCATTTGCCAACATTGTACCAGTAGCCAAGTTTGAGCACGGTCATTTGTGTGTCTGTGTGCGTGCATGTATGCGTGTGTGTGTGCGCGCGCGCGCGCGTGTGTGTGTGTGTGTGTGTGTGTGTCTGTGTGTGTGTGTTGCTTTACTGCAGGTTGTGTGTTAATACTGCGCTACTGCCTGGTTGATATTCTCCTTGCCAAGCCACTGACGCACACCCAGAGTGCATGCAGTCATTGTCAACGTCGACAGCAAGACCGACAGCAGCAGGCATCCACTGTGGAGCATCGAGACGGCGTCCAACCTGTCACCAACAATGGCATAGCCAACGCAGCAGCTGCATCTTCAGAGCAAGAGCAAGTTACTCAGCAGACCACCACACATTACTGCTGGACGTGTCTGCTCGGCAGGCTGCTGTCTGTACTGCAGTCAGCTGTGTACTTTGTCATGTCCATTCTGGCACCCGACACCAGTGCGGCAGCGTTATCAGAGAGTACAGCTGCCGGTGCTGCTGATTTGCTGGATATGACTGCTGCTGGTGATGGTGATGGTGATGGCGATCTGCCTGGTACGTTGTGATTGTTGTGTTGAGACTGTTTCCTGTTTACTTGACTTCTGCATTAGCACACCACAGTCTTGTACATACATTAGTACGTGTATGGTGACCATTGCTGGGGACTCAAGTGACTCCCTGGCGTTCTAGTCAAACCCTGTGCTTAGGTATGCGCGCTTCCTGAGGATTTTACTCTTCCAGACTGAGTTCCAATTTTAGAATCGGGTGAAGGGGAGCAGAGTTGTGATGAAACAAACTCGATTGTCTGTCTATCCAGATGTTTCACCTTCCTTTGGTGACATGGGAGTTGCTGTACACAACATCATTGTGAAGTCATCTGTATTGCAGCAGAGTACTGATGCGACACCACCAACCGATGATTCCCCCACCGTCAACCATGCAACAATAACAACAGCCCAAGCTGATAGTACAGCGGAACCAGCAGCAGCAGCCTCTGCCAATGTAGAAGTTCACACCGATGCCTCGTCTCTGCACTTTCAGCTGGTGTTGCACGCTTGCTGGCTGCTAATAAAGGTCAGGAGGTTATTTTTTACTGTGAAGTATTGGCCGTATTTACATGTGCTGTTCCTCAATGTCATGAAATGATCGAGCCGTATCAAGTCCCGCTGTGGCTTCTTCCACAACAAATCCTCTTCTTTCTGTTTTGTTCTTTGTTCTGTCAAGGAAGCATCTTTGCTCCTCGGAGATGTCTGCTCACTGTCGAGAAGCAAGGCGCATGGTGGTAGACAGACCGTCGATCTATTGCAAGTGGACTCGGTGATCAATGTTGGTGAAACTCTGCTCAATGTCTTGATGAAGTGCCGACTCAAGGTTGGTGTAGAGTGCGCGGAGTGGTCTTGCTCAAGCATATTATACATGTACTATGTCTGATGTTGGCACAGTGGTTGCCTGGCAGGTTCTATGAAGGGAAAGAGCAGAGCTGTAAAATTGACTGTGTTCCGTATGCTAACATTATAGGCGTGGTAGGGTTTCATTCAGGTAACTACCTCAACCCCGTTAATAGTTCACTTAGCATATGTAAGCCCCCTCCCCGACTAAGTAGGTGAAACTCCACATTCAAGTTTGTACTCGTTTGTACTGAGGTGCATATTTGGGGCAGAAAAGCCACAGTTCTAATTCTCGAAAAGAAAAGAAAATGTAGCTTCTACCTGGGAAGATACGGGCACGCCGTTACAAACAAGGCCGGTCGAGGCAGCTCGAAGCAGAGTGGTCAATGCACAAATGTTCAGAGCAGTATACACATACAATGGAGACGTAAGGCTGTGTAGCTGTAACTTCAAGTTTCACGCATTTCAAGCGATCATCAGACAGCGGCATTTGACATTCACTACCGAATTATCTACAAGCGGGGCCTAGCACCAAATATCTAGGCCCACTAACGAGAGAGCTTGGAAGCTCAGGGCCCTACGCTATGCTTTGTTACTTAGCTCATCGTGCATGTTGTGGGAACTGATGGAAATGTTTCCTGGGAAGGCGCTGACTCTGCCGAGCACGCGCGTTCTGGAGTCGACGGGATCACTCTGCCGGCGTTTCCTGTGACCGGCGCTGACTCGCCCGTTCACGCCTATTTTGGACACGACGGGATCTCTCTTCCAAAGTATGTTTTTGCTGACGCATCCTATCACCTATTCGGCAACTAACATCCATTCTATTTTCATTTCCTCCTCGTCTCCCTATTTCTTTCCAGAAAGTCTCTATACATCAGGGAGTCGTACTGTATTGGCAGCTACCCTAACGGGTCACGCCGCCCACCACCCAAGCATGGGTATGATGAGGGACAGTGGCAACAGAAACAAAAAAAACAGCAAGCAGGGAGAGAAAGCAAGAGAAAGACGGCGATAGTAGTACATCTGGTGTGCGACGTATAGAAAAGAGAGATGACAAGAGATGCGCACAAAATAGGAAACAATAATTACTTTTGCAGTTACGAAACAATCAACCAGGTGATGGAGTGTGGGCACCCGAAGTCCCACCTGGACTCCACTGGAAGAACATCCCAAGCAGGGATATCAGCGATAGGCCAAGCGTTGAAAAACAGCCATGAGGACACATCGTCTAGAAGTCCACCGCGCTCGAACTGAAATTGCAGGTTCAAACAATTTCCCGCGTAACTCTTCTCCCTGCATCACCATCCATCTCCAGCAACCGTCTCCACTCACAGCTCATGCCTATGCATCTGCTGCCTATGCCCCTTTCTTATCGTCTTATCAGGATAAGCGCCTAAATAGTTTGTTCAAACGTGCGGCTCGCTTGGTGTGCAGGGCAGCCCCTCGCACTCACACGGCTCCCTTACTTGAACGCATGAATACCCATACCCTCAGCATATACACCCACATGCACATTCTTGTATTCATTTGGCGTTGCCTGAACAAATCTTCAAGTACTCTGTTTGCAAGCTTTTTCACCCGTAGTCCCTCTCTCCGAACACGAGGAGGGAGCAGCAAGTTACTCATCATTCTTGTCTCCCCCACTGCATCCTCAGCTAAGCGCATTAGCCATGCTGGAGCTATCCTGTGGAACCAGCTCCCAGACACAGCACGCCTCGAAAGAAAGCGCTCCACTTTCAAATCGCTAAGCCTGGCCTTTCTGTTAGGCAGTACCGTCAACTAGGATGAACTCATCTGCTTCACTACCTCTCTCTCTCTCCTCTCTCTCTCTCTCTCTCTCTCTCTCTCTCTCTCTCTCTCTCTCTCTCTCTCTCTCTCTCTCTCTCTCTCTCACTCACTCCTTTCTTCCCGGTTGTCGTGCTTGTGACTTTTTTTCCCCTGCTGCCGTGCTCAAATTAGTTATCCAACTACAGCTGTATCCTCTTCTTGGTTCTGTTTGTTCGCTTATTATTACATATTTTTCTTTTCTCTTATTATCAGTGGGACCATTGTCATTAGGTTTAGGCCTGTTTTGGAACTCCACTTTAAATAAAGCCAAACAACAACAACAACAACAACAACAACATGCCTCTGCCACCACTGTACTCCTCCGAGCTTCGCAGTTTGAAACCATTCGGGGGTCAGCTACACCACCACGAATGGAGAGACGAGGACGACAACGGTCGTGACTGAAAAGACACTGCCTTGGCGACCGCGTCGCGGAACCCTCGCCCCAGCAAATTCAGAAATACGCCAGGGGCAACTCTGGTGGACCCAGAGCCACCCCCTTGGCAAGACTAGTAAGAGGAAAGACTGAAAACTCAGATAAAACGGAGCTACAAAAAGTGCAACCGTCCCCTTCAAGCACAGTTGCAACACACAGGGAGTCGTATACATGTAAATAATATTGTGGCCAGCTGTTTGTAGCCAGCTGTGTTTGATGGTACGGTACGGTAAGGGACTGATACGGGAGCCAGCAAATGGCCAGCTGTGCGATACGGTACGGGACAGATACGGGATAGCGCCAGGCGTGACACAAACAAACAAACAAACAAACAAACACCAAATTAAAGCTGTGTGGACCCTGGCTAGCGCCAGACGTTACTGGAGTAACGTCTTCTGCAAAGCTACGGGAATAAAGAATTCAGTAGTGAATGCCAAATGCCGCTGTCTGATGATCGCTGAAATGTGTGAACCTAAAATTACAGCTACACAGCATTTCGCCTCCGTTGTATGTGTGGGTACACTTTTTATGTAGTACATTGTAAGTTTTTTTTGTATTATACAGTGGTCCCTCTATAATCCGGCACCATTTGTGCCACGGAAATCTGCTGGATTAGGGAGGGTGCTGGATTAACAAATCTGATTTACTGCTAGAATGTGCATGAAAAGGACATTTTGGCTACTGAAAATTGTGCTGGATTATCGAGGGTGCTGGATTATAAAGTGCTGGATTAGAGAGGGACGACTGTATTCACATACCCAGCTCGAAAATAATAATGACAGACGATACCGAGACTAGGACAAACGAGACAAATGCTGAACAGGGGCTGCACTGAAATGCAGCAGTGATGGTGGGGCATTGATGGGTCCACCAACCTGAGGTTTCGGCATCATGGCCAAAATGGGCATCAAAAACAAAAGATAGAAATGTAAGGGTCAGCAAAAATCAAAAGAAAGCAAGTTTAAACCGCAGACAATGTGCGGGAGAAACTATAGTTATGTAGAGCTACTGGGGGGGGGGGGGGGGGGGGGCTGAAAGGAGCATCATAGCGAGTCGCCGTGATTGCTCAGATCAATTTTGTTGTGTAGATGGCGATAAAGTTTCGCGGATAAACGGTAGCGAGTCAACTGCCCAGAGCCAATTTGTACTACGTAGATGGTGATAAATGTTAGTGTTAAATGACGGCATGCCCTTTCTGTGGGGAGGCTGGGAAAGAAGAGTGGCGGGGAGGGAGTTCCGATCACTAATGCTGCAGTGTGGAAATGAGCGCTCGTTTGCACACTGCAGCACTAGTGCCTGCCTGTACAAGTTGCATCACCTAGCTAGTCCTCCACAGTTCGGGGGATCAGGATCTCTGACCTGTAAGCACAAGCTGCTGTCTGTTCTGCGGACGGGCCGGGTTTTTTTCCTTCATTGCCAGCGGGACGGATGTAGGCAGCTACTGGTGTTGAAGCTGGTGGTCATAGCCATGACATTACCGTGTTCGATGCGAGTCCTGGAGCTGGTAGCGGGGAAACAGTGTGCTGGCAAAACAGAGAGCAGCTGTGGAGGACCAGACAGGTGATGTAGCACAGGCAGGCAAGCGAGGGAACAGTGCGGCAGATTGCCAGGCTGGGTGACACTGCACCCGGACCGATAGTCCGCAGAGCACAGTGTTGGATATGATCCAGACGATGCGGATAGCGGGGCAAAGCACCTATCCAGATGGGGGAGGGGGGGGGGGGGAGGGGCATACTCCATAACTGGTCGCACAAACACGTTGTACACGGTGGTGCGCCGCCTCGGCCGACAGCAGTGAGCTAGGCGTGGTCTAAGGCCTTTAACGTATCCGTGGTCCCGAGACCCCAACAAAAACCAAGCTGGTGGGGTGTTAGGAGCTTATGGCTCTCGAGGTGATTCATTATTTGCCAGTTAACAACGCTCTCCATAATCTTGGATAGGATGCTGAGCAGTGATACTGGACGATAGTTCGAAGAGACTTTCAAAGAAGAGCCTTCTGTATCCTCGACACATGGCCGTCAATCACTTCCTGTTTTCCCGGCTTTGAGCCCCAGCAATATTCGCTGGTAGGTCAAGGAGCGGAGCTATCTTTAGTGGACTAGTCGACATTTTCTGGGCAAGGACGTCTTCGATTATCTCATAGCAATACTCGTAGTTTTTATCTTCCAAAATGGGCTTTGCAACCCATTTTGAATTTGCTCTTGCATTTTCCTTCTTATATCTCAAGTTTCCCGTGAAAATCCATGGCATGCTTCCTCCCACGGTTGTTGTTGTGGTCCAGTGCAACCAGCTGTGTTCTTGCAACCATTCCAGGGTAGGGGAAATGGGCTTTGCAACCTATTTCGAATTTGCTCTTGTGTTTTCCATTTTGTACCTCAAGTTTCCTGTCAAATCCATGGCATACTTCCTCCTACAGTTGTTATTGTGGTCCAGTGCAGCCAGCTTCATTTCTTGCAACCATTCCAGGGTCGGGGAAATGGGCTTTGCAACCCATTTCGAATTTGCTCTTGTGTTTTCCATTTTGTATCTCAAGTTTCCTGTCAAATCCATGGCATGCTTCCTCCCACAGTTGTTATTGTGGTCCAGTGCAGCCAGCTGCATTTCTTGCAACCATTCCAGGGTAGGGGAAATGCTGCCGCGTAGGTGTGTACTTGGTGAGCGGTGTTCAAAGCGGACCGTGATGATCGCTTGTGAATGGGAACCACGCTGGCAATCTTCCACGCTCGTGGCTGAGCTCTGTGCTGGAAAACGATATAGTGTACACGCGAACAGATAGATTGGCATTGAGAAAGCCAGCGAATCATACATGCAAAGTTGCCAACGCCAGGCACAGACAGCAATCGGATCAGGCAGTCACACACTCATAACCGGGCCAGGCTGACACTGGCAGCGCTACTGCTCAAGCACGGAGCGGCAGAACTGCTGGTGTGCCGATGGGGAATGAGTCGCTGGTTTCACCCTCCCACGGCTTGAAGTAGAAGCGCTGGAACACCGATGCGCAACTCCAGTCAGCACACTTCATAATCTTCCACGCTCGTGGCTGAACTCCGTGCTGGAAGCGAATATCAAAGAGCTGACATGGTGGCTTTGCAAGTTCTCTCGTGCATTCTTTCAAGACACGAACGGAGATGACATCGGGTCCAGTCGCCTTTGAAGCATCCAGGCGAGCTAACAGGCCCTGGACGGTGTCGGATATAAGGGGTTTGGTATGTTATGAAGCGTTACGTGTATGAAGTGCTTTCTTTTTCTCTTTGTTTCAGGGTGCTATCGAGAGCTGTGCATTGGCGTTCACTCGCCACTGTGCACACCTTCTGGCGTCCAGTCATCCAAGTTTGCTGGCTCAGCCCAAGACCTGGCTACAGCAGGTAAAGCCTGCCGCTGATCATCGCACATGCATACACCTTGCAATGCATCTGTTCTTCGCTCTATATTCAAGATGCGCAGGGTTTTTAACCGAAGGAATTGAGCGGTGACATTAGTGGTCCACCCTATTCCTTTTGCTTTTAGTCGTCTGTGCATCAACTGGCTGAGCTCTTGGCCAACGTGCAATACCCTGCTGGGCAGTGGAATGATTTCGTTGCAGTTTGCTTCCACTGATTTTAAGTTTGAATGTACTGTGTTGCACTGTCAGATTCTGGAAACAGCCAGAAACCCGCACACGGCTGCCGTGTCCATCACTCGTCTCAGGTGAGAATCTCATGATGTGGCTAAACAGTGGGGTGTATAGAGTTTAGACATGTATTCTGTGTATCTAGGTATGTCCAGGATTCACAGGATACTGTGTACCACCTTATTTTCGGTGTTGTAAAATTTACGACAAGCAAGTATTTAGTTGCATGAGTACTAGTATACATCACATCCTCTGGACTGATCCTGTTAAGCATGTGTTTGTTCTCACTAATCTGATGTTCTTTTAACTGTATACGTGCATGTGCATGCGTATGTGTATGTGTATGCGTATGTGTATGCGTATGTGTATATGTGCATGTGAATTGTATATGTGCGTGTGCGTATGTTTATATGCGTGTGCGGCGCAGTGCTGGTCTACCGTTGATTATTCAGAGCATTGTGCGCTCGGAACCGCGGGCATCCAAGGTATGTTTATCTGTATTCTTCTGGAGCTTGCTGTGCACCTTAAAATCCACTGAGAGTCTCTGTCATGTGTGACTAGAACCGGAGAAATGGTTCCTTTAGTACTCGTTTTGTTTTGCTTTCATTGTTCTTTTTCCTCCTTCTTTTTCTCAGTTTTCCCCACCATGGCTGGTTAAAATCGCCCGCATCACATGTTTATTGGCACTATGTCATCGTGATTGTGGAATAATAATAATAATAATTAATGACACACCCGTGCCTTAGCCCGTTGTTGACGGCTATGTTCTCGGTGTTACTGTCACCAACACGCTCGCTCAGACCGATTCTGCATGTGTGTGCACGTGTGTGTGTGTGTGCATGCGTGCGTGTATGCGTGTGTGCATGTGTGTGTATGCGTGTGTGCATGCACGTGTTTATGTATGTGTGCGTGCATGTACATGTACCCGTGTTCTTGTGCATGTGCTTCTGCAGCACCCACTCTTGCACATGTGCGTGGAAGAGTTGCTGTCCACCGCGTCAATCCCTGTGTCCAGCGAGGTCAATCAAACGAAAGACTTTCCTCAGGTAGGCGCAGCCCTGCGCGCCGAATCATGCGGGACACATGTGCTGAGGGAACTACAGTACTGTCGGTTGCCGAAGAACTGGGGGGGGGGGGGGGGGGGTCAGCCTCCTAGCCTAGGCCGTTCTTATTTTCATGTACTACGGTCTATGCACAGTTGAGTCACCGCACATACATTGGTATGCTGTGCTTGGTGAAATTCTAGGCTGTTCGTTCTTCGGCACTCCGTTCTTCAGCGCTCGACAGTGCTGTACTCAGTCCAACCGGTGTGACTTACTGGTGTACTGGGTACAAGGGCAAATGACCTGGCCTGGTTTGGAGAGTTTTTTTTCCATTTCAATGCTTCTACAGTGGTGGCATGTGAAATCCAGCCAGCCTCTTGTGCATAACACCAAGAGTCCACAATCCCCGAGAGTGCGCAACTGGGATGGGGTCGTGGTATGGCGTAATACGTGATGTACGTCATTTTTTGGGTCGGACTTGCGTCATTCCGTCGACGCGGTCCGCCACGGAAATACTCTGCCCTACTCATGACCTCACACTATGACGTGCTGCACGGATTTCGCCGTCCCAGATCTGATCAGTGAAGTTGCGCGCTCTGGGGGGGGGGGGGGGGGATTATGGACTCTTGATAACACCTAACAGGACTGGGTGATGCCTATCTGCTTCAGTCATGCCGTTGGATTTGCGTGAGCACCACCACTGTTAGGGATCACACTTCCGTACAACCATCTCGCGGCCATTTTGAATTTCGCACTTGCCAAACACGTGACCACTGCACCGTACTGGCCAATCGTGGTCCGTGAATTTAAAATGTTTTGAAAACGACAGCAATGTGTAGTTTATTCCAGTGCAGCGACTGGTTTTTTATCAGCCCGAAATTTCACATGCTGGATCCTAGAACAAATCCGCAGATTTCTACTGAAAGAATTATCAAGAAAGGTCAAAAAATACCCAAATCACGGGGCAAGATGCGATTTTGGAATGGTTTCTCAAGATTTGTCTTCGCTTCGAAGAGAATTTTAAGGGGGGGGGGGGGGAGAAAAATAGAAATCTACGAATTGTCTCGCTGGAAAGAAGTTCACATCAACAAATATAAGCCATAGTTTGTCAAAAATGCAGTGGCCTGCACCGATTAATACCTTCACTATGCTGGTCACTGAGCTCAATTCCACTGGCTTGCCATTGCTGGATCGTAAACTTTACCACTGGGGGAACTTCATACTCATTTCGTCATTCTTTCACGCTCTGATCGTGATGACCCGCGAGGTTCCAGTCAAGACTACCTCCAGGCACTCCAGTTTCCGGACTACTAGCTCAGTTCCAAATGCAGCGATGACCTTCACTTGGTCTGTGCTAAGGCAGGAGGGTCGAATCGCTGAAGCTAGGAAGGGAGAAATAAATGAACTCTCAAAATCAATGAAGAAATGACTGCACTGGGCCTTTTCGCAGGTACTGGACTGAACGACCTTGTGTTGGCCGTGTCTTGGGTGGATGCACGGGTGCCTGGATTGTGCTGCTCACGGTGGCTCCTACCCTCCCTTTCCAGCTGAGCAAGATTTTCGTCATGGTCAGCTCTTGCTCGATGGCGCTGCGGGACACCCTCATATGTCTCTGAGGCAGTTAATGATCTGGCCTGAAACGTACCCTGTCTTAGTAGCTTCAACTATTTCTTGGCTTTCTTCAGCCGTTTCGGAGTTATGGTGGATGCGTATTCCTGCATTGCTGTGGCCAGCTGTTGTGTCGTAGCACCTATCAGTAAACACAAAGAGAATGGCCAACAGAAAATCACACGCGTGTCTGAAGGAATAACCGAATGCCATTTTGAGGACGACCAGAGCTGTATACATTTCATAGAAGAAAGAAACAAGGGAAGGACTGCTCTTGAGGTGCTGTTGGATTTTACTCAGCACCTTAGTCAAGAAAATGAACAGATGGTTTTGTAAAAAAAAAACACGACCACAACCATGACCAGGGCTGTGCTCATCAAGAGGAGGATAGCTATTCGACTGCCCTTGAGGTGCTGTTGGATTTTACTCAGCACCCCAGTCAAGAAAATGAACAGATGGTTTAGTAAAAAAATCACGACCACAACCACGACCAGGACTGTGCTCATCAAGAGGATGATAGCTATTGGAAGAGATGGCATGATCAGCCTGTCTAGAATCTCCAGCAAGGTGACACGTTCCGTAGTGATGATCGGATTAGCTGACATTCTGACCACTTCTTCCCAAATGAGGTAGTGGGTTTTCTTCTTTGGCAGATATTCCAGCATACACTTGCCCAGCTGAATGCATGCTGTGCCATACTTTTCAACCATTTCAATTGCATGTATGGCCAGCGAATGCCGATAAACTCTTGCGGCAAGGGGGTGGTTTTCCGAGGGTCATGAGCAAAACATACAATGACTTGTAATATGTTGGCTTTTGATGATGGAGATACGCTGCCTTTAAAGTCTATCCGATCCAGCAACGGGTTACGTTGCCTACGGATATACTTTTTGACTGCACAGATTATGTCCGAAACATTGGCATTAGTGGCCACGGGGATGATCCCCTCGCGCAAATAACGCCTTAGGTCTTCATCAAGTGCCTGGCGTAGAGCACTCACTCGTGTGAGTCGGTCCTGAACGGACAATTTCTGGCATCTCGCGTAATCCTCCCAAGCCTCCTCCCATGCGTTGAGGTCCGCGAGCATGGCAGAGGAGAGCAGGATGGGCCGTTCCACCGAGATTTGTTTCGCCGTGGGCTGCTGCGATGTGGATGTATTGGATCTGCTCAACAGGGCAGTCAGGCGTGCCTCGCGGTCCGCTGCGGCTTTCATCTGTGTCTCCATGAAGGTCAACAGAGCCTGAACGTCAGGGCTGACAGGTAGGTTTGGCGTGGCTGCTGCGCCAGGGACAGCATCACTACCAGAGTCGGACATTACGAATCGAAACAAATTTACAGCCCTCGCACGAGGGTCACACCACTGAAACAAACGGGCCGGGATTGTCAGGTCACAACGGGTGATCTGACCTACAGCCTACACTACTACTACTACTACTACTACAGGTAAGAAAATAGTTCACTGAGCCATGTGATAAACGTATTGGTTTATTCTAAATAAATACTAGTACATGTAGTCTCCATTGAAGAGCGAGTGGAAAAAGAACCACAAAACAAAGAACAGCACCACGGAATCAGCATGCTCAATGTGTAGTCATGCGTGCATGCCAAATACCGGCGCATGACGTCAGCTGATGTAAGCTGCGTACAATAAGACAGATGCACGCGGGTGTGTGCATTTAGGATAGCGTACATAATAATACAACAGCAATGTTAAGAACGTGTGAGTAGCAGCCTATGACATACGTTGCATTCTTGAACAGGCCACCCAGTGCGACCGCATGACCAAGTCTGCTTCAGCTTGGTCTTCTCCACGGCCACTTGCGACGAGTGTATCTAGTATCTACCAATAGATATCCTGCTGGACAATTGCGCTTGGCTGACCCGGTGTGCACCCCCAACATGTGCCTGTCTTCTCCTTTCTTGTTGGAGTCATCTGCGAACACCGCAGCTGTTTGTTCTTCAGACACAACCTAGCAGAAAACACCATTGTGCAAATATGTCTATCTAACAGATTTTCTCTCTCTCTCTCTCTCTCTCTCTCTCTCTCCTACTTCAATCACAAACACTGTTTCAGAACTCTATCTTTCTGACATCTAAAGGCAATAGGCAATAATAACCAAAAAATCAATCGAGCATGCACTCTCTGTTAAGCTGAGAATAAATCTAGTGTCAAATAGTCACGCGCTAGTTTGTGCGTGAAGTGTGTGGGGACAGTGAGGGCTGCATCCCACCAGCCTGCGTAGCTTCACAGGAAGCGTGATTGGAAGTCTGAAGAAAATGTTGAACGGTCTCTGCTTGGATGACAGCTACACCATAGCCCAGTGGTTAGAGCATCGCTGGCCTCAAGCGGAGGTCCCTGGTTCGAGTCCTGGTGATGACAGTCAATTTTTTCTTCCGATTTCTCCCTTTTCCATTCCCTCAGCTAGTGAAAATCTAGTGTCAGAAAAAATACGTAAGAAGTGTTAAGCGGGATTCACAGAAGCTTTTTTGCGATGCGACAGACGCGAAACCGGGAAAACCCCAAATCGCAGCCATGTCGCACCCCACGCAACTGCCGCAACTGGGCCATCGCAGGCCATCGCAGAAGTTGAGCTTGGCTCAACTTTTGCGATGCGATGCGATGCGACAAGCGATTTGGCGTACGATTTTGACCTTTTCTACAGCAAAGTTGTACAAAGGTTCAAGAGTTGCCTATAAATTTGTACAAGTTGTATCAAACCGCGCGAATATCATGGTGACGTAGCCAAATTAGCAAGATGTTGTCGCATCACTGACTTCTTCTGTGAATGGTATTTCGCGAGTTCGCATCGCACGCGTCCGTCGCAGATCGCGTCGCATCGCGTGTCGCATCGCAAAAAAGCTTCTGTGAATCCCGCTTTATTGTACTTCTGATGTTGATGTTACGTGATGTGTGCCTGTGTGCGTGCGTGGTTGCATGTTTTTAGGTTCACGCATGCAACATGTTGCGTGCACTCGTTCGTGATACTGCACTGGGCGATGAGATGCTTATGTTCGCTAGTCGTAGTCTAGTCCTGGCTTTGGACGGACTCTCATCGCCATCATGGGCCATGCGAAATGCCTCCACTCTACTCTTTAGTAAGGTTTTTTTTCCTTATCTGTGTGCAAGGTGTAACATGCTAGTACTTTTTATTGGTCTCCGTTCGTGACTGTTTATGCATGTGTATGTATGCATCCGGGGGTGGGGAGTGGGGGGCATGTGTGTGTGTTCATGTGTGTGTGTGTATGTGTGTATGTGTGCGTGCGTGCGTGTGTGCGTGTGTGCGTACGTGTGTATGTATGTGTGCACGGCAGTGCACTAGAAGGCGGTGGTTTGCCCAGTATTTGTAGTATGCCTTGAATTGATCGGTGTGCTGTGGATGCTTGCTCTTTCCCACTGTGCCCATCGTGTCCAGGTGTACTGCTGCAGCGTACAACTGGCTGTGGCACCAGCAACACCAGCTCTGAATTGCTCGGCGCTAGTGTTGGCTCTGCCACGGCTGTCGACTTCTTTGCACGCTACCCCACATTGTTCGCTCACTTCTTGTCTCTGCTGCGCTCGGCCACAATGTCCTGCAATGAAAGCACCGACACTTCAACGGTGGATGAAGTGACTGATCAGTACGTAGAGTATTTGCCGAGTTCAAAGCCACACGTTTGTTTCTCTAAACATGAACTGGAAAGTGAAAAATTGCGTCCCAGAGGGGGGGGGGGGGTACACCTGTGCTGCCTCGACCCGGACAATACAGTACAATTCATGCTCATTTTGCCTGGGTTTGGCAAGTAGGCTTGCAACAAAATCGAACTATGATGCATCATGCATGCACGCGTATCCGCTGTATATTTCACGTGTCAAGGCCTAGCAAGTTTGCCGTCGGTATTGATCACGCTGCATGCGTGCGCGCGTCCATGGCTCGCGCTCGTGCACGTGTGTGTGTGTGTGTACGTGTGTGTGTGTGTGTGTGTGCGTGCGTGTGCGTGCGTGCGTGCGTGTGTGTGTGGACACATGTATGCGCCTGTTACCTGCAGCTGGGCAAAGCCGCTGCCGGCAAGTTTGCAGCCATTGCTGGTCTTGTTATCGTCCCTGGCTCGAAGTTCACACCATCTACAGTCCCATGCTAGGTAAGAGAGAGAGAGAGCATGGAGATATTAGAGAGGTTAAGATGCACGTTATTTCTGACGTGACCCGAAAGTTCAGCTCGCGTTATTTGCTCGCACGTCGAAAAATCAACGCGAGTGACCTGCTGCTCACGTCAAAATTTTGAGTTTTACGCCAAATTTGACGTGAAATTGCGCGTCACGTCGGAAATAACGTGCATCTTAACCCTTTGTGTACGGACTGTACAACTTTCGATCCCCTGGGATCGAAACTTTTCAAAATTTCAATCGATCGTAACTCAGTCGTTCCTGGGTTATATCCGAAAACTAAAATATGTAGGTCAAAGAGAAAACTCCCAGCTGTCCATTGAAACAATCGCTGAAGCGCTCTGATGTGTGGTTCCAGAGTTACGAAGCTCGAAAGTCGAATCGCGGCAAATGTCGCTCAATAGCCGCTCGCGCGAATTTGAATGAGGGATTTCCCCATCATTCTGGGCATGCAGTGACGAAGAAACACGTTCAAAATGGTAAACGGACTCATGGCAGTTTGTGAATTTTTTTTGAAGTAACAGTTAGTTGTTACGAGCAAGGAGAGCGAAATGGCTGATGCAAGACGACTTCTGTCGGAATATTGGCGTTGCAGCTAAGACGCTGGGCTGTAGCGCTGGCGTTTTGACCTTCGTGGTGGCAAGCGTGGGCTCAATGTGTTCCTCTTGCGACGAGCTTTCCAGGAAGCCCAAGATTGAAAAAATCGTCAAAAGGAGACTAAAGTTATGACCCAGATAATTATAGAATTTGAGGTGAGTCGAGATCAAATTCAGTCTGTGTACAATTTTTTCAGTACATAAAGGGTTAACCTCTCTATTAACCATTTAACTACAGTCAGACCTCGCTTATCCGGTCCTCGTTTATCCGGATCCCTCGCCATCCGGAAGAAAATCGCTGGTTACCGATGTGCAGCATATGTTATGCATACAACATAACCGGACCTCGCGATCCGCATACCGGTGCATGATTTTGTGTACAAACTGGTTGAAATGTGTACAAAAAGCTTCGTCGTATCCGGTTGCATGTGCCTTGCAGAAGCTAGAATCAGGGAGTTGTACAGGCAAATGAGGTCCTTGACCTGCTGGGTGCATGTGAACAGCACTCAGTTGCATGCACTTGTCATTTTTCTTGCTTGTTTTAGATACTGTGCACGCTAGTTGTACTGCATAGGACCCGTCTACATGTATGTACGATGTCATTGCTTTTGATATGCCACATGCATATACAGTATGTGTGTTCAGTTATCCGGTTCCCTCGCCTATCCGGATATTTTTGTGGAAAACAGATGTGTGCGGTTAAGCGAGGTCTGACTGTACCGCCATCAAGAGTACATAAACCAGAGTGTGCAGCTCGGGATGGTTCCTGTGGGAGCGTAATTCGTGCGGTACGTCATTTCTGACGGCATGGTAAGCCACAGGTACGGTGAAAAGTTGCGTAACCAGTCGCGGTGGTGCAGGTCACTGAGTTTGTCCTGATTTCGGTTTTTGATACGGATAGCCTGGTGACTTTACTTGTCGGTGGATGTACGCAGCGTACACAGTCACACAAAACACCGAAATCCTGAAACAGGACGTCTAAAATCAAGCAAACTTGGCTGATTTCCGGGCTATGAAACATGAAAATTTGAGCTGTACGCAAGTCGCGGCTTGGCTGACCTCATCAGGGTGGCGTAGTGCACGAACTGCGCTGTTTCAGATCTGATATGCACAGTTGCACACTCTGGTTTATGTACTCTTGCCGCCATGTATTAAATGTGTCCACGAAATCCACCTGTATTCACTGGCTGAAAGTCTGGCCGATTACCTACTACAGCCTCATCTATGTCGTCCAACATCTTTACTGCGAGTCTTCCAGGCTGCACTGCTTTAGCAGGAGCTGCTGTTCTGTGTCCTCTGCCTCTGCCTCTACCGTGACCTCCGCCACGACCACGACAATGTCCGCAACAGACACCAACGTCGGTCGGAACCAGCGCAGGCATAACTTCAGCATCGTCCGCTGCAGCAGCGACAGGATTCTGTGCCTGCTCTTCAGAAACATGTATGCCATCAGCTACGATGTGTTGATGCGTATCGCCAGCACTCACCTCAGGAGAATCATCCGTCTCTTGGTGCTATCCAAGGCGATTGTTGCGGACTAACATTGTCCCGCAACTGACCAACGACGAGTAGACTACGGAGATGTGGACAAGCTCAATTTACTTCGACATTTCAACTCGTATCGAACAAGAACATAAAGAACCAAAGAACAATGATCGCCAAGTCGCTGTCCTGAGCAAAACGTGCCCGCATGCATGCATTTGGCTTGTGCCGCATACACGCAAAACCAGTGTGCATGACATAAAGAGAAAATGCAGCGCGGAGAAAATGCATGAATCGTCGTAGCCGCGAAATGTAATTGATTTACAGTACGGACTGCCAATGCATTGTAATAGGCCTCGATGTTCTACAACTTCCTTGGGCAGCAGTGAGGTGTAGAACATGAATCATCTCAAGGTCGATTGCATCTTAGTTCATGTATGTGTTCTGTTTGTTCTCGCTTGTCTGGTGGTGTTGTGTGTCAGGCTGGAAGAGTTTGTGCCGTTCTTTCTCAAGCTATCGTCGTGTCCAGTACTGGCAGTACGCGTTCTCAGTGCCCGCTGCCTCAATGCCTTCATTTCCGACGGTTAGTGGCGCGTCGTTTATCTCGCTGGTCACGTCTCTTTCTGCCTACTCTACTGCTACTATAGCAGGGCTGCTCTGCTAGAATCACCACTTTGCCCATTGTTATTTGATTGCTTGTGTGCCCTGTAAAAACAGTATCTCTGTAAAAACAGTATCCCTGTAAAAACAGTATCCCTGTAAAAACAGTATCCCTGTAAAAACAGTTTCTCTGTAAAAACAGTATCCCTGTAAAAACGGTTTCTCTGTAAAAACAGTATCCCTGTAAAAACAGTATCCCTGTAAAAACAGTATCCCTGTAAAAACAGTATCCCTGTAAAAACAGTATCTCTGTAAAAACAGTATCCCTGTAAAAACAGTATCCCTGTAAATAAAGTATCCCTGTAAAAACAGTATCCCTGTAAAAACAGTATCCCTGTAAAAACAGTATCTCTGTAAAAACAGTATCCCTGTAAAAACAGTATCCCTGTAAAAACAGTATCCCTGTAAAAACAGTATCCCTGTAAAAACAGTTTCTCTGTAAAAACAGTATCCCTGTAAAAACAGTATCTCTGTAAAAACAGCAGACCTTTGTGTAAGAAAAATCCAGGGGAGTGAACAATCACTCTCGCTATCCTCTCAAGGAGAGTGGTGGGAGAGCAGTCCCCAGCACCCTCCCCCCCCCTCCCCCCCCCCTCCCCCCCCCCCCCCCAAATCGCTCACCTCATCTACCCAAGGCGAGCACAAATTACAATACGGGGTTTTCAACATCTTGCTATACCCCAATCGGATTCAATACCCAAATAGGTGCCAAATTCATTCCGGAAAATTGCCGTACGCCCTACAAATGGAAGCTGTTCGGACCACAACTTCAGTTTCCCTTCATCAATTTTGCAATGAATCTCAGGCATTCTGGAAAGCTACTGCCCTACTGCCATCGCACTACTCCTCCTAGTCCTACTGCTTGCTAACTAGCTACTTCAAGCCTTCAGACTGGCCTGATGCCAGCTGGGCTGCCAAAACCACGGAAAAAAACTATGGAGCTGCAAAAGTCCCAACTGGCCTCTGCCTGTACAGCCTACTGCTCTTTACTTATCCACTGGATCAGCAGCAGATGCTCCTGCAGACGCTAATGCGGCCTCAGCAGTACTGCCGGGCTGCCCGGAACTTGTCGACGGGTTCCAGCTTGGCCAATAACCTTCTCGCGCTGGCTGGTGGCTCGACTTTACGGATGCATTCAAGGAAGGTGTGGAAGGATTCGTCATCACCAGTGCTTAGTGCATCGAGCAATTCCTCATTCTGCGCTGCACGGCCAGTGTTTGATGCAAATAGCTGACGCTGTGCACGCGTAATCAACTTCTTAGCCTCACACTGGCGACGCATATCACCTGGAGTTAGCGTGGAAACCAGGTCAGGCCGAAGTTCTGTGAAGACGTCACTCTCCCATGCTGTCATGTCAGAGAGCTGTTGGTCAAGAGACTCGTCTGAAAATGTTGGCACAACACACACATAGAGAAACAGAATCAGACCTTCGTGTAAGAAAAATCCATGAGAGTGAACAATCACTCTTGCTATCCTCTCAAGGAGAGTGGTGGGAGAGCAGTCCCCCCCCCCCCCCCCCCAAAAGTCGCTCACCATATCTATCCAAGGCGAGCACAATACGGTTTTTTCAACATCTTGCCATACCCTAATCGGATTCAATACCCAATAGCTGCCAAATTCGTTCTAGAAAATCGCCGTACGCACTACAAATGACAGCTGTTCGGACCACACCTTTAATTTCCCTTCATCAATTTGGACGATGACACGCGCAATAGGAAATTGAGACAATTCGCATCCATGGTAATTTTGTAGTTTTCATTGTGGAGCGCTACTTTCTTCTGTAGCTAACCGCTCAAGACCTGTGCCTGACGTCGCACAGGTCTATGCATGCCCGGACTGTCACGCAACAGAGGGAAATCCTTTAGGTCAAAATAATAATAATTGGCACCCAAGTGCGGAAGTGAAAATTTGCAACGGTACGTAAAATACCTTGCGAGTGCCGTAACTCCACTATTTGACCTCGGATCGACTTCCGATTAGTTGGAGCCGACAACTGAGAACCTTCTAATACGAATAGACCTTTCGAGTGCTCGATTCCGTTCAGGGAAAGCCGAGTTATGAAATATTTGAGTGTTTGCAGAATGCACTTCACAGTGATGCGGATGCGCTCGAAATTCTCAAGGCGCGCGACGAAAAGTGCGCCCAAAAAGAAAATAAGGAGAGCGAAGGCGCGCGAGAGCGATCGCTCTCCTTTTACCAGATGGTCTGAAACAGTATCCCTGTAACAAAAGTATCCCTGTAAAAACAGTATCCCTGTAAAAACAGTATCTCTGTAAAAACAGTATCCCTGTAAAAACAGTATCCCTGTAAAAACAGTTTCTCTGTAAAAACAGTATCTCTGTAAAAACAGTATCCCTGTAAAAACAGTATCCCTGTAAAAACAGTATCTCTGTAAAAACAGTATCTCTGTAAAAACAGTATCCCTGTAAAAACCGTTTCTCTGTAAAACAGTATCCCTGTAAAAACAGTGTCCCTGCACAAACAATGGATGCACTCAGACCAAACAGCAGTCAAGTGGGACAATGAATGTCGATTTCACCAATTGGGTATTCTCTCGGTATTTACGGATAAAGGAACGAATGTCTAAGACTTGTACGAGAGCTCAGCTCAGGGCCCTCGCTATGCTGTGTGCAGAATACGGTGTATTTAGTACTGTTTACTACCCTGCGTGCTCATACGATAACTATTGGTCGCTCACGTGATCTATCACGTGGTTCGTACCCGCCCGCCTGGGCACACACACACACATACACACACACACACACACACACACACACACACACACACACACACACACACACACACACACACACACACACACACATACGAAATAAGGCGCGGGGGGGGGGAGCTGGCTTGCGCCGGATGCTACTGCGCAGCGTCTTTTGAATGGCTTCAGAGATAAAGACTGGGCTCTGGTTCGAGCTGAAAGGGATTTTTGGAATATAAGCTGGGTTCTGGGTCAAGTTGGGTGGGATTTTGGCCAAAGCATGTTGCTCTGTCCGTATTTCACACTGGACAAAAACACTGCAAGAAGCCTCACCCTTACTTCTGAAAAGAAACTTTATCACAACCAATACGAACTTTACAACCAACTTCGTTCATCACAACTGTATTCTGAATTTCTGATCTTATCCGTCATGCGGTGTAGACGACCATGCTAAGGAACTGCTGATGCAACTGCTACGTGAGATCCCGTCAAGCGTGCCGGCTGGCCATGGCAGCGCTGCAACAAGAGGTGAGTGTCACATGTTCTTTCTGATAGGGAGATATTCTCTTTGTACAAAAATCTACACCAAAGGGGATGGATAGTATACTTCACATGTGACTCTGGTGTCTTGTTGCAATGTGATGCTGAATTGTACACCATCTTTCAACTTTGCCGTACTTCTGAGCTATGTGCTGTGGTTATTGAAAAGCGTGAAGTGGCCAGTGATAGCATGATTGTGTTCCCTGACTCTGTTTGCAGTGGGAATAGCGCAGAATACGCTCCATGGCACCTTGTTGAAAACAGAGATGCTCTGGAAAATGGTCTCGCTTGGGTAAGTGACTCGTGCTGGCGACATGCATGTGAAAGCACTGCAGTCATGTACATGTACATTGCCCACCTGGGCCTTGCTGTCCAGCTATGCCTGTGCCTTTGCCTTTGCCTCACGTTAAGCAACCCAATTGTCATGCTCATATACAGTGGTCCCTGTATAATCCAGCAGCATTCGTGTGAGAGAAATTCTGCTGGATTACGGAGGGTGCTGGATTAACAAATCTGATCTACTGTTGCAATGTGCATGAAGAGGACATTTTGGCTAATGAAAATTATGCTGGTTTATAGAGGGTGCTGGTTTATAAAGTGCCGGATTAAAGAGGGACGACTGCAGTAGATTTTTCTCAAAAAGCAGGTGTGGGGAGAGTCCCAGTAGCGATGGACCGTCTTGTGTGCACCAAACTGTCTTGATTGTGATTGCTTTATTGTGTGTGTGCGTGCGTGCGTGCGTGTGGTATGATACATACTGTTTCATACTGATCCAGTGATTGGCATTGTGGCTGGTAATGGGTAATCACTCGGCTCTGATGTTCTTCACTCTGCCTCAGAGAGAAATACGGAACTCTCCTGTCAATCCGGTTGTGCACACTTTTTTTCCGTATTGGCGATGTATTTTTTATGCAATTAGAAGATTTTCCTACTTCAGTCTAAGGCTGCGTTCGTTTTTAGCTACCTGGTAGAGTAGAGTAGAGTCACTCTACCGATAGAGGTAGATGGTAGAGGCAAGTGTACGAACGCTGTTCTACCAGATCTAGTAGTTTACACGATGTGTACGTGAAATGTTTCTTTTTTTTATGGAGTTGTGTACAAATCCTTGATCTTGCTGGAAATCCCGTAGCTCTACCCATTTCTACCGGATTCTACCAACTTTTTCCCAGTAGAGCCTGTAGAGGAAAGTAGAATCTACCCTTTTGAGTAGAATTTTTTTTCAAAAAACGAACACCTCTACCGTAAGAAGTAGTTTCTACCCAAACCTGTAGATCAAAAACGAACGCCCCCTAATTCTTCTTCTGCTGTGTGCTTGGTGTTCCACTTTCATTGATCCATCGTGTAGCTCATGCAGTCCTGACTTCTATCAAGAAGTGTGCCAGCTAATCTTGGGCCATGCTTGGGTGGGTACACTATACATGCTGTGCGTACATATTTATGCATGAATACATGAATACATGAATACAATCATGTACAGTCGACTCCACGCATAACGAACTCGCATATAGCGAATTTCATGATAATATAGCGAACCCTTGTCCATGTCCCTGTTCGAACCCACACTAAATTGACCCTTTACAGCGAACAGTTTTCGTTTATAACGAACCCAATCTTGTAGGGCCGCATGTAAACCAAGTGCACTCATACTGTCATGGACATGGGTCACTTGCCAGTCATGTCTTGTTGCTTGTATGGGTGAGTGCATTTCTGTTATAACAAACTTCGGCTATAAAGTACTAATTCTCCCGCACAATGGTGTTCGTTCAGGAGTCGACTATATGCATGAATGCATGTACAGTGCGTATCGGTTATAGCGTGGTCGTGTAAAAGAATATACTGCCTACAAGAATGAACTCTCATGTTTTCATAATCATAACATGGATTTCAAGTGCACATTTATTCTTACAAGCAATTTCATCCCATAGTAGAATATATCGGTCCTAAGAATGGACTTTGTGTAGCGAAACATGCCAGATTAGTACAAAGTGTATCGCCTGTAGTAATAGCATCTGTCCAATTCCGTTCTGATCTGACTCTCGTTGCGCCGTAGTGCTGCAGATTCAACTGTTGTGATCATGTAACTTATTTTGCATAGCCACATGGTAAGCCTATGTGACTGTGACCAACCATATGCACAGAAGTACTGCGTTGTATGTACGATGATCTTCCTGCCCCTGCGCACATGCATGTGATATACCACACTTGATTTATCGTGTGTAAGAAATATCGGAAATAAGAATAGAAAGTCGTTTTTCAAACACCCACGCTATAACCGATACCTACTGTATATGTATCCTTGTGTATGTCTGTTGTGCACGTTGTGGGAACATGTGGAAGAGGACATCAGAGATATGCTTGTAAAACCCATTGAAGTGTTGCAGCGGAAGCACTTTTTTCCCACCAGTGTTGATCGCTGTCGTCTTGTGAGGAGGCTAGTAAGAATATACTCTGGCTGCTCTTGTTGCTGATGCTGTTGAGCTAAGGATTGTATGGATGCATGCGGCTGAATAGAACCTGTTGATTATCCGCTGTTCTTCCGCATTCGGTTGCTGCAGTGTAAGCCATCGTGTGATACCGTCCACATCTCCTCTTTGTTTATTTAAAAACAACTACAGTTTTTTTACTGTACACATTGCATTCTGTGCTATGATTATATTCCTTTGTTGTGTCAGCTTTGCTCATCGCGCAATACATGCAGCCTGACTCGCACTGCTGCCATGAACGTCTGGAGGCTAGTGGCGAAACATGCAGGTATGATTGGTCTGCTCCAGTATCTTCAGTATCAGTATCTTCCTTGAAAGACGCTTTGTGTATGGCATAATGTCATCCAAATCTTCTCGGGGTTCTGCGGACATCAACTACAGTCAGACCTGGCATAACCGCACACTGCATCCGTTTTCCAGAAAAATTTCCGGATAGGTGAGGGAACCGGATAATCGGACACGCATACTGTATGTGTACATGGCATATGCTGTGAATCGGTAACCAACGATTTTCTTCCGGATGGCGAGGGATCCGGATAAACGAGGACCGGATAAACGAGGTCTGACTGTATATTCAAGATTCGTTTTTCTTTGTGTGTTTATTGAGTAATGTCTACTCGTATTGATGTCTACTCGTATTGATGTCTACTCGTATTGATGTCTACTCGTATTGATGTCTACTCGTATTGATGTCTACTCGTATTGATGTCTTCTCGTATTGATGTCTACTCGTATTGATGTTATCATGTCTACTCTCGTATTGATGTTATCATGTCTACTCTCGTATTGATGTTATCATGTCTACTCTCGTATTGATGTTATCATGTCTACTCTCGTATTGATGTTATCATGTCTACTCTCGTATTGATGTTATCATGTCTACTCTCGTATTGATGTTATCATGTCTACTCTCGTATTGATGTTATCATGTCTACTCTCGTATTGATGTTATCATGTCTACTCTCGTATTGATGTTATCATGTCTACTCTCGTATTGATGTTATCATGTCTACTCTCGTATTGATGTTATCATGTCTACTCTCGTATTGATGTTATCATGTCTACTCTCGTATTGATGTTATCATGTCTACTCTCGTATTGATGTTATCATGTCTACTCTCGTATTGATGTTATCATGTCTACTCTCGTATTGATGTTATCATGTCTACTCTCGTATTGATGTTATCATGTCTACTCTCGTATTGATGTTATCATGTCTACTCTCGTATTGATGTTATCATGTCTACTCTCGTATTGATGTTATCAAGAGTACACAACAGTTATGAACTCTTGATGTTATTTATTGCTTTCGGTGTTTCATGTCTTGTAATTTGTTGGTGTATACAACTATAGATTAGTCTGACTGTCCGTGTCATGTGCTGTCTCATCCCTGCTGTGCTTGGGTGCATGTCGATACAGGTTTTGCTGATGTATCCGAGCAAGTCATAGCCTGCTCTCTGACGGCTGTGCAGAGCGATGTGGGCCGACACGTGACCGTAAGACAATCAATCCTGTACCACATGCAGTTGCACATGCAGGCATGCTGATGTGGGTTATATTAAACACATGCATGTATGCATGCACACAGATGCATATGCACGCACACACACATGCACGCACGCACCCACGCCACATGCACGCACACACGCATGCACGCGCACCCTTTGGTCGATGGTAACACCGTCATCACGTCAATTGTTCCCCAGTAGTATAAATTAAGGAAGAAGAAAGGACCAATAAGTTATGAGTTATGACTAACGGTCCTAGTTCTTGATAAGAACAACTTGTTATTGGGAACAAATACCACCGGTCCTTTGGTGTTCGTCCTACAGAGGTTTGACTGCACATACTGGAGATATGTATTTGTTAATGCAAAGGAACGTGTATGATGGCGTGCTTATTCTGGCTGCACGCACAGGCCTGCCAGCAAATCTCAAGTTTGTTTTAAAGTATGCTAGTCAGATTGGACAGCAGCAGGAGTATTATCAGTATGGCTCTAGGAGTAAGTTCAAGTGTAGTTTACAAGTATAACAATGAAAAGCAAGTCTATGACGCATGTCAGCCGGTATCCAGATTGCCTGTGTGAATGCATACTGCCAAATGAAGTATAATTTAGATGACAGACTCTTTGCCATCCGCCGATAGTGATGCGAGAAACTGGCGGTGTGACCCGATCTGCTCAGCCATACAAACAGTGTCATACACCGAATGAGCCTGGTCGGCTAGTTCGGCGGGCTCCTCGTCGACGGCATTAGTGTCTGACCCAGTGCGTTGTGACTGACATACTAACGCAAAAAATGCCCAGCCTTGCTACAGTTGCGACAACGGATGTGGGTAGCAGGGCGAAACAATTTCCTTGGTATGGGCATGACCACAGTACTTGCACGAACCAGATGCTGTTTGCTTGGTTGGGTTTGCGTTGCTGTCTGGCTGCACTGAGCTAAAATTGGAAGGCGCTGCCGGCGGTTCGTACAACTTACTCGCCGCATACGAGGTCTCTGGTGCCACTGCTTTTGTAATGGCATCTGCTAGGGTGAGCTTGGATTCCTTGAGCAGTTCACGACGTACTTCGGGGGATTTTCAGACCCGCAACCAACTGGTCTCGCACCTGAGAGTTTACAATTGTGTCTACATCTGTCGCCCCGGATTTAGATAGCTCTGCTCTTTCTCTCTCATAGACGGCCAACGGAGGTGGAGACTGATTTCTTGACTCCTTGTTTCAACTGCCGGAATTTGGGGCGTTCCGAAGTTGTGTTGACGGTTGGACGAAAGTGCGCCACAATGGCGTCCGTGGTGCTTTGTGCTCATCACCAGGAGATCCATCAGCATTTACTGGCGGAGATGGAATAACTAAGCCCTTTACTACTTTCCGAACCGAGAGTCCAGTCAAATTATAGAAAAAACGCTTTTTTCAGCAGCGATAGTAACATTGCAAATTGCTAGGTGATCACTCGCGTCCTCTGGCCAAAGCTCGAAATCGGCCCCGATGCCGCCTGAGTAATCGGGGACAACATCCTTGGGCACTCTGCCCTTCGTTGTCATCCTGTTCGCCAATGTACATTGACAGCACTGCTATGTCGACAGCAGCAATACAAGTCAGGTGTTCAGGTAGCCATTGTAGGCTTCGTCTTCTTCAAGCTCTCTGCTGTACACTGCATTGTATGCACGCATAAACTGATAGCTAGACGGGGTGTTAACAAACTTTTTTCACTGAATAGTCCTATCAAAGCTGTCCTGGTTTGTTGTGAATCTCCTAGTCGGGGAATCCGCCCTAATCTCCCAGTCGGGAAATGTGCACTGATCTCCTTGTCGAGGAATCTGTACTAATCTCCTGGTCATTCTTGCTATTGTTTCACTCCCTGCAGGTTGCTGATGGCCAGTGGCTTGCTACAGCAGCAGATGCACTGTTAGAAAGTAAGTTTCCTTTTTTACAACTCAATTCTGGTAGCCTTGACTACACGCTGCCCTTGCCAAGATAATCTCTTTGATGGGAACGAATTCCCCCGCTGGGCAGTGATCAAGTGAGAATGTTTGTTGCATTGGGTGTTTTTACAGGTATATCTCCGGAACGAACTTCAAACATCGCTCACCTTCTTATCAAGCATGCATCGTACGATGTGCGCCTGAGAGTATTGCAGTTCATCTCAGACTGTGGAACATGTGCACCGCTTTCTAAGCAGTCACAGGTAAGCTCAGCCTGTATGTGTATATTAGGGAGTCGTAGTCGCTCATTTTTACATGTTGTGATTGCTTGTTATGGCGTATTGTTGTTGCTCTTATTCGCATCCAGCATGTGAGTACAAATTTGTTCACTGCACTCAGTTGGGGTACTGTGACTTTACAACTACAACAGTCGGCTGTGCAGGAAGAATAATGGGCCTTGTGTGCGGTGCCTGCAATGCTTCAAAACCATAGTACCTTGGTGCATGTTGGTCCATGCAACGTGCGCATCTGTGTGCACGTACCTTTTACAGGATGCCCTTGTCGAGTGCGTACGCAGTGAGACCAATCGTGATTGTCTGGCCCTGGCACTAAAGTGTCTGCTTGTAACATGGCAAGGAGCTCAAGCAGCAACAACAGCAACAACAGCAACAACAGCAACATGCCTGCAATCTACTGAAGGCAAGCTGGAGAATCTGAAACTGCATTTCTTTGTGTGCGTGTGTGTGTGGGGGGAGGGGGGAAGGGGGGAGGTATATGATAGCAGCACATTGGGAATATAACGTTGCAGGTTGTCTTCTGGGAATGTGTGCCCCAGTAGCGTAGTCGGTTAGCGCGTCGTACTTATAAGCAGTGCTTGCCTGCAACTGAGTTATGCGAAGGTCGGGAGTTCGAGCCTCCCCTGGGGCAGTAGCAGTCATCTGGCTGGTGACTGCTATTTTTTCGCTCTTTATTCTAATTTTTCACAGCCATGAAACCAAGAACACGGTATAGTTGTCGTACTCTAGGGATTTGTGCACTCTTGGCTGATCGAAGAGATGGGATAGGAGTGAGTGTCTGCAGTGGAGAGACTGTTTGGATGTCCGTCGTGACTTTATGTAGCCCTGCAATGTTGGTTCCCCTCGTCCCTCTGTTGCAACAATATGCTCATTTGTCCCTGCGCTCATCCCTCCATGTCATTGAAAATGCTATTGGATGTACGAAGAGTACATAAACCAGAGTGTGCAACTCGGGATGGTTCCTGTGGGAGCGTAATTCGTGCAGTACGTCATTTCTGACGGCATGGTAAGCCACAGGTACTGTGAAAAGTTGCGTAACCAGTCACAGTGGTGCAGGTCCCTGAGTTTGTCCTGATTTCGTTTTTTGAGACGGATAGCATGGTGAATTTACTTGCCAGCGCATGTACACAGCGTACGCAGTCTCCCAAAAACACCGAAATCTTAAAATAGGACGTCTAAATCATGCAAACTTGGCTGATTTCCGGACTGTGAAACATGAAAATTTGAGCTGTACGCAAGTTGCAGCTTGGCTGACCTCATCAGGGTGACGTAGTGCACGAACTGCGCTGTTTCAGATCTGATATGCACAGGTGCACACTCTGGTTTATGTACTCTTGGATGTGCCCAAACAATCTTTTTCGAACCTGGGATGTTTTGTATCAAGAGGACGAAACAGTTCTGTTCGCAGATTGAGTATCAAGAGTACATAAATTTGCCAGGATAGTCACAATATCTCTCTGTGGTGGAAGGAATGGAGAATACTGTGAAAGTGTTTGAAAGTGTGTTCTCGTCATTCCTTCATCAGCGACTGTACGTTGGCGATGAATTCAGAGAACCCGGCAATCTCGTATATGTCAGAGTACTGCAGCATGTAGGGTGACAACTGTGAGAAAGGTAACTGCAGAATAGCATCACAACCCGGGTGGAACCTACCATGCCTAGCGTAGAACAAAGCAGGTAGCGGTGTGAGGAAAGAACACATGAAGTGAAGTCGCGCTGTGGCTTCGGCAGGCTCCTATTTCTATTTTCCCCAGCCAATGCTCGTGTGCCCCAGTAGCGTAGTCGGTTAGCGCGTCGTACTTATAAGCAGTGCTTGCCTGCAACTGAGTTATGCGAAGGTCGGGAGTTCGAGCCTCCCCTGGGGCAGTAGCAGTCATCTGGCTGGTGACTGCTATTTTTTCGCTCTTTATTCTAATTTTTCACAGCCATGAAACCAAGAACACGGTATAGTTGTCGTACTCTATGGGATTTGTGCACTCTTGGCTGGTTGAAGGGATAGGATAGGATTGAGTGTCTGCAGTGGAGAGACTGTTTGGATGTCCATCGTGACTTTATGTAGCCCTGCAATGTTGGTTCCCCTCGTCCCTCTGTTGCAACAATATGCTCCTTTATCCCTGCGCTCATCCCTCCATGTCATTGAAAATGCTATTGGATGTACGAAGAGTACATAAACCAGAGTGTGCAACTCGGGATGGTTCCTGTGGGAGCGTAATTCGTGCAGTACGTCATTTCTGACGGCATGGTAAGCCACAGGTACTGTGAAAAGTTGCGTAACCAGTCACAGTGGTGCAGGTCCCTGAGTTTGTCCTGATTTCGTTTTTTGAGACGGATAGCATGGTGAATTTACTTGCCAGCGCATGTACACAGCGTACGCAGTCTCCCAAAAACACCGAAATCTTAAAATAGGACGTCTAAATCATGCAAACTTGGCTGATTTCCGGACTGTGAAACATGAAAATTTGAGCTGTACGCAAGTTGCAGCTTGGCTGACCTCATCAGGGTGACGTAGTGCACGAACTGCGCTGTTTCAGATCTGATATGCACAGTTGCACACTCTGGTTTATGTACTCTTGGATGTGCCCAAACAATCTTTTTCGAACCTGGGATGTTTTGTATCAAGAGGACGAAACAGTTCTGTTCGCAGATTGAGTATCAAGAGTACATAAATTTGCCAGGATAGTCACAATATCTCTCTGTGGTGGAAGGAATGGAGAATACTGTGAAAGTGTTTGAAAGTGTGTTCTCGTCATTCCTTCATCAGCGACTGTACGTTGGCGATGAATTCAGAGAACCCGGCAATCTCGTATATGTCAGAGTACTGCAGCATGTAGGGTGACAACTGTGAGAAAGGTAACTGCAGAATAGCATCACAACCCGGGTGGAACCTACCATGCCTAGCGTAGAACAAAGCAGGTAGCGGTGTGAGGAAAGAACACGTGAAGTGAAGTCGCGCTGTGGCTTCGGCAGGCTCCTATTTCTATTTTCCCCAGCCAATGCTCGTGTGCCCCAGTAGCGTAGTCGGTTAGCGCGTCGTACTTATAAGCAGTGCTTGCCTGCAACTGAGTTATGCGAAGGTCGGGAGTTCGAGCCTCCCCTGGGGCAGTAGCAGTCATCTGGCTGGTGACTGCTATTTTTTCGCTCTTTATTCTAATTTTTCACAGCCATGAAACCAAGAACACGGTATAGTTGTCGTACTCTATGGGATTTGTGCACTCTTGGCTGGTTGAAGGGATAGGATAGGAGTGAGTGTCTGCAGTGGAGAGACTGTTTGGATGTCCATCGTGACTTTATGTAGCCCTGCAATGTTGGTTCCCCTCGTCCCTCTGTTGCAACAATATGCTCCTTTATCCCTGCGCTCATCCCTCCATGTCATTGAAAATGCTATTGGATGTACGAAGAGTACATAAACCAGAGTGTGCAACTCGGGATGGTTCCTGTGGGAGCGTAATTCGTGCAGTACGTCATTTCTGACGGCATGGTAAGCCACAGGTACTGTGAAAAGTTGCGTAACCAGTCACAGTGGTGCAGGTCCCTGAGTTTGTCCTGATTTCGTTTTTTGAGACGGATAGCATGGTGAATTTACTTGCCAGCGCATGTACACAGCGTACGCAGTCTCCCAAAACACCGAAATCTTAAAATAGGACGTCTAAATCATGCAAACTTGGCTGATTTCCGGACTGTGAAACATGAAAATTTGAGCTGTACGCAAGTTGCAGCTTGGCTGACCTCATCAGAGTGACGTAGTGCACGAACTGCGCTGTTTCAGATCTGATATGCACAGTTGCACACTCTGGTTTATGTACTCTTGGATGTGCCCAAACAATCTTTTTCGAACCTGGGATGTTTTGTATCAAGAGGACGAAACAGTTCTGTCCGCAGATTGAGTATCAAGAGTACATAAATTTGCCAGGATAGTCGCAATATCTCTCTGTGGTGGAAGGAATGGAGAATACTGTGAAAGTGTTTGAAAGTGTGTTCTCGTCATTCCTTCATCAGCGACTGTACGTTGGTGATGAATTCAGAGAACCCGGCAATCTCGTATATGTCAGTACTGCAGCATGTAGGGTGACAACTGTGAGAAAGGTAACTGCAGAATAGCATCACAACCCAGGTGGAACCTACCATGCCTAGCGTAGAACAAAGCAGGTAGCGGTGTGAGGAAAGCACACATGAAGTGAAGTCGCGCTGTGGCTTCGGCAGGCTCCTATTTCTATTTTCCCCAGCCAATGCTCGTGTGCCCCAGTAGCGTAGTCGGTTAGCGCGTCGTACTTATAAGCAGTGCTGCCTGCAACTGAGTTATGCGAAGGTCGGGAGTTCGAGCCTCCCCTGGGGCAGTAGCAGTCATCTGGCTGGTGACTGCTATTTTTTCGCTCTTTATTCTAATTTTTCACAGCCATGAAACCAAGAACACGGTATAGTTGTCGTACTCTATGGGATTTGTGCACTCTTGGCTGGTTGAAGGGATAGGATAGGAGTGAGTGTCTGCAGTGGAGAGACTGTTTGGATGTCCATCGTGACTTTATGTAGCCCTGCAATGTTGGTTCCCCTCGTCCCTCTGTTGCAACAATATGCTCCTTTATCCCTGCGCTCATCCCTCCATGTCATTGAAAATGCTATTGGATGTACGAAGAGTACATAAACCAGAGTGTGCAACTCGGGATGGTTCCTGTGGGAGCGTAATTCGTGCAGTACGTCATTTCTGACGGCATGGTAAGCCACAGGTACTGTGAAAAGTTGCGTAACCAGTCACAGTGGTGCAGGTCCCTGAGTTTGTCCTGATTTCGTTTTTTGAGACGGATAGCATGGTGAATTTACTTGCCAGCGCATGTACACAGCGTACGCAGTCTCCCAAAACACCGAAATCTTAAAATAGGACGTCTAAATCATGCAAACTTGGCTGATTTCCGGACTGTGAAACATGAAAATTTGAGCTGTACGCAAGTTGCAGCTTGGCTGACCTCATCAGAGTGACGTAGTGCACGAACTGCGCTGTTTCAGATCTGATATGCACAGTTGCACACTCTGGTTTATGTACTCTTGGATGTGCCCAAACAATCTTTTTCGAACCTGGGATGTTTTGTATCAAGAGGACGAAACAGTTCTGTCCGCAGATTGAGTATCAAGAGTACATAAATTTGCCAGGATAGTCGCAATATCTCTCTGTGGTGGAAGGAATGGAGAATACTGTGAAAGTGTTTGAAAGTGTGTTCTCGTCATTCCTTCATCAGCGACTGTACGTTGGTGATGAATTCAGAGAACCCGGCAATCTCGTATATGTCAGTACTGCAGCATGTAGGGTGACAACTGTGAGAAAGGTAACTGCAGAATAGCATCACAACCCAGGTGGAACCTACCATGCCTAGCGTAGAACAAAGCAGGTAGCGGTGTGAGGAAAGCACACATGAAGTGAAGTCGCGCTGTGGCTTCGGCAGGCTCCTATTTCTATTTTCCCCAGCCAATGCTCGTGTGCCCCAGTAGCGTAGTCGGTTAGCGCGTCGTACTTATAAGCAGTGCTTGCCTGCAACTGAGTTATGCGAAGGTCGGGAGTTCGAGCCTCCCCTGGGGCAGTAGTAGCCAGATTTGTGCTGGCTGCTCTTTTTCACTCTTATTAATTTTGTGTTATTTTCTGTATATCCATCCTGTCAACAATGGCAGTATTTTTTTGCATTGTGCTATTTTTGTAGGCTTTGCAACATATCCATCAATAGTGTGCTCCTTCCATCTCTTTCTTTTTCTACGAACAGTTTTGCAAGTTGTACTGGAACGTCTCTCTTCACTGCTCTGTGGCCGTAGCAAGGTACTGCTCTCTGCAGCCGTGCCGCTAGCAGCGTATCTGTTGGAGCGTCTTCTGAAGGCATGCCAGTCAAACAGGTAGGTCTTTGTTTTCTGGCATGTCGTCTGAAGCTTTGGTCACCAACTAGCAACACCCCCTACCACCCCTACCACACCCATTGGCCATCGCACACACTTACATGCACAGTCGTGCCCGGCGTAATCTGCCCCAGTGAATAATGGAGCCCCACATGCAGCTGCCCAGCCTGCTCAATGGCCGCAGTGCTAAGGCCGTGCAGTGCTCGTCACTATTTTATTCCTGAATGGTATTATCACTGACCCGTTTGAGCTTGTATACGTGCACACATGCGCCGCCGGTACCGTCAAACAGATCCTGTTACCAAGGGCATTTTGCGTGTTCATGTATGCTCTTCTCGCTGTGCTTGCAGAGATGCGCAGACCACACGCATGCTGTCACGATTATGCCAGGTAAGCCTTCACTGTGGCGTGGATATGGTCACTTTACACTTGGCATGTTCTTCTTGAAATATCGGTGTCACTGCATTGCTGCTACTAGTATACAGTCATCAAGATCAAGCAGCTTGCAGTCTGCTGTTGATCAACGGCATTCTAGCCAGTACTATGTCGTGTGGATGTGTAGCAGAGCCACAGCTGCAAACAACCTGCATTGCATGCCTCTTACTTGGTAGCATTCTGGTACATGTATGCTTCACTGCAATCTCATGGACGTGCAGCTTTTCACTATTTTCAGCAAGGTCTTCAGTGTTTTTCTTGGCACCCGCATGCTTCTCTTCACTTCACAAGTCTGCTCAGATACGATTTATTCGCTGGAAAAGAAGTTGAGAATTCAGGCGGGTTTCAGGGTTTTGGAAGATGCCCTTTGGGGATTGTACAGAGTACGCACTACGTACCCATATTGCACTGAGAATTGTTTCGAACTTTGGATATTGTATGTGCGTATGTGTATGTGTGTGCGGTGTGGGGCTGTGTGCGTTCATGTGCTCTCTTTGTCAGCAATGGTGCACGCGTGTGAGTGTCTGCTGTCAGCCTGAACAGCAGGACATTGTCCGTGAAGCTGTGGCGCAGGGCCTGGTCATCTTGGCGCCGCATCTCTTCCGCCATCTCCCGCCACCGGCCATGCATGTGGCAAACGACAGCGTCACCAGTACAAACTGTGCAGCTGGCGATACCAATACCGACTGGAGCACTCTCAAGGCACACGCAACACTTTGGTATGTTGCTTTCATATGAATATGGATGTAACTGCTACATGTACATTACTCATCAGGAATATCACATTTAGAATGGACTTCTACGTGCCCTGGCTTCCATGTGTGCTGTTGCCAGTGTGTGTATCAGCTTGGCAGTTTCTCTCATTCCCTGTATCATTATCAGGGTTGAAGAGCAGGATTGTATTGGTTGTTGCAGTGAGCCTGTCTAACGCACTGGCGCAATTCTTTTCTGTGTATCCGTTCTCACTCGTGTAACCATGTAGTGCTTGGCGTGCGCTGGTGTGCCTGGTGGAGGATGACCAGCCAGCTATTCGTCAGCTGGCTTGCAAGGCAGCCACTGTTTGCTTCACTCCACAGCAATCCACCCAGGTCAGGGACCCTAAGTTTGTTTTCCATCTTTTCTTCCGGCATCAAATGTCAGTGAAAACTTACATGTACATGACGCTCAATACTAATGTTGTGGAATTATCCATCACCAGACCAGCGCAAGGATATAAGTTGGACTATAATTATTAATTTCAATTCCAAAATGCACAAGAAGTTTACAGAAGAAAAAAGCACGACCTCGACCAGGCCAGAAGCAAGAAGAACTGAACACAAGATATTGAAAACCCTTCTCCTCAACAAGCTGCATCACGTACAACGCAAAACAACTGGCTGCACCAGCGCGTGCATCAGCGCATGCACCAGCGCTGCACCAACGTGTGCACCAGCGAAATCAATATCGAAAGTACGTATCAATCATTACATTACGTACAACATGCGCAAGAGGGTTACTCTACTTCACCTCTCCCCCTGGTGGTATGCCAAACAAAATACCACCACAAATACTAAATAGCGCCACAAAGCAAAACTAACGGAAACGCTGAGGGGGTGCAAGCGAACCACGCTGACGAAGGCCATATGGGCGAAACTGATACGGAGCAGGATCATCGGCAGGGGCTCGAAGCGGCACATAATTTGGATCACGGGGATCAAACCGAGACCCAGCATCAGGGACAGCACCCGCAGCTGGCACATCAATAACAGCAGGCACGTCAACAACAGCATCTGCAGCAGGCACATCAGCAACAGCATCTGCAGCAGGCACATCAGCAACAGCATCCGCAGCAGGCACATCAGCAACAGCATCCGCAGCAGGCACATCAGCAACAGCATCCGCAGCGGGCACATCAGCAAACACCTCAGCACCAACATCACGCTTCAGCAGTTCAACATTCACCACTTTCTCACCACCAGCAGCCTCATTGCGAATTACCACAGTAGAGGGGGACACAATGTGAATTACCACCCAGTCACGCTCATAGGGCGGCTCACATTTCTGGCAACGATGGGAACGACGTAGAAGAACGGCATCACCAACGGCGAACAGACAGTTATCAGCTTCAGACTCAACAAAGTCCTTGGAGGACAGCTCAGCTTCCACAAAATCACGGATCCGGGCAGCCTGGCGTTCAAGATCAGATGGAGTCAGGCCCAGCCCAGGATTAGCCGAGAAGAGCACACCGGTGGGCTCCCAGCCAAGCATCGCACGCATAGGAGAAATCTCCTCAAGTCGGCCAAGTAGACGTCAACGCTCTCTCCCCGATGAAGAGTTCTGGCCACAAACTTCTTATACGCCTCTGCTGGCGTGATGCAGAAAGCGGCTCGGAGCGCAGCATGGACAACCTCCTCACTGGTCTGCTCGACGTTCGGCAGCGCACTCCAAACAGTGAACGCGTCCTTGTCTAGAAATAAAGGGAAATGGTCCATTCTTTTAGCCTCCGACGTCCATTTCTGTATCCGTGACACCACGCGGAATTTCAGCAAGAACGCCTCCAGGTCGTCATCTCCTCCACGATACGGCCGCAACAAGGACTGTCCAGCAGACAACGCCATTAAACAGGCAGTGAAATAACAAAATTAATAATACTCTCCGAGAACCTAACCACAAAGCGCCAACGGTCCACTCGAAACCGGGTTTCGGTACCACGTTGTTGTGGAATTATCCATCACCAGACCAGCGCAAGGATATAAGTTGGACTATAATTATTAATTTCAATTCCAAAATGCACAAGAAGTGTACAGAAGAAAAAAGCACGACCTCGACCAGGCCAGAAGCAAGAAGAACTGAACACAAGATATTGAAACCCCTTCTCCTCAACAAGCTGCATCACGTACAACGCAAAACAACTGGCTGCACCAGCGCGTGCATCAGCGCGTGCACCAGCGCTGCACCAACGTGTGCACCAGCGAAATCAATATCGAAAGTACGTATCAATCATTACATTACGTACAACATGCGCAAGAGGGTTACTCTACTTCACTAATGTTCTTACTCATTTTCCTGTAGTATTTCATTCATTCAAGAGTGCATGCGTGCAGCGTTTTTTCTGTAGTAAGCGAAACAGTTCGAACGCACCGGAGAAATAGGCTTGAGAGAACAGGTTATCTCTGATATCACAGAAATGAACGGACCTTGCATGGGAGTAACTGAGGAAATAGCCCTATTTTAGCTCTGCACTGTCGCAAGGAAGTCAGATATCTCAAACGTTGCAAGGAAGTCAGATATCTCAAACGTTGCAAGGAAGTCAGATATCTCAAACGTTGCAATGGGGCACGCATATATAACACCTTACCACCTGGTATCTCAACTGAAGAAAATGGCTAGCAGGAAATCTGTTGTTGTAGCAAAACAAGAAAGAATCTGGCTTTCCCCTTTCTACTCCCATACCAAGCGTGTCTCTGTGACGTCACAGATCTGGCCTATTCTGGTCAAATTATGATGTCATCATGATGTCACCGAATTTATTGAAAATGTCCAGCTGCTGTTACTCCAGAATGGCTGCTCATATCAACCTGGGATTTCCACAGGTTGTGACGTTTCATTTTAAGATGAACGTCCCCTTTGTTTTGTTTTGTTTTTTTTGTTAGAATATGGCTCTTGATCTTGAGGTTGATCCGCATGCTTCCTTCTCGGTTGCAGGATGAATCAGAGACGTGTATGCAGGATGAATCAGAGACGTGTACATCTAACACACAGTCACATCACACAGTGCAGGCTAACATTGTGTTTGGTCAGCTGCATACACTGGCCTGTGATAATTTGCAAGATCTACCCGGCTTCATCACAATGCTGGCGGATATCCTGATCCAGCATGTGCACTCAAATACGGACAAGCTGATAAGACTGAGGTTTGTCCTGATGGAAAATCTGTACTGTGTGTTGGTTCAACGTGACTCCGAGTTCCTGTATCGCCTTGCGCTCGCTCGCTCGCTCTCTCTCTCTCTCTATCTCTCTCTCTCTCTCTCTCTCTCTCTCTCTCTCTCTCTCTCTCTCTCTCTCTCTCTCTCTCTATAATCCACTTTCTCTCTCCCCTTTACTCATTTTAATTATGGTTATAGTGCTGTTTGTTTTCAGAAAGTACATGTACTGTAGTTATCCCATTTAGTACTAGACCAGTCCTTGATGTTTATAGAATGGAGTTTATACAGTTAACATGTGCACAGTTCAGCTAGTATGATGCTCCGGAAGCTTATCACTTCTTCTTTGGTTCATGCTGTGTTTGGTCTCCCTTTCCATCTGAAACCCGTCCTTTTGTGCAGGCACAGTGACGAGATCTTTCTGCACGAAGACGCCAATGTGTTTGCCGAGCCCACGCTGCTTGTCAAGCTGACTGCTAAGACATTGAAGGTGAGACACTCCATATCTAGGATTAGTACGCAGGTTGTCTGTACGTGTATTCCACTGCTGTAGCTATAGTTTTGATAACGCTTGTACGAGCTGCTCATGGTCTGCGCAAGCATTGTTCTTATTCATACGAATGAGGGAGAGAGAGCCCAGTGCATTTGGAACAGAAATTGCTTCAACTTCACACTGTGCATGGTGCAGCAGTACGGTATTGCAGCTCGACATGCTAGTGCCTGAACCCTTGTTCAGCAGGCAGACTGTCCGTAGTTGCCTGTAGCACATATGTCATGTTTGCTACTAGTATATAGATGCCTTGCTCGATGATAGTTTAACATATTTTTCGATGTCGACAGCATGTTACAAGGCACAGTGCTCCTGACTGCAACCATAACCCGGTTGGCAGAGTCCCGGTCTTGCGAACATTCCTAGAATAAAGAGGGTCCGAACCGGGGGTTTTCCCCGTACGGTTCAAATGGTGGCAAGACCGGGACTCTGCCAACCGGGTTATGATTGTAGTCAGGAGCACGGTGCATCCTCGCCTTGTAACATGCTGTAGAAATCGAAACATGTGTCATGTTCTAGTCCGTACTTCTATGGTTTGATTTTGGCTGTCAACGGCCTGCACGCCTGATGGCCGTGTGCATGTGTGTAGCATGACTTGCTCATGGGTGTGTGTGTGTGGCTGTACGGCATTAGGCAGAGGACGCATACGTTCTGTTTTGTGTGTTTTTTTGTGGCTCAGCATGTGCTGGCTTGCAGGGCTGGTGATAAAGAAGTACATACGCTGCCAGCAGACACTACCTGTCAGCTGGAACAAGAGCTGCAGAAGCTAGTGAAAGAGTTGACGACGCGTAAGAATTCTGGACTGAAGTGGAAAGGTGAGCAGTTCGCGCTTGTTTTCATTCTTAGTCAAAGGGTGAGTTTGTTTGAAACATCAGTAGCAGCTGATGACTGAATATCCACAGTGGCAGTGTGGTATACCGTAATGTCTTAAAGCCGGGCTTATTTCTGTAGAAGCCGAGGTACAGACCCGGCTTCTATTCAAACCAGGCTTCTATGCACGATGCTTTGTACAAGTACCGGTACCATTTTTTTTGGCTTAAAGTACAGTAAGAAAATGTTGATACCGTCATGCAGCGTAAAAGGTTTTTCAACAGAAGAGGAGTGATACTTGGATTTCTAAGCAGTCATTGGTTGTATCTTCATGAAATAAATTTAGCGCAGTAAAAGACGTCTCTCTCTCTCTCTCACACACACACACACGCACATACACACACATTCAGACAGACAGATACATGCATGCGCAAACACACACACACACACACACACGCGCGCGCACACACACACATGCGCGCGCTTGCGCTTGCACCCGCGCGCGCGCGCGCGCGCGCGCGCACACACACAATCATTGTCAGCCTATTCTGACACTCGTTCACTGTTCAGTTCCACTCCAGAGTGCAGCTAGTTGTTCTAAGCAATGTGTGTGTGTGTGTGTGTGTGTGTGTGTGTGTGTGTGTGTGTGTGTGTGTGTGTGTGTGTGTGTGTGTGTGTGTGTGTGTGTGTGTGTGTGTGTGTGTGTGTGTGTGTGTGTGTGTGTGTGTGTGTGTGTGTGTGTGTGTGTGTGTGTGTGTGTGTGTGTGTGTGTGTGTGTGTGTGTGTGTGTGTGTGTGTGTGTGTGTGTGTGTGTGTGTGTGTGTGTGTGTGTGTGTGTGTGTGTGTGTGTGTGTGTGTGTGTGTGTGTGTGCATACGTATGTGTGTGTGTGTGTGTGTGTGTGTGTGTGTGTGTGTGTGTGTGTGTGTGTGTGTGTGCATACGTATGTGTGTGTTTGTGTGTGTGTGTGTGTGTGTGTGTGTGTGTGTGTGTGTGTGTGTGTGTGTGTGCGTGCGTGTGTGTGTGTGTGTGTGTACATATGTATGTGTGTGTGTGTGTGTTTGTGTGTGTACACGTGTGTATATGCATTGTATTTTTTTTCATTCAGGAGTGGATGAGGTGTATTTCTTCCGTGCCGTATGCACGTCATGCTTACTATATCAGTGCATAGAGGCAACCAAGCCGGGCACACCAGCATCAGCGTGTAGCAATATGCCCAGACACAACCTTACTTCACTTCACAGAGATCTCCTACAGATGGTGCCCGAGGTACGAGTACAACACTTGTTCGTTCTCTTCACAACACACAAACGAGACGGCACACGTGCACATACATATACCCGATATATTACAGTCATGTGACGACTGTGATCATGTCTGCGTCTCAGTACTCGACACTACTGTATTGTTCCTTTCCCTGCCAATAAACCCAATCCATTCCCGTGTGTGTGTGTCTGTCTGTCTGTCCGTTGTTTTAGGGTCGACGACAGGCCTGGGTCGTGCACCACCAAACAGCCAGCTGAGTTCATGCACACACGCTTCTAAGGATGAGTGTCTAGGGCATCATCTTGCTGTTCTTCGCCTGGATACAGCACTCGCCAAAACCACGCACCCAGTGACAGCATTCTCGGCCAACTTGACTAGTGCTGGTGTATGTGATCATGTTCGTGCCATGTATGCATGCCATTCTAGCTACTCTAGTTCAGCCTGCATCCCGTGCAGAACGAGAGTGACGCGCTCTAGCAATTATTTATTGTCATCAAACAACGCCATGCGTGGAGTCAACCAATCAATATGCAGCCTGTAGTTATCAAGCCGCTAGCTGATCCTGCTAACTGCGATTCACTGTTCGGTCAGTCCTATCAGTTCAGTGCCACCAGTCCCAGCTGTGTTCTGTGCCACCAGCTCCAGCTCTGCAATGTTCACCATAGCACTCTGGACCATCTGTCAACTGGAGTTGCCAGGAGGCAGGATATGCAAATCAATTATGGCTTTTCTTTTCAAGTACGATCATGCACGCCTGCTTTTTCAGAATATGTATATAGGGCACTGGATGACCCCTCATTTTCCTCTTTGAGACTGGCGGTTGATTTAGTAGTTTTTCTGTCCTTTTGGTTGGGATATCTGATATAGAGCTATTGGCTTGTTTTGCAGAGCATGTCTGTTGAAAGATGATGCCATGAGCTGACAACCTCTTACCTGTACATAGGTTGAACTTTGAACCGGGGAGTCGTAAAACTCTCTGCTTTGAACAAAAAATATATACTTGGAGCGGACATGGTTGTGGCTAAGCGTTTCTGGGTGCACTGTGCTCGTTTTCGCGACAACACCCCGGAGACTGAGACTGAGAGCAGATCTGTATACACGACGTGCGCAAGGAGGGCAGGTGCATGCCTGCTCCCTTTCAGTTCGTCCATAGTACGGGTGTGTGTTGGTCTGGACAGAGGACTTGCGCAATGGCGCCGTGCCGCAAAGCGATTCGTGCAGAATGATCCTACAAGCCGCTAATTTGTGGTTCCCGCTTATCATTGACTGGCTTCAGAGCAGTTCAGAAGCTGAAGAAACACAGTGTTGAGTAGAACACAATCATATAGGAGATGGAAAGATGGCTAACAGGACACCAGGGATCTCAGGTTTGCTAGCAATTCAGCAGAGAGAACTGAACACAATACTACTCAGCTTGGAATTGTGACTATGATCGCGTAATTGTCAGCAAACGGAAAATCGTTCATATGATACCCTCGTCAAGGTAGAAAGGGATACGAATATATAAAAGAGTAATAACTGATGTTCCAAACCAGCCGTTCAATGGTTTGTCCGGTACGCGGTTGAATCGACGTACACTGTATAGCCACGCAATGCCTGCGGTTCAGTTGATCGAGGCGCACTGATACACACACAACTCTTGTTCTGCTGGCTCAGAGGCCGGGGTGATCGGAACCGTGTCTGCTGCGTGAGCAACGCCATTTCGTCCTTTCTCTTCTTCTTTGAGAACGGTATCTTACTCACAGCTTAATTAAAATATGTTTTTTTTTAACATTCCTAATTGGCCAGATCGGAAAAAAGGCTTGGTAGAGAAAGGAAGAAAGGGGGGGGTCCACCTAAACTTTAGACAAAATAATAATTATAGAAGGCATTCTGCCTATTCGTGTGGATTTGTTCATTGGTAACCACATTGGAATAATACCAGTGGGCATGTGTGGCAACACAATCATTGAGGGTAAAAAAAATTTTTGATCGAGTAAGTAGATAGCATACCAGGCACCGATGACAAAAAAAGCTATGCAAAGTTGTTGTAGGGAAAAACACTGCATGCCGCTTACGGGCAGCAGTTTCATTATGACTGGTCATTTAGCTTACCAGCAGTGTTGTCCAGGATAGGCAAGTACTGATATTGTCATTTCCATGCCCTGGTGCATGTTCACCTGACTGCAGTCAGCTGAGATGCTCAACATCGGGCTAACGCAATGCATTGTCTATGTTGCTGGTGCATCACATTGCTCCCCGCCCTCCATTTCGGCGCTCTTGTCCAGCATTTTGAAGAATCGAATCGGCGAAGGCAGAAGAAGCTGTGCCCTCTTCTTTACTGCTGCTGCTGCTGCTGCTTCATGATTCTGCTCCTGCAAACACTCCAAGTTGCTATTAAGTCGCACTGTCACAGTGGCTGCAGACCGCTTTCCTACTGCTTTCGCCACTGGTGACTGTGGACTGCGTGTAGCACTATTTGGTGGCAAGCCCATTCCAGGCTTCTTTCCAGCACTTTCTGGCACCGCAGCACTGGGATCGTCGCTTTCCTCGACTTGAAGAGACACGTGTAGCGGTTGCTGCCTAGCAGCAGTAGCAGCAGTAGTCATACTTTGCTCACTGGTATCACATTCGCCAGGTGATGGAGCAGGACTCTCTTCTTCGCTATCTTGTGTACTGCTAAGGGAGATGATAACATTTACTTCTTGCATGGCATCGTCGTCGTTGACCTTTTCGATGTCAGCGACCATTCGGTGAGGCAGCTCTCCATCCTCTTCTTCATGCTGTCGCTGGAGGTGATGCCGATGGTTTTGTTTCTGATGGTGCGACACGTTATGATGCTCTAGACTACTACTGTCACCATCACGGCCCAAGGCTTTGCACACTGGTGAGGTATCCTGGCTTGAAGCGGATGCCGGCGACGCAAACAAACCAATGCTGCTGCTGCTGTCCTTCTCAAACTTCTGCTCCAGAACGCTGAACAAGCTGGCACGGCGCATCGATGTGGGCGTACTGGGTGTGAGTGAGATCTCTACATGATCACTGGCAATAGTGCTGCTCATCTGACCAGTAGGAGTTGACTTCACTTGTGCATCACTCGCAAGAGCTGAGTTGGCATGCATCAGCGTCCATGCAATGTACCATTTTTCATCATCAGCGTCAGCGCTCTGCTCTTGTTGCTCTTCATCATTGCTGTACTGCCCGCTGGTATCGTTTGCCTCGTCGGTGGCGTTGACACTGTCAGCGTGCTGCCGCTCACTGCCACTAGCACTGCTTGCACTCGCTACAGGACTGTCACCGGCATTCCTTGCACTGTCACCAGTAATCTGCGCTTTTCTTTTCTTCCAGTTCTTATCGCTCTGCACCGATGCTGCTCGTTTTCGTTGACCGGGCTGGCATGTGACGGGAGACGCCTGTCCTCCATGAACACACACGTAGTGTCTCCTCAGGCTTGCGATGTAAGTGAATGAGCCATCGCAGTCCACACAGTCATAGAAATGGGTCCTGCGATGCACATTGTTCATGTGGTTGGCAAACGATGAACCGCCTGTGCTGACCTTCTTGCATATCGGGCACGTGAACGGCTTCACATGGATGCGAGGAGGATGAATCCGCTTCTTGTGCAATCTGGACACGCATGCACCATACACGCGCACAAAAACACAAATACGTACACAAACACACACACCACACACCACACAAGGTGACTGGCATGCTCTGCTACTGGAATCAGCAGTAAACAAGTAGCTCAGTTGGTAGTACCCGCCTGCTAGCTGCATAGCTTTGATAGATCCACCAAGGTTTGCCATGATCACCCAGTCTATGCAAGCTTGGAATCCAGTGAGTGCATTTTGCCGATGAGACGATCAAGGGAAAGTGGGTACCGTACCGTAGATGAGCCAAAAAGTGGCAAAAGGACAACTTGAACACACTAAAAGTGACGCGAAATTCCCGACTGAAAATTAATTAATACAATCAAAACCGCTCACGTGCATTACGTTTTCACGGACTCACGCCTGAGAATCAAGCAATATTTATTTTGTTCTCGATACCAGGGCCTCACGGTGCACCCATTTGACCTTTTAAAAGAGAAACCAGCATTGTGGTGCATGTACAGGCATTGCCATGTTCACAAGCCGGGGGGATGGTTGTGCCTCCAAGCACGGCAGTGGCTCATGGCCGAATACGGAGCAATGCAATCGACTCAACTAGTTCGTCGTGGACCGGGCACTCACCTCAGCGTGTCACCTCTGGAGAAGGACTTGTCGCACTGGTCACAGTAGGAGCGCTTCAGGCCGGCTTTGGTCTTGAACTGCGGTGAGCTGCTCATCTTCTCCCAGCCGCATTGAGCACTACTGTGACTGCTCTGCACCGGCAACGCCGGTCTCTGCTCCAGCACTGCCGCTGCACTGTACTACTATCACCACACACTGCAGAACAACACGGGGAACATTCTTATCAAAAAAAATTTAAAAAAGGTTCTTCCAGAACACTGCCATAAGATCCTGCAAACAGGTCACATTAAGCCATCTACTCATTCCATACGATGAAACTTGGCGGTGTGCTGCATTGCACTGTTGGTACCCACCATGTTTAGATCATGCTGTGTGGCAGTAGCACTGCCACTTCCAAACTACAGCGACTACAGTGGGTGAGGAAAAGGTCCGCACCAATGAAAGAGCTCTTACAAATCTGTCAGCCCAAGTACCGTAACGTCGCATAAGTTATTAAAGCCGGGCTTATTCCTGTAGAAGCTGATGTCCGGGCTAGGCTTCTATTCACATCAGGCTTCTATTCAAAGAAGGCATTTCTATGTATGGCAACACTAAAAGCAGGCTTATGTGCCGATAGTGTATCTAGAAAATCAGGCTTGTATTCAAAACAGGCGTCTATAAAAGGACGGCTTTGATCTACGGATATTTGTAATCAGTATCCGCTAGAAAAGTGTTCTACATGAATTGTATACCTAACACGGTCTCCTCTTGGTGAGACCGGCTACGGTGCCGGTCGAAACAGCTGTTACATGTAGGTGGATTATCACTATCAGAGAGTATCAGTACTGTATGTTGATTGGCTTAGAGCAGTAGTTCAAAAGTCCTCTTCTGGCATCCACCCTGCGCTCTAACCAGAACAACACACTCTTGCTTTCTGACTCTCACAAACTCACATAACAAATGGCCATCAAGGAATTCAATACTAGCCAGTAGCTAGGCGTTCTTACAGCTTGTTCGACCACCGTAGGTCTCACTGAGAAGAGAGTGTGTTGGGCGGCTAAGAGACCCACCGTAGGTCTCACTGAGAAGAGAGTGTGTTGGACGGCTAAGAGCGCATCGCGGACGAAGAAACATTTTATCAGTTCACAATCCGTATGTGGATCATAAATCATGGATGGATTCATTTGGCACTTTTCTAATGGATACCCAATGCCGCCGCACCACATCCAGTTACCATTATGTAGAGTGCCTCGGGCTCACACAAGATCCCCGCTTTGAGTTTTGTAGGCCGGGAAAGGACCACACCTGAACTGTGTCACCGCACAACCCTGCAAAGCCGTACTAATGCACTGATCCATTACCGCTAGCATGCGTGCCGGTACAGTCTAGTGATTGGCAATGACGATGATGATGGTGGTGGTGGTGGCGGTGGTGGTGGCGGTGGTGGTGGCGGTGGTGGTGATGGTGGGGGTGGCGATGGTGGCGGCGGCGGTGGTGGTGGTGGCGGTGGTGATGGTGGTAGTGGTGGCGGCGGTGGTGGTGATGGTGGGGGTGGCGGTGGTGGCGGCGGCGGTGGTGGTGATGGTGGTGATGGTGGTGGTGGCGGTGGTGGCGGCGGCGGTGGTGGTGGTGGTGGTGGTGATGATGACGGCACCGCATCTACCCAGCTGTACACAGCACACTGTACGTATGCGTGGCTGGTCCATGGGCTTGTTTGCCTTGCGCAGCGTCGTCGGGGAAAGATCAGCTGCCGCCATGCGCTCTATATACGCCCACAGTAAGCCGCCGGTTGGACTGGGCGACGGGGACACCGGACAAGCGGCGAGTCTGTGAGTACTTGCTCTGCACACTCGACCCCGGCTCTCATTCACGGTTATCGGGGCATGTCTCGCCCGAAGGGTGTCCACACTGTGACTCAGACACATGGTACATGGCATGTGCATGTCTTGTGATGCATCAACCATTCAATCTCATTATGCGATACACGCTTACAGTACAGAATGTGTAATTATAAAAATATAAAAAAAGTACTCACCGGTACCTGAGAGGTGTAATCTTACTTCAAGGGAAAGTTAAGCCTAAAATCAAAATGTCACCAGTTGTAGTCTTCGGGGTGCTGAGTCGAATGGTCTTGGTCCGAGGAAGCTGAGACGCTCCCTTCCTACTTGAATCCCAATCGAACTCGCGCACTTCCACCGAAACTGGGTGACTGCGCCCTACTAGATGGGGAGTTGTATGCAAAAAGTCACTAAAAGCGCCATTTCGTTCTTATAAAAGCACGGATGACCGCGATTGGCCCATATGTTGTAGTCTTTTGGACGCTGAGTCGACTGGTTTTGGTCCGAAAAGGCTGCGATGCAGCGTTCGGCCCTTATTCCCAATCGAATATGCTTGAACAAGCAGTCACGTGCTCCTGCGTACACCAGTCACCTGGTCACCGTGCCTGCAGGGTACAACTTACAGCCTGTTTGACCTTTTTTGGGTGCAGTCCTGTCACTCGAGTTGAACTCGAGTTGAACCTTGGTGTGAAAGTTGTCGCCTGCTGGCGCGGTGACCAGGTGACTTGGGCACGCGGAGCACGTGACCACTTGTTCTACCATGTTCGATTGGGAATAAAGGAGGAACGCTGCATCGCAGCTTTCTCGGACCAAAACCAGTCGACTCAGCGTCCAAAACACTACAACATATGGGCCAATCGCGGTCATCCGCGACTCAGCACCTCGAAGACTACAACTGGTGAAAATTTGATTTTAGGCTTAACTCCCCCTTTAATCCTGAGAGGTGTAATCTTACTTGAACATTTACAAGAACTGGAACTGTTTCAACCTACTACCTTAGGGGCCATCCAGAATTATCGATAATTTTCGCGAAACGAAAAAGTTTAGATATGATCCTACCCCACCCACCCACCCCCATGAACGAAAAAAAATATTTGACGGCTTGACATGTCGACAGCTAGAATGGACTATCAATATTTTTCATAACGAAACTCTCTTCAGCCCACCCACCCATGGACGAAACTTTTTCTCTTCGTGAAAAAGATCGATAATAATCAGGGATGAATTTATCCGGTATCGCATCGCAGTTTGCGATTCAAAATCGATCGAGTGCGACTCAAAAATCACAGCGACTCGCAGGAAACTGCGATGCATAAACGGCACTGCATACTAGCTCGCGCAGTCAGTAAAAGTGATGCTGTGACTATGTCGTACACTCACGTCACGACACCTGTACAGTGCACGGACCCGCTTTTTTCTCGGGAAGGTGTGATTTCTAGTACATGTACCTGTGAACTCTGGCTGGCTTCGCGTGCACATACTGACTGTACTGGTGTCCTTTTTGAACTACACGTACCACTTTGCGCGGCTTTCATTCAGTAAGTCCAGCAAGTTCATGTACTTTCCGTACTGACAAGCATCATCTTTCCTCCACGATCCCGGCGGAGGTCTTGTTGTTTGTTTTCTTCTTTCTGGTTCACTTACCTCTTTTCGTGACATTATAGCTTTCTGCTTGTAGCCAGTCGGTCTTTCTGGTCGTGAGGAACTTTTGGATTCACGTTCGTCCTTCTCTCTGACAATTGTCCAAGCTGTAGTTTTTGTCTAGTCTTGTTCTGCCTCCAACATGTCTGTACGACAGAGTACCTTTGAGAAGTGGGTGGCAGAGGTCGATGTCCAGAAGAAATGGCTTGGTTCTGAGAAAGCTACAGGTGCAGCGGTGACGCTAATTTTCTGCCAGCTATGCAGACAGCACGAGTCCTCCCTCCGTGGACTGAGAAATTTTAGTCGGTCTTAGTGGAAGAAAAAGTGCTAATCAAAAATCAAGGACTGCTACGCATTTTGGCGTTTGCGTCGCGAAAACTGCTATGCAAAAAAATGACAGTAAATTCATCCCTGTAATTACGGATGGCCCCTTAGGGTACCCTGTAAGTGTAAGAAGGCCTTAGGCCTGTGGGGATTGCTCTATCAAAAATTTGATAACGAGAGAGCTTGGAAGCTCAGGGCCCTGCGCTATGCTTTGTTGCCTAGCTCATCGTGCATGTTGTTAGAACTGATGGAAATGCTTTTTCCTTTGATTAGCTACATCATTGTATTGCAAAAACGTTTCAATGAGATACTGAAGTAACGTCTTCTGCATAGCTATGGCACCGGCGCTGACTCTGCCGATCACGGGCGTTCTGGAGTCGACGGGATGTCTGTCCTGACGTTTCCTGGGACCGGCGCTGACTCTGCCGATCACGGTCGTTCTTCTTCTTATTATTATTATACTGACGGCAACTAACATCCATTCTGATTGCATTTACTCGTCTCCCTACTTCGTATTTCTTTCCAGAAAATCTCCCCTTACAGGAGGGATTCGTTTACATAATATGACTCCCTGCTATACATCTACATGACTGTATATAAGTACGTTATAATTATTATGCTATCAGCCTACATGCGATTCCCAGGCTGGTCGACAGGCGGCCCAGCCAGCCTGCTAGTGGGATCTCGGCCTCGCACACAAATCCACACAAAATGTTAATGCACTGAATGCATTCCCCCGATACACTTCGCATATATACTCATTCTCTTGATGGTACCGTACTCTTGATGGTACGGGACAGGTACGGGATAGCGCCAGGCATGTCGATGGCACACACAAACAAAAATATTGTGGCCAGCTGTCTTTGCTGGTACGGTACAGTACGGGACAGATACGGGATAGCGCCAGGCGTGACACAAACAAACAAACAAACAAACACACACACAAATACCAAATTAAAGCTGTGTGGACCCTGGCTAGCGCCAGACGTTACTGAAGTAACGTCTTCTGCATAGCTACGGGAATAATAATAATAATAATAATACCTTATCAAATAATAATAATAATAATACCTTAGGGTGCGTTTGGTTGGTACGATCTAGAACAGGATCGAACAGCTGGTGCACATGGAGCAGCCTCATGCCAACCAAAAGGTACTCCAGAAACAGAGCACATTTTTGTGGAAAATGTGCCAAACTTGGTGCATTCTTCAAAATGTGTATGGGTCACCATGGTCACTTATATTAGTACGGTACGACGAGTTCAACCCAAAAGCGTATGCACGTGATCATTTGGGAACAAAATCGATGTTCCCGCCAGGTTTCACTGTGAAAAAGTGAAACTGCTCGGTCTGCTCTGGCCTCGAGGCCGGAGCAAGCAGAACATGTTCTGACCGACCCAGAACAGGTGCAGTCCCAACCAAACGCGCTGTTCTGGTGAATCCTGTTCTAGTTCGTACCAACCAAACGCGCCCTTAGTACCTAGGCCAGTGAGCACCCCCCCCCCCCCCCCCCACACACACACACACACATACACAGTGACGTGCCTGTATTACATAATAATTATTACAATTATGGCAGAGCCAGCTATGAATCGCTAACTCACCCTGTTGACGGAGCAGGCAAACGGTTGCTTTCCGCACTTTAGAATTGAGCACTTACACACACGTACTACACACCCGTCTCCCTTCCAGCCATGTGGCCTCCTTGAGTGTGTTCATCGATGCATATCGTAACGACGAAATCTACTTTTCTAAATGCTCTGACACAGTTTCGGAAACAGGCTGTGATGGCGTGAAAGCTACCCTGAAGGCGGTGTCACCGGACTTAGCAGTACATACTGCACCACAGAGAGGGAGCAGGGAAAGTTGCCTTACGTTTTCGCGAATCTAGACTTTTTTCGTCAGGCAGTAGTCAATAGTACCGAACCATCAATGGAAAGCTTGTAAAATACATGACTGACACGACCCTGAATCATTGATCCTCACGACCTCAGCTTATTCGCTGTTGATGGATGCATGCATGACGGTGCGGGAGACATAACAAGGGGCATCATGACTCGACCGAGTCGACCGACGTCCGTGTAGTCTGTGGAGACTGTAGGCGCAGTAGGCGCTAGGCTAGGGTCGATCGGGGTCACGAGTCGACTGGTCACGAACCCCGTCGTCACGATACCCATCATACCAAGAGTCCATATGGACTCTTGATCATACCACATAGATTCTACGGGGCGTCGATTGTTTGAATGGAGAAATGAACAATGACGATGTCAAGCACACCTACCCTGTGCATGCATGCAGTACGTGTATTTTGTTTTTTGTAAGATTTGGGTTCAAGACACTTGTGGTACTGGCTTGGGTTAGTTAGTAAGTAATAAATAATAATAATTAGTTGCTGTCTGAAGCTTCTTTCTTGTTGTTAGTACTCAATGATCGAGGCAGGATGATCTGAAAGTTCACGTCCGAAGCGCCTTATTTTTTTCTTAGGCAGTTGTGATTTGGGCACTCGCACCATGAGCTGGATATCTGACACAAAATCAGGAACCTCAGGGTTCATACGGAGGGTTTGCTGCAACGTGCTCCGTGCTGGTCCAATTCCTAAGCATGTGGCATTCATTATGGATGGAAACCGGAGGTTTGCTAGGAAAAGACAAGTGGAACGCGCGCAGGGCCATCTGATGGGGTTCGAGAAGCTCTCAGAGGTAAGAGCTTTTCTTTCTTTAAAAAAATTCCTACTGTCAACATGCCAGATACAGTACATGTAAAGCATCACCACCATTGTTATTGATTAGAAAATCAGGGGCGTAGGCAGGGGGGGGGGGGTGCTTTGGGTGCAAAGCACCCCCCTCAAAAATGTCGATCTTGGTGCGACAAACACCATTGTGTGCGATCCGCTGACCACACATGCGACTCAGCAGAACGCACAGCGACTGTGTAGCTGTCCATGATTCCCAGTTTAGATGTACGTGTTTTCAAAATCGTAAGCCAAACTTCTGAGAGTCTGTATATCTACCGGCCTACAGTGGTGCGGTGTCAGCACATGCTTTGTGCATACTGGTTTATCACGTTCCGCAAGTGTTTTTAGAAGCAGCACCAAAACTGGATTCACGACCGCAGTACCTGACCTGTTGAGGAATGCATTAATTCAGCAAAGACGTTCCCGGGTCATCACTGGCACTTGGTCCATTTTTCCTAGTGTCGAATGCAGACCTCGCAAGTGAGTCTGCGGAGAGGGAATACGTCTCAACCAAACGGCGTGTAACAGCCGAACGACCCGAAAGGTGCATCCTTGGGTAACACAAGAAAAACTTGTGCCACATGGCAGCTTGTTCCGCTATGCTTTGTAGTTCTGGCTGTTTAATGTTTGTGTTGGTGTTTATGGAAAGAAACAGAAGTTTCATTCATGTGTCCAACACTGCCTGTTTGTTCTTCGACATTAAATAAACCAATCCAATCCAATGTGTTCCAAGTGCACTCGCGCTAGCAGAAGCAGAGAGGTAAATGTTGAAATTCAGTTTGCTTTTCTTTACGAAAGGTAATCATTTCGATCAACGACTCCGAGTCAAGTTTGCTGCACTATCCACGAAGAGGAAAAGAGTCAAGAAATCTGACTCTGAGTGCAATGGAGAGTGTGGTAATTCCAGAAAAAGCAGCATCCAAGATCTGGCTAAACACTAGCTGCAAGCTTACCATTCAAGGGTGATCTTCAATGTCAACTGACTGTGCTGGTTGCTTCTGCTTCTTTTCCCTTCATTGCCCGTACATATCATGGATCAGCGGAAAATCTAAGCATCTTGCTTCGAAGTACATGTAGTAGCATGTCATGGTGTGTGCATGAAGAGGCAGAAGACGTGTACGATCATGTACTTTTTGGGGGAATTTGCCCCCCCCCCCCCATGATCATGATCCTACGCCCCTGAAAGCTCCCTTGTAACAAGAAACACACAGTGCCTTGTGTCCGTGGTTTAATAGGGTACAGAAGACAGGCTGAGCCGTCAGTTTCCCATCTTTGGAGACAATGCGATGAGCTTGGTCGCACCTCGCTGTTGCAGACAAGGACTGGGCCCTGGCAGTGCTGTTGTTCCTGGAAAAAATCCGTAGCGCCCATACGGATTTTGGCACGGGAAATCGTACCCCGGAACCTCTCTACTGTCGCACTGAACCTTGCGAGAGAGAAAAAATTCGGCTGCAACAAATTTTCGGCCAAATATGATCAGGCCGAAAATAGCCGAAAATAAATAAATATGCACCGAATATTTGTTGACTTACAGTAGTGCGACACCGCCGCGCGATTCCGTTCTTTCCAATCATGTCGCAGGGCATTTCCATAGTCATCCACTTGATTTCTGTATTGGGCGCTTTTCAGATCACATGAGTGGGAGAATGTGGCACAGTTTTTCAGGACTGCGCCGTGTATGCGCTGGCTGGGTGGAAAGGGTTTTGTTGAAGCTATGGGCAACCATTGTTTGGACACTGTCTTTTCAATTCCGGTGGACGAAGATGACGAAGTGGTGTACACTGATTGATTGTCATGTCCGCTATGTTGAAAAGACCGCGGCGGCCACTCATCTTTGACTGGAGGCCTGACCATTGCCATTCGTGTGGCTTCCTTGATGTGAACAGAATCGCTGTGGCAGAATACATACGTTCGCATTTCCAACACTCGCTTTTACTCGTAGGGAAGACACAATGGTACATGCCCTCCGTATTAACATGCCCCGTCCAGGCGATCCATACGGCGGCGGGTAAAGCGAAAATCGACTCACACGACAGGATGCACGTGCATGCAGTGTGCATCCCATTCATGATTGTGTCTGCTTAATGCACCTGGAAACACAAAGGACAGCTTCAGAACTGGAGTGCTTAACTTTTGTACCAAAATGTGTTTTCTTTTGAATACTCTGCCAGACATTAGAGTGGTGCTTAGACCTTGGCGTCAAGGAGGTCACTGTCTATGCCTTCAGCATTGAGAACTTCAAGCGCAGCAAGGACGAGGTGGACTATCTGATGGAGTTGGCACGCAAGAAATTTGAGCAGCTGATTGAAGAGAAGTAAGTGACATTCAATGCTGCATATGGCTGGCTGCGGCCATATAACTCCCGTGCATTTATGTACATGTACTGCACATCGTCGTACGTGTTCTTGTTCGGGAAAGAAGCCAGGAAGGAGGTATCAGATTTCTCCTGTTATCACTAGTATACATGGCGTGCACATGCTGTGTCCTTTGGTGTAAATAACAGTTACTAGCTTATGTCCCGCTTGAATATGTTTGGGTCACACCGGTTGGCTGTCCAATGGCATTCGGCCGTTTCGGTTACCCGTTTGCCTGGCAATACTCTGCAGGGTGATGTCTATGGTGTCCAGAATGTGTCATGTGTGCTGGTACACTTTCCTGCCTGACCTGCGTGCCTGTTCACTGTCTAACTCCTGTCCACTGGTGTCTGTGCTGCTGCTGTTCAGAGAGCTGATCAACAAGCACGGTGTCTGCGTGCGTGTTCTCGGTGACTTGTCCCTGCTGCCACACGACGTGCAAGTCGCAGTGGCACGCGCTGTTGATATATCCAAGCATAATTCAAGGTATTTAACGCATTCCGACTGCAGTCAACCCCTGTTTATCCAGAACTTTATAGTACATGTATGACTGTACTGGTACATAGTAACGTTACTACTTGTATGGGATCGCATTCGATTGGGAATATGGGTCGAACGCTGTGACGTAGCCTCTTCGGACCAAATCCATTCGATTCAGCGTCCAGAAGACTGCAGCCCAGGTCCAGGTCCCTTTCCTGTCTACAGGTATTATTGGCTAACATCCGAGTTTCAAACTACAGGTTCTGCGAGTTCAACCTTCGTTCGCACTTCCGTAAGAACGAAGTGGCACTTTCAGTGAAATTTTCCGGATAGATCCTAATCCAGTACAGTAGTACGACTAGCAGGGTGCACTTACGTAATTTCGGGAGGTGTGCGCAAGTTTGATTGGAAATGTAGGACGTAAGGAACACTTCACCTTCCTCGAACCAACAACATTCGAATCAGCACCCAGAAGGCTACATGTAGGGGAACTTTGCTATTCGATTTTTCAGGCCAGACCCATCTTCAAGAATAAAGCTACTAAAGTTGAAGCGTATGGAGGATGTATTAGTACATGTGTGGAAATGATGCCTGGCTACAGTGGAGTCCTCACATTGTGAGAAAGCTAGTAATTTACCTTCTGCCTTTGAATTGGCTGCTCCACATTGGTGTGAGTGTGCAAGTAGTTAATGCTCTGTATGTGTGTGTCTGTGTCTATGTTATATTATGCTGCATGGACAGGGCGAACCTCAATGTGTGCTTTGCCTACACGTCCCGGCACGAGATGGCCAACGCCATGCAGCTCCTCGGCAAGGGAGTTGAGGACGGTCTTCTTTTGCCCGGGTAAGAATATCCAGCAAGACACTGACTAGCCGAGTGTCAAGTAACCGAGCGATCGGCTATCCGAGACACCTTGTTGCCCTGAATATTTGTGACAAAATTGAGTTTTGCAGTTTGCGGTTGACTGGCAGTCTGCTGTGGTTGGAAGGCGTGAAAGCTGTGATGCTGAGCTTTTAACTTGGGTCATTCTTAACCCTTTACCATCCGTGCGTACTTGAATCGATCTCTAGAGATCGATGGACATGCATACACTAAAAAATTCGTAACTCGATCGATTCTTGTCGGAATTTAAAGAACTACAGTCAACTTCGCCAATAACGACATTCGGCGGGGCATCAGAAAAGTGTCCTTATTCGCGAAGTGTCCTTATAACCGAAGTCCCATTTGAATGTATGGGAACCCATATTTTGTATAGTATGATATGCATATCAAAATCAAGCTCTTTTCTTGCTCTATGTCAATGTGTACTTTATTTTCATATTGCAGTTGAAAGGAACTAAAAATTCAATATGCAAGGGAAATCAATTGAAAAATAAAAAAAAGAAAGAAAAAAAGGAAGAAGCCCCCCCCCCCCTTGGCTGCATTTTCTGGCATGTGTGCAATAATATCCATCACCAGTGCACCATAGGTTCTGGTACTTCTGCATGACAGGTACATGTACTTGACTGACAGGTACTTGAAATAGCTGTCAAAAGCCCAGAAAGTCGTTATTCAAGCAGTGAATATGACCACGGGGCACTAAAAGCATGTCGCTATACGCGAATTGTCGTTATTCAGATAGTCGTTATATCCTAAGTTAAATGTATACAGTTAGATGGGACTTTGCTCTGGGCATGGAAATTCGGTCGTTATTCGCGAATTGTCGTTATATCCGCAGTCGTTATTAGCGAAGTTGACTGTAAGTATCTACGAAGAAGCTGAAGAGCCCAGCTTTCCATTGCATCAATCGGTAAAGAGCTGCGATGTCGCATTCCAAAGATATTGCGCTCGACATTTCAGCTACGGCAAAAGTCGAATTTCTTTCCGAGTGACCGACCTTGAGCGGGGATTTTCCCCTCTCCTGACATGCTGAGTCACTTTGGCATGCTTTGAGCGCGTGGGCAGCATGAAAAGAAACTCAAGCAAAAAATTTGGAACGGATACGATGAAGGAGCGAGAAATAGCTGGCGAGGAGAGAATTTCCTCGTATATCCAGCGATGGGGGTGTATTTGAAGCTCCCTGGCGCTGGATATGTGATCTCGGTAGTGTCCTGTTTGAGCTCAATGTACGCAGCTCGTGGAGAGCTTTCCAGAATGCCCAAGATTGTGAAAATTGGTTGATTAGAACCGAAGATATTCTCAGAATAAGGTGAGAATTATTGCATTTGGGACTGCTGGGGAAATTTGGTCGGATGGTAAAGGGTTAAAACGTTTTAGTTTATTTTTACTAGGGCTGAAACGATTATACCGAACAATCGAGTACTCGTTTGATAACTCTAACGATCGAGCGATCGTTTAGATTACCGATTACGATTATTTTGCGTTTTTTATATTTGTGTCCAAAAAGTACTGTAAACCCTCGTTTTGTGAAGTTTGAATCAGTTTCCGTTGGGAGTATGCAGTTGCCAGGGGTATGGTTCATGTTCTGAGGTTAACAAAACTGCCATGTTTTGGAGCTACACTTTCACTAATGCAGATTTGTTGATATTATGAAGGCATAGTTTGTGGAAACAGAGTAATGTTTGCACAGAATTATGACTCTATTTGCTAACGATTATAATCGATTACTCGATCGTTAAGCTAAAGAGTAATCGATACGTGAAAATCCACGATCGTTTCAGCCCTATTTTTTACTGCTCTGCTCAAATGAGAGTCAGTCAGGCCGAGTTTTCGGGTGAAGATCATCTCAGTACAGTAACTTGCAAGTGAATATGTTAGCCTTGCGGTCCAAGTTTGCCTAGTGAAAGCAACTAGTATAGTCAAGCTCATGAATGTCAAGGGGTATAACAATTAACCACGGAAGGAGGTAAGCAGCGGCAGCAGCAACAGCTAAGACAGCTGTCGGAAGGACCTTCAGTACTTAGAAGGAACCTCTTGCTGCTGTGGGAAGTGTGTGTGGTCAGCCACAGGGTGGTGTTGTCGATTTGCGCAGTGTAGCAACCACTCATGATTTACGGCACTATCTTCAGGCCTAGTGCCCATTAGGCTGCGTACTTTTAACCTCACAAATTTCAACAGCTAGTTGAACTGGCGGATAACAATACGTTTGCTCATGCCGCTCGAGAGTGGTTATCCGCAAGGTTGACTGTGTACGTGTACCAGGAGTAGGAATGATCTTACTTCAAGTCTTTCAAGTATAATGTACTCACAGAATACTGTACTGCTACGTGCTGATGTTGTTGTTGCTGTTGCTGTGTTGTTGTACTGCTACTTGCTGCTGCTGCTGCTGTTGTTGTTTTTGCTGTTGCTGTGTTGTCGCTGCTGCTGCTGCTGCTGCTGTTGTTGCTGTTGCTGTGTTGTCGCTGCTGCTGCTGCTGCTGTTGTTGTTGTTGTTGTTGTTGTTGTTGTTGCTATTACTTCGCCTATTGTTGGTAACCATGTTGTGCACTCACAGCGATATCGACGAGGACTTGTTTGAAAAGTGCCTGTACACGCGGCACTCTCCGGACCCTGACCTTCTCATTCGCACCTCTGGAGAAGTTCGCCTTAGCGACTTTCTCTTGTGGCAGGTACGGCTCAAAGTGACTCTTGTCGATCATATTGTGCCAGACAACACCAGAATTGTGAATACTGACCTAGCACTTGAGAACACTGGGCCATAACTGTGCGAGGTCTCACTCTGCATTGTTTCCCTTTGCACAGTACATGGACTGCATACTCGTCACACAAAGGCGTTCATGCCCACTTTTTAACTGCTGGCCTCAAGTGCACTTACTTACGCTGGACTTGTGTGTGCATGCTGCTTTGTTCTCAGTCAGCTCCATCCTTTCTGGGCATATTACACTTGTAGTGAGGTTCTGCATTTCGAGTTTCTGAAAAAAATTACATATTTTCTGACACCAGTTTAGTTGCCCGTAGTAACCACGTATAGTAAGCAGGACCGTTCAAACAAAGAATTCTAAATAACCTTTCAGTCTGGTTTTGGGTTGCAGAACGGCTCATGAACTGATACTCGAAAACCTCCGAGTTCGATTTGCGACAGTCGGAAAGTATTTTGAAATTCGAACTGCCAAGACCTCTCTAGTATCTGTCTGTCTATTTGAGCATAGTGTGCTTACTGGACTGTTTTCTTGCTTTCTGTTCCAGACGTCATTCTGTTGCTTGCACTTCACTCAAGTTCTGTGGCCAGAGTTCTCCTCCTGGGACTTATTTGCTGCTGTGCTGCACTACCAGAGAGAATATAATTCTATCAAGGTGGGTGGCTGGGCTCTTGTTCCATTCTATCTGCCGTTGTGGATTTCCATTGCAGCATGCATGGAAAGCTGCCGATGTAAAAGAGCAGTCGCGAAAGTGCAGCCAGCCGTGTGGTTTCGTTTCCGTCTTGCTTTGCTGTGTCATATTTATATATATATATATATATATGGGTGATTTACTGCCTCTTACCAAAAGAGGCTGAGGAGAGGGGGACCATGTATGTTGGCTCTGTGGGCGTGGGGCAGGTGGTGGAAAAATACCGTATTTTCGGCAATACTGGCCGAGGTACTTAGTAGTTTGCGAGCCCTAAAATTTCACCCTATTCGAAAATACATCCACACAAAAGCACTGAAATGATGTGTCGCTTATTTCAGACAGGCGGTAATCAAGACCAGCGCTAGTTTCCGAAGATTCGCAGTACTCAAGTCCGGGGGTGCTGGAAATCTCCATGAGATTAGAGAGGTTTTGCATTCCGAATTTCGGAATGATTTTCGACTGTGCTTTTCCGAAAAAGCGCGTTCCGAAAAACGGTATTTTCAGTGTTTTGCATTCCGAAAATCTGATTCGACTTCATTTCCAAGGGTTGCCATGCAAAACAAAATGGAGAGCGTCGAAGGGGTTGAGCAGGATCAAATCCAAGTGCGCAGGTCAAACTGAATTTGGGTGCGGTTCGAAGACGAGGACGGACTGATGGTGGACCAAGTGATCCAACAGCTGAAGACGAGGTTGGCGAACTACTGTCTTGTACTGTCAGTAGGCTCCATGGCAAAGGAAGATAGAGTGTGATGGAGTGTGAGAAGATTAGTTAACATGGCGAGATCAGCGAGAGCAGCAAAAACCAGCAAAAATCAAAACTACATACGTGGACAATTTTTCAAATAAGCGAGAGCAGCCGGAAGCAAAAATACAAACATGAAAAATACACTTTTTTGTATTCAAATATGCACTCCCAAACATGAAAGAGCCGAAAATCCATTTTCGGAAAACCATGCACTTTCGCCACCACACTTCCGAAAGTTCGACTACTTTTTCGACTTCTGCCGCCACATTCCGAAAATAATTCCGAAATTCGGAATGCAAAACCTCTCTATTGTCCGCCAGAGTGGTTTGCCATTCTGGAGACAGGTACTGGTTGGCTGAGGTAGCCAGAGCCATGCGGACCCACAATGGAAGATGTTGCAGGAAAATAGCTTCTAGAGAACACCCTTGTACGCTCTGTTTCTCAGTCATGGTCTGCCGGCTTTCCACAAAAACATACCAAAAATAGAGAATGTAAGAACTGCAAAATTACTGCAACTGCAAAATTAAAAAATGAAGCGGGAATTTAAAAAAAGCGGCGAGAAAACAAGAAACTTACTATCAATAGAAATACAAGTCTAGTGAACGCATTCGTACCACGACACCAGAGAACAATATGTAGGGACTTTAACGTCTTTTTCATGTGACTATCATCAGAATTCACAATCCACATCTATGCAAACGGAAAGAATTCATGACAGCACTCACGCTCTTAGTCAAATTCGGTGATCGCTTCACCCCTAATAATAACATGTCAGAACGCACTGAATTTTGCTGTTGACATTCTGTATTGTGTTTTTGTATTGTGTTTTTCTTGTTTTCCGTCTTGGTTTCAGCATGCCCGCTCTTCATATGATCAACGCAGACTATGTCCCGAGGTGTACGAGCAGCTGCTGCGTGCCGAGAAACAGTGTTTGGACCAGGACACGCCTGTGCAGAGCGAAGGTCGCCAGCGGCGCATTGACACGTTCGTGCAGATGCTGACGCAAGAGGAGGTGTCTTTTCGAGAAGCTCTCTTGACATAGCAGGCAGAACCTACTGCATGCGGCCACATCTGATTCAGCTAACCCGGACTGGAAGTTGACTGGACGTATGCTTGCCGTGTGCTGCAGCTCTACATGTACTCCAAGTACATGTAACTAGAGGTTTTCACTGCTCGGGCAGTAGGAATGTGCTTGAACCACAATACACAGCCTTCCAGCCAGCCAGCCAGCGACGTGCGCATGCCCTGGTGTAGTAGTGCAAGTTTTGCACTTAGCATAGAATGGATTTAGGACTTGAATATTTTTTTATCTTCTCCCGGTGGAGATTTCATGCACAAGGCTATATTTATTGGATACTCGGTTAGAAAACTGCAATTTACTTTTCTGCCCCGCAATCGCTATTGAGCAAGCACATCTTTGCATGCACGGTGCGTACTCTAATCATGCTCCCGTTCTGCTTTCCACGTGAACCCTGATTTCACCTCTGCGTGGAAGGACTGCACTCCATATCATATGGCCAGGGCGATGCCGTGTTATGGCAATCTACTGCACGTGCAACCGCATGGCTATCACCGTTTGGCAACAGGACTGCACCGGCGCCCTGCCACTGTGGTCGCCATTTATGACATGCGGATGCACAGTGCATGTTGCTCAATGCGGGTCACACTTGTGCATGGTTGTGTCTGTGCCATGCTTGCTTGCCAACAAGATGTCGATCGTTTTGGCACAATTCTGTCCCTCTTTCTAATGCAATGCTATAGTGCCCGCGTTTGAGTTTTCACTGCACAATGGGGGCAAGGATACGTCCTGTGAATTTCAATTGCACTAGCTTGATGGATATGATGACGGTGCACTGCACCTCCTTCAACTCGCTCATGGATAATTGAAGCACATGGTTGAAGCACCAACAGGGCTTGTCACCGGCCACTGGCTTGCTGAGCTTCACCCACACGGCTGAAAACACTTCAGTATGCTGCTTTGATTGGTGGGGATATGCAGTGCATGCAGTGGAACAGCCCGCTTTTCGGTCCAGGCAACGTGGTCTGATTTGTGACAATGGTTACTTGTATGAAGTTGTATCCTCTATTCGCAAAATCCGGGACCAAGCAAAAATGGTCAGATTGGGAAGCAGTCCGTTTAGTGAGGTGGTCGGAAAGCGAGGCTCCTCTGTATGGAAAACATGGCAGCTACGATCAGGCTCACCATGTACCCGTTGAATCTTGTTGTTTTAAATCTTTCTTCTATCGATACCCTGGTTGTTGCTGTTGCTGCTGATGTTGGCATTATGTAAGCAAGCAAACAGAGGGCGGACATATGCTCCATGAACCTCCATGTGTTTCAACTGCTTTACAGTTAAAACTGTTATAAAGTGGAGGTGAAGTACATGACTGTACTTAGCTCACAGTAGATGGCATCATGCTGCACATGGGGAGGTTCGCGAGCACATAATTTTAAGTCTGTTCAAGGTTGGGGTTTTAGAAGTATCTCATCCTGTACCAAGAGCCCAATAACGTTATCCCAGCATTTTGACCTATCACAGTATCAGCATGATCGGGGCTGTGGCATGGTAATCCATACAAATCGCTCGGCTGCACGTGCAGTCATTGCCACTACAATACAATGTCATAATAGTGACAGGGTATATTCTAGGACGAATTTCCAACCGGTTACGGTCGAATGAAGAGTCCTGGAATATTTTTCAAAATACAACCCAAATATGGCACTCGACAGCAATTTAACAGATTTTTTTGGTGCTGGAGTGTAGCAAAGATATAAGCAGAGGAAACTCGTGACCCTAGTACCAGCCCACGCGGCTTCGCTGGAAGTATCCGTCCAGAAAAAAAGCGTTTGACCATTCACAGCTCCATTCACCCACAGAAAAGTACGGGCGGTTGGAACTGATTTGTAACTTTTCAACCGCGGTCGCCAACAATTTCAACCGGTCGAAAACCGGTTGGGGCGGTTCTAGAAAATTCCCTGAAATTAATACGTGCACACCATCATGCCATGCATTCAACGGTTGTGCACCCTGGCGATAGCAAGAGTAGTATACACTCCCCGAGACAAGGCATTCTCTTGTACATGACTGTATACACTAGATGTGCAAGGGCACAACTGGTGGCCAGAATGGAAAGAGTTCGTTGCGGTACCTCCGAGTGTCACGCAACAGGGCGATCACCAGGCAGACAGCACTATTGTCATAATAATAATACTTCCAAGGAATATCAAGAGAGCACAGTACTGGCTGGCTAATCCCTGTCAAGTCAGATGAGAGATGGGAGAGCTCGCACACACACACACACACACACACACACACACACACACACACACACACACACACACACACACACACACACACACACACACACACACACACACACACACACACACACACACACACACACACACACACACACACACACACACACACACACACACACACACCTCAGACCTCAGACATGCCCATCGCGGAAGCGATGATAGCGAACAGCTATGTTAGACATAGCAACTTGTGCTGCACACACACACACACACACACACACACACGTGTGTGTGCGTGCAGAGGAGCTCTGTCAGTAAAGCATAGAGCTGGATGAAAAGAAGAAGGGAACAGCAGAAGAAGAACATGAAAGAAACCAGGATGCAATCTGGTAGTTCTCAACGAAAATGAATGCAGAAATTATGAAAAATCGGTCATGTTAAAAAAAAGAATATACATACAGTTACATAGATTTGATGGACAGCTGTACAGTCAGAGGCAAAATACAAGGGAAAAGCTCAACAACAGCCAGCTGAAGTGAGCCAAAACGAACAATATGCAGACAAGCACACAGCAATAGCACAAAGCAAAAAAACATATGTAAAACAAAATTCAAAACGTCCAACAAGTAAGTAACTATTCAAACAGGTGCTTCAACAAGCAAATTGAAGATGTTCTTGTCGAGCGACCCTAACTCATCTTTGCTTTTCTCCGCAGAGCTCACTGGAACAGTCGTGCTCTTTAATAGATGCTTGGTCCTGGTCAAAACTGGAACCTCACGAAACTGATCGTGCAGCAGAAAGCCGGCTTCTCTATTCCCAGTCGTGACCATCAGTTGCAGAGACTCTTCCATGAAGCGTGACGACGATGGATGATGATTAACGGTCTGGAAGAACCGATGCAAGAGCGGCCACTGCTGGCTGAGGACGACGGGCTTGATGAATACATCCAAGACCTCGCCAGTTGGAAGAGAACATCCGGGCTGCTTTAGTATCCTTGCGGCCAGGTCATCCTCGCCATCCAGAAGAGCACCAAGGAAACTTGGAACAAAGCCATAGCATTTCAATGCGTTTAACCGCAGCAGCATTGCCTGGCACTGCTTCAAGGAACCCTGCTGCTTATGGCAGAGATACGCAGAGAACACCTTCCAAAGCAAGCGGCCGTCCACATGATGTGGTGCCAACAGCTGCCGCGCCTCGTGTGGCTGATTGTCATTACAAAGTACTTCAACCATTAAATTATTGATCGGTGGCAATTTTGTTCCTCCTGCGGAGAGATCGGTATACAACTCCTGAAGAACATCTCGCCTTGGGATCTCAACACTTGCCTTCAGCACCCCCAAGAGCGTGGCCTCGTACTTCTTCCGACCACCAGGATTCGTACACTTCTTTAGACGATCGTAAATATCCATGCAAGCTGCATAGCGCTTCTCAGTGATGTATCCACGCACTAGGTCATAAAGAACTGTGTCTGGGGGCGCAACTTTAGTGAGAAATAGCGTTTCCTGTGCTGAGTCAAGCCGATGCGACTGGATGTAAGAAGACGCTACCGTAGCACGGAACTCCATACCCCGCTTCTGACGAACCCAAGGCACTTCGAGAGGATGAAGACGCTCCCAATACTTGATGATAGCTGCATGGTCACTTTTGGCAAGCAATGCATCAAAGAATGCCCTCTGGAATTCAAATGGCACCAGCAACGCCTCATGCTTGCTGTCCAATATCATATCGTACAGAAGTCGTGCTGCCTCAATATTATCGGCGCTAATGTGCATTGAGAGGGCTAATCCTTTCCACGAGTCTGGAGGAGCAATACCAAGATCTCGCACTATGCGTGAGAGGTCGAAGAACTCCTTGCTCAGCTGGGACGTACAAAGCTGTTCCAATAGCTCGCTGAAGAAGCTTTGCTGGATGGGCAGCACCAGGCGCTTGTTCTCATTCACTGCCCATGAAATCACACCAACAGCAGATTTATAGTCACAGGAGTCAAGTAGGTCCTCCAAATAGGTAACTGCCTCTGCAATTGTGCGCTCTTTGCATAATTTGGCGAGGTGCTTGCAGGCCTTGTTGACATTGATGGGTTCACGTAGGTAGAGCTGCTGCTGCTTCTGTCCCTCCCACTGGTTGAGCCCACGTTGCTGGCGAACAAGTTCAAGCAAGCCGCTATAAACATCAGCTTGGGGAAATGAGCTACAGGCTCTGGACAAGCCACTGGCAAGATCGGACGATAGCTTGACACACCGCATATAGCTGAGGAATGTCTGCATTGGAACTCTGGCCTTGGCCGCTGCGTCCATCGTCATTGTCAGCATCAGCTGGGTTGGCTTCAGGCCCATGCTGGTGAACATGGAGAGCAGGCGCACAGCAGTGCGGACGTCACCTGCTTCAGCGGCCTGGCCGAGCACCTCCTGCAGCCAGTGCGGATACACTGCCAGCCGGTTCTCGTTCATGAACGTGAACGTTTTCAGCGCTTCCTTCACTAAACCGGCCGTGTCAAGTTGGTGACGAAGGAGCAGGGGCATGATGCGGGACTTTGACGGCACCTGTGTCTGCGCCTTCAGCAGCACCTGGCGCTGCAAATCCGGATCCTGGATCGATGATAGAACTCCTTCAAGAAATCCAGTGTCTGCCCTGTGCTCCACTGATGCCGCAGCCTTTTTGGCTGATTGTGGCTCCACAGGCAAATGCAGTAAGTGCTCATAAATCAGGAGGGCGCACTGGACCTTGTCTTGCCCGATCAACAACTGCATGACCTCTGCAAGATAGTTGCGCATGAATACCAGGTCGCGCGTTTCATTCAGTACTACCACCATCCCCTGAATATCTCCACAATTTCCCAACTGCAACAACAGATCTCTAAGTGAACTGTACTCAATGAATACATTGGCTTTGGAAGCCATCTTCAACACCTCAGCTAGCTTTTCACTGGCTCCTGCATCCGCACACGCAAAGAGTAACGCCCGGAATGAAACGTGAGATGGCTGAACGCCATTGGCCTCCATTAGAGCCATGATTTTGAACGACTTATCTAGCTCTCCTGCTCGTGAGTATGCGGTGATGAGTGATGAATAGACCAGCTCTCCAATCGTGAAGTCGTTCTTGCGCATCAGCTGCAGAATGGCTACAGCTCCTGACAAGTTACCACGCTGACTGAAGGCCATGATGAGCAAATTGCATGTCACCACATCAGGATCCACACTGCACTGTCCCATCCACTCACTAAAGTCATTCGGATCAAAGTCGTGCTCACCTTGCACGAGCACTTGCAGCAACAAGTTGAAACGTGAGAGAGTCATTTCTAAATTGGTTACTTTCGCCTTGTTCAGGAACATAGCAGCCAGTCTCAATCGCTCCTCTTGATTGGCCAGCGAGGGAGAATATGCCAAATGGCGAAGGAAGGAATCAGCACGATTGGTAGAATCCCAGATCTCTCTGTCCAATTTGGCCAATTCATTCTCAGCATGATTGTAGACACGAGAATCAACATTCTCAATTTTTGAAGTAGCATCCGCATTTACAGTCGCATATCTCACTGAGATTGAAGGTCTACAAGAGAACAATGAACTTGTGACGCATCGGCACTGGCGATAAAGACCCCTCGAGATGCAGCCATGAAAGAGCGTCAGCGCAGCCATCTCTCACCTTCATTTCCTTGCTGCCTGCTCGAGTCAACCTACGTGCGATCCACAATAACAAGCCCAAGGCCCAAAAAATTAAGGCCAAGAATGCACAACACAAAAATTTCAAAGGATTAATTTTACAAAAAAAACTGAAGAAAAAATTCAAAAAATGGCACCAGTGTACGTATTTTACTACTCCGGCTCCCGGGTCCCGACTCCCGACTTCCCGAGCAAGCCGCAGGATCGATCCCACGCCACGGATATGGATGCCATCATCAAAATAATAATAAAGACAAGAGTGCATAAAACCAGGGAGTCGTGGTATTTTACGACTCCCTGATAAAACCAAGAGTAGACCGATAAAACTCTTGATAAAACTGTTTATGGACTCTTGTCATATCATGTCAGTCTTGTCAGTATAATTATCAAGAGTACGAGGTGAATAGCAATTTCTGGACATGAAAATAAAATAGAGGCCCACTGGCTGTGTGTTTTACATTTTTCATATCTATTTGTATCTATTGTATGGCCTAATCCTTCATCTTTCCAAATATGTGACAATTGCTCATGCTGTGATCCCAGAGACTTTATAGCAGGATGTTTTCGACAGGCCAATTTTTTGGCCTAAATTTCAGTGTATGGAATTCTGGACATGAAAGTAAAATAGCGTCAATAGGCATCCTATACTGCACCATTTTTGTTATTTTTTCTATTGGTGGACTGCAGTTGGCCTCTTCACACTTCCAGCCAACAGGTCCAAGACTATACAGCGTCTGAAGTGGAGTGCACATGGGGAAGCCAACGATTCGTCCATTACTTCTTATTTTACTCAAAATTCTAAATTCTCAGGCGACATAGTACCACAAAACTCGTTGAAATGCCTCCCACGAAAAGGCTATCAACAAGGCACCGACACGAGGAGAAACTACAACAACCCAGCTGTCAACTACAACAAGAAAAAACTTCATCAACCTGACTGACTTGACTCTACACGCGACGAAAAATTATTTTACTCGAAATGTCCAGAAATGTCCAATGTCCAGAAATAGCAATTCACCTCGTACATAACCCCCTCATCATCATGTCAGTCTTGATGCATATACTCAAGAGTACATAACCCCCTGGGGTTATGTACTCTTGATATACTGTATACCAGATAGATCTACAAAAAGGACCGGACGACCCGTAGATCTACCAAGAGTTCATTATTTTTGGGGGTTATGAACTCTTTGATCTTGCCGTAGTAGATCTACCCGGTAGATCTACCCGTCGCTTTTATTTTCTGAATCCGAGGCCTGTTTTTATTTTTTCTGTTTCGTTTCTGACATCACCACATAATATTATAATACTTCAAACATCGGACAAACAGCATTTTTGAGTCACTTCTTCGTGGATGTTGTGAGGCAGGTCAAGAAACATGGCGTTAGGCACTTTCTTTGGGTGCCTGTTCATCTCTTTTGGACCAGTGGCAGCTTTGTTCTTCCTCACTGTGGCCAAGGATGCCCAGGATGTCATTGTGTTGATTGCAAGGTTGGTCTGACAATTCATTTTTCTCGAAATATATCTGCCCTGAAACACTGACACCCTTCTGTGTTGTGTGAACGCAGTGGATTTTTCTGGCTGCTAGCTTTGCTGTTCTCGGCTTTGTGGTGGCTAATCGTATCACCATTAAAGGATGAGCTGGCTTTCGCCGTCGTCTTTTCTGTACTCTTTCAAGAGGGATTTCGATACTTGTACTTTCGACTACTCAAGTAAGACTATTCTATCTATACGTCATGCCAGGCGTATAAAGGCACAGCCCCTCACGCGCACACACACACACACACACACACACACACACACACACACACACACACACACACACACACACCACACACACACCTTGACCTTGACCTTGATCTTGCCCATTGCGTACGCAATGATAGCGAATGTCGGAAAGTTCAAGTGAGAACACGAGCGCAGAACTTGGCATGTCGTTTCAGGTCTCCTGGTCGACGAAATGGGCGTCCACAGACACATAGAAGAGGATCAGGAGCGGGCCGTGGCGGTGGGGTGCTACTCGCAACTCTTCTCCAATTGGGACGATCTTGGCAACTCTCAAGCCAGGTGGTCACGCCGAGGTCCGCCAGGTCAGTCGATACCACATCTCGCCACCTCTTCTTCGGGCCGTGACGAGGACGGGGGGCAGGCAGCTCGCCGAACAGCAATTGCTTCGGTGCGCGTGAGTCGTCCATCCTGCCGACGTGACCCAGCCAACGAAGCCGGTGGCGACGGATGATGCGGGTGATATCAGGGTCAACACCGAATGTAGCTGCTAATGTGGCCGTTGAGATCCGATCATCCCACTGTTGACGACGGCCGATACCCACAATGGACCGAACACACTGATGGTGAAACGTTTTTAGCTTCTGGAGGTGGCCTGCCTTGGTGGTCCACGTCTCCGCACCATACAAGAGGGTCGTGAGGACGACAGCCTCATAGACACGCCTCTTGCTGCGAAGCGACACACACACACACACACACACACACACACACCACACACACACACACACACACACACACACACACACACACACACATACATACACACACACACACACATGTACACACACACACACACCATGTACACACACACACACCACAGACCTCAGACATGCCCATCGCGGAAGCGATGATAGCGAACAGCTATGTTAGACATAGCAACTTGTGCTGGGACTACACCATTCCACAGCTTGCAAGGCTGATGAATTGACCGCCACTATTTTCTAGCCTGGTATCCACCACACACACACACACACACACACACACACACACACACACACACACACACACACACACACACACACACTTGTACTTGCTCATAGCCAGAAGCTGGTCCTGTGTGTCTCCCAGGAGAGGAGAGAATAAATTTCTTGGAGAAAAAGGCACAATTGGATATTGATTGAACCGCCCCACGGCTGACAACCCCGGGAACCTCCAGACGCTGGGTTGACTTAGAAATGATCCCACTTATGGGCTCACCACAGTGATGCTGATGATGACATCCACAGCAACAAACACGCAACAAAAATGGATGGTATGCCGTGCTTTGGAGACCCCACCAAATCTGAATGAAGCCATAAAACCGGTGATGTAAAGTGCAGAGTGAATCCGCACACCATAAAGTCCGCTGCAAACGCTAACTTCGCAGCAAACACCAACCCCAGCGGGTCCATACTACTTCGAAGTATTTTTGTCTTTTTCAGGTCAATAAAAAGTTGTACAAAACCGTCACGAAGGTTGAATGCGTACGAGAACGACTAATGCCTGCAAACTACCTATGTCTTACCAGGAGGCTCTGCTAAAGCGATTGTCATTCATTATCTTGCATCAAAGAAAAGCTTCTGTCGCGTTGATTTCCTTTCATTCGACAAATGAGTTGTCTTTGTATCAGTTCGTTCTCCATTTGGAAATGCCTTAGAATCTATATGTATGTGGTTTTCAAATCATGAAATTTCTGCAGTGCCATGATGTCGCACTCTCTGAGCGCAACGATGATTCACCGAAGATAGGATTGTTCTGACAAAGCATCACTCAACGACTTGACCGGTTGCAGTATTGCAGTTGGAAGGAGAACAGGAAGAATGTCACAGAAGCTACAGCTACAAAGTCACTGCTAACTTGTTGAAAACTCTGGACTGATGTACTCGGGGGAAACCCTTGTCTTTGCGCGTTGCGTGATTTGAATGATGGCTTGAAACACCGTCAGAAGTGCATTTGGTTCCTGCAATGCTATGTTCTTCGCTACCTTGTTATTCGGAAGAAACTACCGGTTAGATTGCGAAATAAACAACCAACATCATTATCATCACTACAAGCTAGCTCATAGCTAGTGCTCGAAGAGATTTTGGAACCAGGAAAGTGGACATAGTTTACCGTAGCAAAGCGCTCTTCGTGCTATGGTGTGGGATGCAGCTTCGTACGGTTTTTGTGATAGTGCATGGGGTCAGTGCGTACAGGCCAGCAGATCTTGCAAAAACTTGAAAAAAGGGGGTGGGCGTTTGCAGCATGCTTTACGGTCATAGGTCATTTTTCTTAGTGGGTCTATTTTTCGATTAGGTTTTTCGAGCACGCATGCTCTTTCCCTTGGCACTACAAATTCGCAACTTGAGATCAATACTGTAAAACACGTAATTTTAGGTGCATTAAGATTTCGGTGCCAGAGACCTGCCGGGTTTCAGGTGTAATGTAGAATTAGGTGACTAGCGTTCCCTTCACATACAGTGCATGCTCAGGTGTCTTTTAGGTGTACTCAGTAATTTAAATTTAGGTGCCTGGTTTCTTTACCGAAATCACCGAAATTACAGTTACACCGAAAATTGCATGTTTTACAGTATCACTTTTTTAAATGACGTTTTGGCACATATTTGCCACCATCAGGTTGCAGTATGGTGTGCAAGTCTGCAAAGGAGCAGTTAGAATGGTATACATGTATGCCACAATTTAGTGTTATTGAGTAGTGTGAAATAGTGGTAGTGCTTTGGCGATAATTTTATAACAAATTTGGTTGCTCCCCACACTGGGGAGTTGTGAGATTCGCAACAAGAGGCAACGTTTCATAGCAATAGTACTTCGTATGTTAACTTAAACACGCTACTCAATATCACCAAATAGTGGCATATCAACATTATAACTGCTCCTTTGCACCGTATTGCACCCTGATGATGGCAATTTGCTGAAACGTCGTTTAAAAAACTGATACTAATCCCGAGTTGTGAATTTGCAGTGCCAAAGGAAAGAGCCGCATGCTCGAAAATCCTCATTGAGCTATGAACTGATGAAAGTATGAAGCTGCAGGATGCCTCACCCCTATTGCGTACATGGGTCTATTGGTAGTAGACATTTGTCTGTTATAGACTTCTATAATGTAGTGCAGTGGAGTCTGCGCACCTTCTGTTACAGTCACCCGTATAAATCAATCCCTGCAACTCCAGCAATAGCGCAACAAGCAAGTTTGCGCAGTACTCTTGGCTTACATAATCTGATATCATCCATTGGCGTATTTCCTCCACTCTCCTGCGGCGCTTCCTGAAGCCTGTATCTGCCTTGCTGCTGTTGCTGTCTGCTGACGATGGTGTTCTCATTGTTTGCACTGCTGTAGGAAAGCAGATGCTGGCCTGGTTCAGCTCTCCGTGTCTGTGGACTCGCCACTGCGGCGTCACAAACTGGCTTATGGTGAGTTTTTCTTTCTGCGCCGGGAGGAACCGTGAAAGTGTTCCTGTAGAAGCCTATGAGTGGAATGGTGTACATACACCGTGTGCCAAACCTCCTACCCTCTTTCTTAGGTGGAAATCTGATGCGACCATGCTCATCCCAACTTGCGACGCTGGGGATAACTGTCCGAATAGGGCTCGAAAATGTGACGTCACAGCCAGGGGGGGGGGGGGGGGGGGCTGGGTGCTGACGATGCTGATGATGGTGATGTATCGATACACTTGAATCCATTCTCTGTCTGGATCCATACTCTCTTTACACCGTTTCCTTTACACGAGGACGATCCACTGGTTGTGACGGGGGGGGGGGGGGGGGAGGGCAATTACTGGTGCATGAAAATCACACCAACATGCGACATGTAACGGGGTGGTCACCGCTTGCTCACCATGTTCCATACAACACTACAGAAGAGCGGATCCGATTTGACCCAAGAGTGGCCGTTTCATGATCACCCAGCTGTTTGGTCAGTCTGTTATTATTATTATTATTGTTAGTGCTAGACCTGCGCCTACTGCATCTGCCTCTGAAATAGCCTGTCCCTGTATACATTCACGCGATTACTCCTCTCGCTATCGTATTATCACACCTCTCTCCACTTAGATATACCAGCGCTGCCTCCTATTCCATTATCGTTGTCTGATGATTGGTTCAGCCATGAAACTCTGAGTCACAACGGAATTAATTTGCCAAGGTTTTCATTGTGTGCCTTTGTGTAGTTGTAGTCTTCTGGGTGCTGAGTCGAATGGTCTTGGTCCGAGGAAGCTGCGACGCTCCCTTCCTACTTGAATCCCAATCGAACTCGCGCACTTCCACCGAAACTGGGTGACTGCGCCCTACTAGATGGGGATTTGTATGCAAAATGTCACTAAAAGCGCCATTTCGTTCTTATAAAAGCACGGATGACCGCGATTGGCCCATATGTTGTAGTATTTTGGACGCTGAGTCGACTGGTTTTGGTCCGAAAGGGCTGCGATGCAGCGTTCCTCCTTTATTCCCAATCGAACATGGTTGAACAAGCGGTCACGTGCTCCTGGGTGCCCAAATCACCTGGTCACCGCGCCAGCAGGCGACAACTTTCACACCAAGGTTCAACTCGAGTTCAACTCGAGTGACAGGACTGCACCCAAAAAAGGTCAAACAGGCTAGTAAGTTGTACCCTGCAGGCACGGTGACCAGGTGACTGGTGTACGCAGGAGCACGTGACCGCTTGTTCAACCATGTTCGATTGGGAATAAAGGAGGAACGCTGCATCGCAGCCTTTTCGGACCAAAACCAGTCGACTCAGCGTCCAAAAGACTACAACATATGGGCCAATCGCGGTCGTCCGTGCATGTTCGATTGGGAATAAAGGAGGAACGCTGCATCGCAGCCTTTTCGGACCAAAACCAGTCGACTCAGCGTCCAAAAGACTACAACATATGGGCCAATCGCGGTCATCCGTGCTTTTATAAGAACGAAATGGCGCTTTTAGTGACATTTTGCATACAAATCCCCATCTAGTAGGGCGCAGTCACCCAGTTTCGGTGGAAGTGCGCGAGTTCGATTGGGATTCAAGTAGGAAGGGAGCGTCTCAGCTTCCTCGGACCAAGACCATTCGACTCAGCACCCCGAAGACTACAACTGGTGAAAATTTGATTTTAGGGTATACTTCCCCTTTAAGGCCTTCTTACGGGGTACCCTATATGTTTTTGTATAGATGAGCGGAAGTCTGATAGCGTGGAGCAAATACGAACAGAAGCAGGGAGCGAATTCCAGCGATCTGCGCCTAAGAAGCTTAATGTGTACAAGCCATAGCGGTTATTAGCCGGGGGAAGAGCAAGAGACAGAGTAACCTGCGAGCGGGTGATTGACGCTGTGTGTGTGGCATTGACTCTAGTCACAAAACAGTCTGTTAAGAGCGGACTGCACACCTTATGTAATGATCTGTAAATAAGTACAAACAATTTGAATCTCAAACGTAAGGAGATAGAAGCTAGGTGGTATCTGGCTAGAATAGTAGAAATGTCACAGAACCTTGGATAACCAAAAACAGTTCTAACTGCACGGTTGCTGAGGCAAGTCAAGCGATCTTGTTGCCCAGCCTGCAGACTGTGATAAAAAGCATTGGAACCGTACTCCAGTTGAGCCTGTATGAACGAGCAGTAGAAGGTTCTCTTTGCATCAATTGTTAGACGGTCACGGATTCTACGAAACACAGCTAGCTTGTCGCCTACCTTTCGCTCAAGGGCACTGATGTGGTCAGCGAATGTCAGGTGCTGGTCAAAGGTCATACCAAGGTACTTGACGGTGGTCGCTGGTGGAATTGAGACATTGTCAATGGTTAGTCGGAGGGAGGAGCATACTTTTTTCGATCTGGAGTGGAACACAATGAACTGGGTCTTGCTGGCATTCAGGATTAGTCCTCGTTCACTGAGGAAGTCCCTGATACGGCACACATCTCGGGCCAGTTCTTCGGTAGTTTGTTGTAGGTTGTGGCCTGCTAGGTACAGGGCGACATCGTCAGCGTACTGGCGCACCATGCTGGAAGATGCTGCCGAGGGCAATTTGCGTACAGATAGGTTAAAGAGCACAGGTCTGAGGGTGGATCCTTGAGGAACTCCCCTGTGAGCTTCGTACAGTTCACCTCTGGACGTGCGTGTTACCACTCGCTGCCGCCTGCCTCGTAGGTAGCTCGCAAACCATTGCAGGGCGCTATCTCCGACGCCGATCTCGAAAAGCTCCTGCAGGAGCATGTTGTGATTGACCGTGTCAAATGCTTTCGACATATCAAGAAACGCTGCCACCACAAATTTACCGGCGTCCAGACTTTGCTGCCAGTCATTCGCCACCAAGGCTAGCAAGTCATCGCAGGAGTGTTGTCTTCTGTAGGCGAACTGTTCAGGCGGCAGTGCTTGGTTTGCTTGTGGAGCGTCACGCACGAATTCCATTAGCTGGTCAAGGGCGCAGCGTTCTAACAGCTTTGACATTTGCGGAAGGAGCGGTATTGGCCTGTAATTAGTAGGATCGCTGTGATCACCTCGCTTATGTATTGGCCAAACGTTAGCCTGTTTGTACGGAGTTGGGAAAGTTCCAGATTGTAGTGAGTCTGAAAATAGCGGAGCGAGAACAGGGGCAATCCCGTCAGCTGCAGACTTGTAGATTGCTGCGGGTACGTTGTCGGGGCCGCACGCTTTACGGCAGTCCAACCGCTTTAGGTAGAATTCTACGAGGCTTGTCGGGATGCGGTCGAAAGTGCAAAAGTTGTGTTCAGGCATCGGACCTAGTGGCAGTGTAGTGTGCGTTGTAGCGGTTGGTGTAGTTGGCGAACCCGGTGATACTATTTCGGAGAATGTAGCTGTGATGCCTTTGACCTCTGCACCTGGTTCACGGTGGATCTTGATTCGACCAAGCAGAGTGTTTAGAACATTCCAGTGGCCTCTGGGGTTCTTCGTATTGTAAATAAATTCGTTCTGAAAGAATGTGGCTTGCTTGCGACGCGCGAGAAGTTTGCATTGCCGCCGCAGTGTCCGGAAGTTCTGGACTAGTTGCGGGCCAGCTGGGTTCTTTCTCATTTTCCTGTGCGAACGCTTCCTCCTGAACAACAATTTCCGGAGCTCGTCATCTACCCAAGGGGCAGGTTTGTATTTGCCACTTAGTTTGACGGTTGTCATTGGACAGTGCTTGTCCAGGACCTCAGATACGTTGTGTTGGAATAGTTGAATTCGTTGGCATGTAGTAGTTGTGGTGTCAGTGGATGTGTCGAGCAATGCGGATGCCAGTTGGTCTCTAAAGCTACTCATATCAATCGATCTAATGGGCGGCTTTCTTGTTTGGACCCACTGCTCCTTTGGGAGGGAACAGAGGGTTACTGTCATGTCAACTGGGACAAGCTGGTGGTCCGATGCATCGCATGGCTCGACTGTGCAGCTGTTCACGGTGAAGTGTCTACCTTGTGTGGCCTGAGATAGGTGGGTGTTGGCGAATGTCTTGGGTACTAGTACTAGGTCTAAGTTGGATTCAGTAGGAAGTCTAGTCGGCGATGTCACTATGTTATGGAGACTGGTTGTGTGGCAGAATGTCTGCAGGTGCTTGTGGTGAGGATGCTGAGTGTCTCGTATGTTCACATTGAAGTCACCAAGAACAATGGTGTGGGACGATTTTGGTGTCTGTGCTGCGATGTCATCAACAGTGTTGGTGAGTTGTTGCCAAAACGACACTGGTGTTGAGGGTGGTCGATATGTACAGATGATATTCAGTGGATTTCCATCCAACCGCAGGTGAATTGCTGCAGTTTCAATGTCAAATATTGTTCTTAGTTGACGGTACTTAAACTTATTTCTGATGTACAAGCAAACGCCGCCTCCTTTTTTGCTTGTCCTGTCAAATCTGTGGACGTCGTAGCCTGGTAAAAAGATGGCACTCTTTGTCGAGGTGGCTGTCAGCCATGTCTCCGTAACAGCAAGGATATCAATGTTGTGTTTGTGCAGAAGATAGTGAATGTCCCTAAGCTTATTCAATAGGCTGCAGATATTAATATGTGCTATAGTAAGATTAAAGAGTAATAATGTATTGCATGCATTTGAATGAGTGATACTTATCTGTGGCGTAGAGGTAGAGATGCTCTGGGGAGTGCTGCATGCGTTGGTGACAATAGTATTCTGTTGTGCGGGGACTCGTCATTGTGCAGGCTTGTCCTGAAGTAACCTCGCCAATTCAGCGTCATCCAGTGGTTTCCCTTGTACCAATATTTTGTCGTAGGGAAGGGAACAAGCAGTGCCAAGCCCTCGCAATTGTTTAAATGTGGGGAGTACCTGTCTCCTTCGTGCCTGTTGAGAGGGAGTTAGGTCGTGGCTAACGTAAACCGGTTGACCATTGTGGCGGAGCGTCATTTTATTCCTCAGGAGAGAGGCTTTTCCAGATTTGTTTGTTTTAATGAGGACTGGTCTGGGGCGTACGTTTGTGTCCTCTCTTGGCCTTCCAATACGTAGCACCTCTTGGATCAGAGTGTTTGACGGGACAAGGGCTCGTGCGAGTGAGGGGAGGTCCTCTCCCTGACATTCCGCCACGCCGTGCAATAGTACGTTGTTTTCCCTTCCCTTCTGGTTCAGGAGTTCCTCGACCAGATCTTGAGTAGTGCCATTCACGGTCTCTCGGTTCAGGCCGGGTTCGGTTTGGTTGTGAGGCTGGTTCCGCATGTGTATGTCACGGGCCTGTTTTCGCAACAAATTTGTCATGTTTTGCAAATTCTCATGGACTGGCGCCAGTCCGTCTGCCACAACATTACTGAGGTCGGAACGCAGGTCCGACCTCAGGCCATTTATTAGGCTCACCATGTCCATATTGAGTTCTCCGGATGGTAGAGACGGGGCCGAAGGCGATGGTAGGTTTCCAGTTGTCTGGCGCTTGGGGGCCGGGATTTCGGTGGGGCTGTCGGACCGATCCTGCACCTTGGATTTTTCTCCGACTTTCCTCACTGGTGTCGGTGGCACTATGTCGGGATCCTCTAAAAGCTTGTATATAGTATCCAGTTACAGTGATGGAGAGTTACTCTAAACTCGTATCCATAATGTCCTTTTCCTTTCTACAATTAAATGTATTTAAATAACCGACGAGGAGACAACAGTTGTAAAATAGCAATGAAAAATATCAATTGTGCACTCATAACCTTGTATAAACAATTAAAATGAAACAATTCCAGAACGTTTTCGTGTGACCATCATCAGTGGAACATCGTCACATAGTAAGAATCACTAAAACAACCAGTTATATAGCTACAGTAATATGAAAGGAAGCGTGAGAATGCAGCACAGCTAGCGGTTATGCATAACGCGTGTAGTGTGAACCTTTGCAGTGTATCTGAGAATGGTAGCAGTAGATGAATGTGGCAGCTGTGAGTGCGTGTGAACAAAAACTGGTGAGTGCGTATTATTTAAAAAGTGTGAGCGCACTCACCAGTTTTTGTTCACACGCACTCACAGCTGCCACATTCATCTACTGCTACCATTCTCAGATACACTGCAAAGGTTCACGCTACACGCGTTATGCATAACCGCTAGCTGTGCTGCATTCTCACGCTTCTTTTCATATTACTGTAGCTATATAACTGGTTGTTTTAGTGATTCTTACTATGTGACGATGTTCCACTGATGATGGTCACACGAAAACGTTCTGGAATTGTTTCATTTTAATTGTTTATACATGGTTATGAGTGCACAATTGATATTTTTCATTGCTATTTTACAATTAAATGTATAATATGATTTTTTTAAAGAGGTCGGAGGCGGATACTACTTTAAAACGAAGGTAAGTATTATGTCGCAAGTATCCACGCAAACACACATCCAGTCGAATAAGGCACTTGTGATGAAGTATCCGAACGTTTTCGGTCCCTTCTCATCAAGGATTGTACAGGGAATGGCTCAAGTTGGAAAGACTAAAACTTATATAGCGTAAAGATAATGAGATAACAACACTCGTGACTCGTGATATCTTTACGCTATATATGTTTAGTCTTTCCAACTTGAGCCATTCCCTGTACAATCCTTGATGAGAAGGGACCGAAAACGTTCGGATACTTTATCACAAGTGCCTTATTTGACTGGATGTGTGTTTGCGTGGATATTTGCGACGTAATACTTACAAGAAACTAACTCTCCTCCTCCATGCGCTCTAAAGCCGACCATTGCTACCCTCGGTAGCCATTCCTCACACCAATAACTTCTAACAACGAAGGGGTCACGGGTAAAACATTTCCTTCTGACAGCTGTAATACTTACCTTCGTTTTAAAATAATATGAGTTAATAATATAGCTAAAGCAAGGTGCTTGATTGATACGCCAGCAACATGTTTTCAGTGATATGCACAGTGATATGCAGCACATGATCTTTTAGAAGAGGTTTTACTGTTTCACTGTTTGGGGGTTTGATTTGAAACATGGCCAGCATGGCGTCGTGGTCCTGGCTCAACTCGTTGCAGCTCCTTGAATTGATGTTGTGTGTCTATGATTGTGCACTTCTCTTGCTGTGGTGCAGTGTCTGGAATGGGTTTTGGCATTGTCCAGGGTATCTTTGCCTACACCAATGTGCTGAAGGAATCTGCCGGCGCCGGTACTGTGGGATTCATCGACGGTCACCCTGACCAGTACTTCTTCTTCCACTCAGGTATGTATTGGCACAGTCTCATTCACATTGACACTCGGGTAGGCACTCGCATAGTCTCATTCGCATTGACACTCGGGTAGGTCCTCGCATAGTCTCATTCACATTGACACTCGGGTAGGCACTCGCATAGTCTCATTCGCATTGACACTCGCGTAGGCACTCGAATAGGCTCATTCGCATTGACACTTGGGAATGCATTTGCATAGTAACATTCACATTGACACTCGAGTAGGCACTCGCATAGTCTCATTCACATTATTGACACTTGCGTATTCACTCGCATGATCTCATTCATATTGACACAATGTATTAGAACTGGCGTTCACTTCTCAGAACTTAGAAATGCCTGCAAGTTTGCCATAATCGAATCTAGCACAGTAACTCACGGACGCACGCGCGCGCACACACACACACCTTGGACACCTTGAACATGCAGCCATGATGTAGCTATTCTGATCTAATGTGTGTGTGTGGGGGGGGGGCTTGAGCAGGTCTGGAGCAGTAAGAACAATGACCGGACAAGTCTTGTGGTCGCCTGAAACTTTGGCCACATCGGCAGACGAGAAGGAAGGAGCTGCGGTGTGCTTATGCTGCTGGTCGAGCTGGACCACGACTGCAATTGTGTGTTTTGCTTGGCTTCGTCAGCTTACATGTGGAAAAGAAGTACATTTTCTGACGCAATGTGTTCTGTGTTCTATACTGTTTTTGCTGTCTTGTGCTATTGCAGCATTGATGACGTGCTGTTTCATCCTGCTGCACACTTTCTGGGGTGTGATGTTCTACGATGGCTTCAACAGGAAGAAGTATATCCACGCTGTGGCTGTAGTGTGCATGCACTGGTTAACATCGTTGTTGGTGAGTTCTAGCAAGAGTACATATATTATACCCTACAGTCCATTCATCGAAAGATGAACCCTGACTCTGGTGAGCTTCCGTTTTTGGCGATTTTATCATACATGGTGCAGTGCCGCGAAATTTGAAACTTGAAAAGGGGTCCAAAGAGGTACGTCAACTGGGGTTTGAACCGCACAATGTACTGTTGCAAGTAGAGTGAAATGGCCTGGATGTTCCCAATTAAGTGCTTTTGGAGCAAAACCTGGCCGAAATCCTTTTCTTGTTACGGTTTGCTTTTTGGAGAAATAGACTTCAGAAACATAATTGGAAGAGCATTCCACAGGGGATTGCCGAAAAAATTCTAAAAAAACTCAAAAGTTTGACCCACTTATGGCCAAAAGCTAGAAGTCCATCTTTTTATGAATGTACTGTAGTGTGTGCAACTGGTGATATTTACATGTCACGCTGTCAGAAGTATGGTAAAACTCCGATACGACGAACCCTTCAACAACCCTTCAACCTTTGTCCCGGGGGCCGGACAGCATCGTTCACAAGCATATCAACTTGGTCATGGTGAACTCAGATGAGATGATCTCTTTGATAGTGCATGCGGTCATTGGATGTGTTGGTCTAGTATTTTATCGTTTTGTGGACACATCGCATTTTCTGCTTGTGTGTCAATTTTCACTTTTGTTTGTTTGGATTGAAGTGCACTGTGGCTCGTTTGTTGCTGATGCTGATGGTGCTGGTGTTGTTTTTGTTGTTTGTTTGTTTGTTTTTATTTTGTCTTTCTCAGACTTTGCTCAATCAACAAAGACATAGTCCAGCGATTGCCCTCGTGATCAACTACCTTGTCTTGCTTGTGTGCGTCGGCTGGTCGTACCACATCACTGGCCTGCCCCTGTCCAATCTCTCTGCTCTCTTTCAGATCCGGTGAGTCAGTACACGTAGAGAATGCTACGTTGTAGTTGTGCACACTTTATCTCTCTTATCCGGGCAGTACGGGACCGGGCACTGTCCATAACTTTGAAATATCCGTAACTCTGGGTCACGTACATATTTGATGGGGAATTCCCAGAGATCTTGCATATGACGTCACTGTTTCCACAAAAATTGGCAAAGGAGTAGTCATATTTCCACTAACACTCTCCCACAGGGTGCCCTGTAGATCGAGGTGCCCTGTAGATCGAGGTGCCCGTAACTTCGAGGTCCGGATAACAGAGATATGAGTGTAGTTCATGTAATATTTGAGAGCCCTCCACCGAGTGACATTATTACACGCACTGGTTTGCCACTCTAGACAATACATCTGCAATGACATTATTTGAAAACAAATAATTTTTAAACATACGCGAGCAATGGCATTATTTGGCTACAACACGTGTTGTACTCAGTAGGTACATGTAGTTGGTGTCCTATAAACAGTCAGAAGTCCAGTAGGGAGTCAAACTCATAATCTAGTCACATTTTGTGACTCTGTCGAACTCGTGCGACTTTCCCTGTACAAAGGTGAACATTTCCAGTGCATAATCTGAGTTTTTGTCAGCTGTGGTTTATCTGGAAAGATGACGCACCCACTTTATCCACCAATTATGGAATGAGAAAGGATAGTTTGAATTGTGCATCAACTCCGAATTAATGCACTCATGTAAGATCATCTACAAGAACAGTTTGCTGAGTTGAAGAAAAGAGACTTTCCTTCGCCCAGCTGAAGCTAATGGAAGTGAATGCTCGAAATGATGCCACCACCAGCTAGCCACTGGACATTTTGGCACACTCAGGCAGAACCTGACGTGGTGTGGAGGCCAGCTTGAGCTAGCTCTCGGCAAGGAAAGAAACATCCGCGTAGACCTTCATATTGTTCATTGCTATCATTAAATTATTGTCTCCACGTCGCTTATTTGTAGACCGTCAGTACAAAATACTACAAATACAAGCTGCACGTGTACATGTAGTACATGTACCAACTTAGCAACAGCTAGTAGTGAGCTACAGCTTCGACTTCTCGATTTTTATTTCTGCTTCACGACTGCTTGTAGAGGCCTAATAGGCGCACCATCTGACCGTTTACAGTAGTTATACTGTACACTGAACTCCCTATAATGACCTGGCTGCCTGCTGAGTTTCGTATACCGGGTAGATGCTATTCAATTGATATAATCGCACTTTTGAATAGCATCTACCGGTACACCGGTACTCAGAGTGGGATTCACAATGATGTGCATCCTTATCCAGTCCCTACCGGGGCTACTGTTTGTGTAAAGTCCCTCATGCCCAGCAAGCTCACCCATGAATTTTGGTTTTCCTCTTTTGTTGACAGGGCGAAACGCACATGAAGTCTCTTGCTCCTTGGAAGTCGTCATCAGGCGCACATGCTCACCCAGCCATGCATGTGTGCGCATGCACACATGCACCATGGGGTGAAACTTTCGCGTGCAATGCTATCTACTACTGAAGCAGCACGTCCCTAAGCCCAACGTGCATGTAGTGGACCTTTTCCATGGGCGTGTTAGACATACATTGCTACACACCACAACATGCGTTATATACATGCACACTGGCAGACACATGGACTCGTTCCCTTGAGCAGCATGCCTGTTTCTCTTTGCTCAAGAAAGTTTTATTATTATTGAAGGATGCAGGAGCATCCATGGCTGATGTACCTATCAGTTCTCGTTCATTGAATTGTTTCAAACTCTCCATGTGTTGTCCGTCACTACATGTAATTGCTGCTGCTGTATCATGCCATCTTATTCAACTGCTTTTGTAGGCGCCGTCTAAACTGGTTTTGATAAATGGGCGCGCTTTTTCTCCTTCGTTTCCTGATGTGATTAATTTTGTATTCTATTATTGTATAGTATTCTATTGTATATCACTCAAGTCTACTATTACAAGAGAACTACTGGATCAAGATCGACTCCCATCTTTGTTTGCATCGATGAAAGGACTTGAAGCAGCTAACAATCCCTGCTTTTGACCAGGGAGTAGTACAATATTGTACTACTCCCTGCTTTTGACAGACCCAGCACACTCACTATACATGTATTTCGATTTGCTTGCATGGTAAACGTAGTAAAGCTTTGCTGCAGGTCGGAGGTGAAAGAATTGAACAGTGTGCACCCATTTCGTGGAAGAAAATGAGATTTTGGGAAAGCTCCTGGCAAGAGTCTGAACTCGGGAGGGGCAGGAACCTGCAGTGCAGTGGCGGGGTGACAAACCTTCCAACCAGGGTGTACCAGAATAGGGCAATACCCTCATCTTCCAAACATTCACCTCAACACAGTCGTATACGGTGTACTTTTATGTGTTACTACTATCAAAACAGCATAGCTGCCAGTGTTAATACTAACAATAGTTGAATTTCATGAAGTTATGAAACATACAGATGAGTACGGGATGCTCCCTAGGCAAATTACTTAAAATTAGCAAAAAAATATATTGTCGTGGATACAAAAAGATGAAGTGATTACGCTACAACACAGCATATTAGTTGCCTTTGTTGTTTTACAGATGGTTTCAAGACAGGTTATTCATTGTGTGACAATGTCCACATAGACCTCAAGTAACTGCGTCTAAGTGGGTAAGCTAAGGTGGGATGGTTTGTGCACAGCACAAACAGGTGTTCGGTTGCAGATAGGCGCAATATGGGAGTACTGAATACTGAACAGCTCAGCGCAATTTACGCTGGCTATTCAGCGAGTGAGAGCAGCTTGGATCTTCAGTTTGGCCTTCTCCAGGGTTCTCTTGAGCTTCTCCTCTTCAGCGCGGAGAAGGTCATTCTCGGCGCGAAGTTCTTGGATCAGGCGGTCGTTCTCCTGGTCTTTGCAACGGCGTCCGGCGCGGTGTTTCTTTGCGGCAACGTTGTTCATCTGCTTCTTGCGGTCACTGTCGCTACCCGGTGAGGACGCAGCACCGCGCGGCGACTGCACTACGCTGGATGATGACGCCGGACTGTAAGCGGGCGATACGTCGGTAGTAGTCAGGGATGTTGGACTGCTGCACGCCGATGATGCAAGCTGGGCAGATGAAGAGGAGCTGTACGCCGGCGAAGGGCATCGTCGCTTGGCGGCCGGCTCGATGGCAGTGGCGATGGCAGCAGCTGCTGCGTACACGTCACTCTCTCCGGACTCGCTGCCGTAAGACGATGGCGATGACTGTGACAGGGTGGTCGTCATCCAGCCATCCGGGTCAGGGTCAAAAGGCCCTGACCCGACGGCGGACGTTGCGGTAAGAGCTGCATCGATGTCTGGCACGTCTTCGGCGGCGGCTGCTGCTGCTGCGTTGAACAGGCCGAGCCAATCCAAGTCGTTCTCTAGGTCAAGTGTCTTCTCTAGGAATTCTGGGTCTCCGTTCGGTACAAGACTGTCGTCGCGGTTCAATAGGTCAAAGTCAATACCTAAGAAGATGGAAAGAAAGGCAAGCCAAACAAGAAAAAGAACATCAACACGCTGCACCTCGAAGCAACAGAAACACTGTAACGTTCTTCTGCGGAAGCTGCAGGCGAGCAAGTACATGATTATAGTGTGGCAGCTTATGATAAGTTAGTTATGTTATTGCTCAGCTACGCGAAACTTCTGCTTGGAGATAAGCAGTACATCTGCATGACTACATGCAGCGTGTGAGTAGTTGTCAATGTGACCTGGTAACAGTGTTTGGATGTTGTATGTGCTATAAGCTTTGGCAACGGAGCACGCAGGACTTACAGGGCTCCGTTTGAGACGTAGTGTTCAAAGCAAGCGGAGAAACTGTGTCCTGCGGGAGAGCTGGTGCTGTCACTGTGTATCGGTCTGCTTTCAGTTGGAGGGGGTTCACTGCAGCGGGATCGGCTAGGTCCACTACAGGAACGCCTCCTAAAATACTCTGAGTCGAAATGGTGCCACTTTTTGACATTGCTTTGCTCTTGAGCAATACATCCACCCACAACGATATCTGAGACGGCAAACATGGTTCAACAAGATTAGTGTTGACCTGAAGCGACGAAATTTTGACTGGGGAAGAAGAACTTCCTTGAAAGGTTATATTGGTCGGGAACAAAGCTCCGACCAACAACGCTTATTATGGAGCACTCGGGCACACGGGCACGGGACGCAGGCAGGCGCAGGCAGCAATTGCACTAGAAAGACGCAACCGATCATGAAGAAGACTTTTGAGAAAGGGTGATGAACAGATTTGCGATTTCGCTTTTGTTCGCCAATCCGTTGCACTTGCATGATGCAATCTTCCGTTATGTCATAGCTACGTCACCTTTCAGAAATTCAAATAGGACATTACGTCAAGTATTCACTGGGAAAGGAATGTTTTGTCGTTTATTGCACGTGCGCGACTTGTGAATCGTGTGATTGAAGAACAACGCTGTACTCGATCGTACTGACTATTGTTCCGACTTCAAATACTTCAATAAATAGTTCAAGACAGAAGAAGGCATGTATGTAACTTTGACTTTGTCAGTGGACGACGTGGACACTTCTTGTGAGACAGTGTACTGGAGTCGAGATCATGGAGACGTTTGACCCGGGACCAGGACTGATTATCAAGGGTTGTCGGGGTGGCGTGACGACTGACTGATGAAGAAGCGCAGTACAGGACTGCTACATAATTGTGTTGCTTAGTACAAGACAGGGGCAGACTTCGCCCATGTAAAGTAACACATTAGTTGTGACTGAGTTTGAGGAGGACGGTACGGTTGGACTTGTCCAGACTAGCAGTGTTTGTTTGACGCTACGTAGATGTACACGTCGTGGACTCTGGCCGTCTTGGACTTGCAAGCTTACAATGGTCAGGATGAACCACAATCATGTGCAGTGCCACTGCCAGCCGCCTAGCTGTGTAACATTTACATAATGACAATGCAAAAACCAGGCAAGTCAGATGCTAGCTCTGTAACTACATAATTGTACATGCATGTGCGATCAAAACGTTTTGAGATCGTTGCCGTCCAGGGTGGTCTCCAGCTCCCTTGGCTTCAGCCCTGCAGCTGGCCTGGGACTGGGTGGCAGTGGCTGACCAGTCAGATTTGACATTGCAATAGTGTCACACGAGCTGGTTGGTTCTACTTGTCAACAACAGCCACCATACCATGATCCAGTGGCAGTGGCAGTGATACTCCAAAAAAAATTATTTTCACACTGCACTGGTACGTGATCATGGTGACAAGATGGGATCATCTATGATCTAGCTGTTGTCATGTTGATCCACTGCGGCACTTGTATGAGTGGTATACCAGTATGATGAGCTCATGGGTACGGGTAGCCCTGAGCTGACCAATCAGCACACAGGCTGTCCGATATGTCCAGCACACACTGCATTGGTGTGTGTGGCTGGCGACAAAGACTTGGCAGTGTTATTGTCCTGCGCATGTGATGGGTGTGTGGAGGCTGGGCAGAGCACGTGTCGGGCGACACTTGTGCTGGTGTCCTGGTACATGGTGCCTTGCGAATTGCCTTATTTGCAGTTGTGACATAGTCATTGCGGGCGAGATAAAGAGGTGCTTTGGAGACATCCCTTGGAAGTAGCAGAGTCACTGCTACACTACTGTCGACGGCATGTCTTCACTACATGTATACACTACATGTCTACACTCAGATGAGCAGTACTGTACTGCATGCAGTGCACTGGCACCACCAGCCGGCAATGCCATTGCATTGGCAGTGTAGACTGTACTGTCCCTCCAGAAACTTGCGGAGACATTTCGGAAATATCGCGGAAAAAGTTGCGAGGTAAAATGCCACAAATTGCGGGGAATATTGCGGATTTTGTCAAATATTGCGGGATTATTGTGGTAAAATTGCGGGAATTGCGGCCGATTTTGGTACTTGTACTGTAGTGGTGTACGATGTACGAGTCGTACAGCATAAATCATGCATGACAAAACAGAACGTGTGCTGCGCTGACTGTGTTCAACTGCCTGGCAGGAGCTTGCAAGCTATCCTCCATCCTCGGACAACACTCGACGCGAGCCTTATTTTGTGACTTATCAGTCGCTGATTTGCCCAGAAACTTCTCCATTCTGGTGTCGATCTCACAAGTAAACTACTGACGAGCTTGAAGAACTAAACAACATCGAAGAAAGACTCGAATATCGCGGTTGCTTTTCGAAATATCGCGGTGCTTTTCAAGTATCAAGGACAGTTTTCTACAATAACGCGGATGATTTTTCAAATATCGCGGATATCACGGACTTTTGTTCAAATCGCGGAAAACAACGCGGCCGCGGAATCGCAAGTTCCTGGAGGGACAGACTGTAGAGCAGTGCTAGTGTTACTGGATGCATAGAGAGAGATATGACCAGCCGGATGGATGACGTGTGACACAGCAGGATTCAAGTACCCAGTAATTAGCATGGGATTCCAGACTCAAGTACCCAACGTCCCCAAAGTGCCATGCACATGTCGTGGCATTGGTCATTGCCTAGGTACATGTACTAGAACTAGGTGGCTTAGTTATAATAATGCACGTAATCGCCACTACAAATTACAATAGTTGTACTGCCTGGTGTAACCTGCATTGATTCCTAGGCCAGGGCAGGGGGTGCTACTCTACACTTACCGGTACTTGGCACCCAAAGGCCATGAGGAAAATAGAACTAACCAGTCACAGGCAAGGAACTAACTTACTAATACTAACTTTACTTCCAGTCCAAAGACAGAGGGGCAACACACACCACACGGAGGACCAGACCTGTGTGCCTTCCTCTCGTCAGCGCAGGGGAGAGCAAGCTTTGGCCAGTTTTGGGGCTAATGCTAATTGTACAGGCATGTTTGAAGGAGACAAGGAGTAAGATGTGCACAGCAATGCCGGATTTGTTTTTTTCTTTCCGCTTGTTTTCCATACCCTCTTCCATGGGATATAAATAGCTGGACTTGGCGCAAGGACAAAGGGCAGGTTTGAAAGGATAAGGACTGTGGTGAAGTTCACAAATCCTAGCTATTCATCATCATGAATACATCATTAGCATAAAACACTGTTCAGTGCAGATAATTAGAATACGGTACGTCACAACAGTCAATCATACCTTGTGAACAATGCCCCATGACATGCACTAACCCTACAATAGATGTACGGTCCTTTTGCTCTGTGTACTCCTACCAAACAATTTTGCAATGAAGCACAGTTATGTGTCAGTAGTAGTGTGTGCAGTGCTGCCAAATAATTTTCGCCCAAAATCGGACACCCTTCACCGCCACATGGTGCGAATTTTTCTCCTCGGCAAATTTTTTACAGAGAATTCAAAATATCGCCTAAAACACCATGAAAATTCGCTTCGTTGCCATGGTAACCCCAGAGTTGTCATGAATTTTGTAATGATGAGTGTGGTCGCACACTGACTCTGTACAGACTGTCAGTGTACATGCCATCCAGCCTGATCCATGTTACTTTGCACTTCCACAGCCAAGCGCTAGCCTTTTTAGAAGCAAATGTACAGTGATTTGTGCCTTCAGTTGCGCTGAAAAGTGAAAGTACAGGACTTCTGCATAGGAAAGTAATGATCTCTGACATTTTGGCTGCTTTTCGGACGTTTCCCTTTTCGGACCGGTTTTCGGAAGAGCCTTCAAAAATCGGACGGTTTGGCAGCACTGTGTGTGGGGGGGGGGACACACAATGCACTGGGATGACTCTTGCCAGGATTGCCATTGCCTGCGTTCACGCTGTGAAGAATCAATGCAGCAGTGAGATTTCTCCAGCATAGGACCTCTAGATCAAACCAATGGAGCCCATGCAGTTGCTGCATGAATGAATGAAGATACATGTACATTTATGTCAGAGTAATGTCACACTTCTGAAGTGACTACCACGCACTGTGTCTGTCCAACTGCCAAAGCAGGAGGTCATGCACTCCGTATGTGTGACCCTGCATTACTGGTTTCTTTCATCTTCATTTTATTTGATTGATTTTCCGAAGGCAAATAGATGCCTATTTCTTCTCGTTGCGGTGGCGGCGGTAGTGGCGGTATTCAGCATGCAAGTGGATGTCTCTGCTTCAAAGCTCAATTTCAGCTCGGGGTGAACAGACATAACCAGGGAGTTGTAAAATACCGGTGTTTTATGGCTCCCTGGACACATGTAGTTATCCATCTCCAGCTGTAAAGAGAGTAATAAATCAAAATGAAGAAGTGCTGGTAGCACTCCCTGCCCCTCTTCACTTCAGTCACCAGTGTGGATGGGTGTCCCATAAATGACAAGCTGGTGAACTGGTCAACGAAATCATGAGTGTGACAGGGCATTGTGTCACAGCTCAAAAATAGAGGTGGTACTAGTACTCGTCGTACAGATCAGATCATCCTTACTGTAGGCAGGCTCTAAAAGTTTGTGCCAGGACTTGGAGACCCTGGATGACCAGAGTAGTGGGCAAGTCTGTAAAGTTTAGACCCTGATCGGATGTTAATCAAAGCAGAAAGAGCTTGAAATGGGGAATGTTTTCAAATACTGATCGCCTGACATTCGGCTGCTGTGCTACCAGCAACAGCTGCATTTTATGTAACACAAACCAATGGCCACCATCGTGGTGTAGAGCTGAATCTACGCTCATCACACATGGCAGATGTAAATACCCTGTCCTGATTTGACGGAGCGATGACTAGAGGCGATGTCCAGGGTACATCGTAGCATGACTCGGATATTGTTTTAAAGTGGCTCTCCAGCGCTGCGAGGAGAGGATTTGACACCACAGCGGTAATTTTCAGACGGCTAAAACCATAACATGGATATCCGATGGCACATGGAAAACACAACACGGCTTTCTCTTCTCGACGGCAATCGTATTGTAGGCAAATGTTCGCTACGTGCTTCTTGAGAATTCCAGTCCTTGGCACGATACGACATTGGCATCAGCTACCCCATCCACTGGGGTAACGTCAAAATTCACCTGTGCAGAATCACACATAAGAATAGAGGAAAGCATCAAGGCTTCAACAATTAGAGACTGCATTTACAGAGCTCACTTCCAGTGACCTCAAAGTTCCCGTCGGACACTCCCGAAAGCAATGCAAATGCCAGTAGTTTCCCACGGCCGACATAGTTCTAAACCGTACCAAAGCTAAATGGTCCAAAGAACATACCCCAAGCAGGTTCTTGCAGAGCTCAATGGCCGTCTGAGTGTGAAGTGTGAGTGGACCAGTCCGAATACGAGATGTGCCTTTCGCCAGCGCCATCAGGATGATCAGCTGCACAAACAAAAGGAACGAGAAAGTCAGTTCCCCTCTTAGCCTGGGACTACAACCCATCATAATCCACACAAGCACATGGGTGAATCATGCACTCAAATGTGTCTGGAAAAGGGGAGTCCGACTGTAACGTTAAAATAATGAAAAACAACTGGATTGCATCACCCAGAACTGACCTGATCTTGGAGATGTTCATCAACACAGGCACCATGCTGAAGGTTGTTGGTGAGCATATCAACAGCGTCGGCTGCGATGTCACGTGGTCCCTTTCCTGCACATGAACACGTGCATGCATGCGCACAATCAGTTAGGTAACCGAACAGCAAAGTTAGCCCATTTTCAACATGGATACGCGTACAGCGATCAGTTCTGTGGTGAGTATACCCGAGTCTACAGGTGACAAGGTTGCTTGGTTATTTTGCGGCAAAACAAGACCTGACGTCCACTGGAAGTCCAGCCAAATACCAATATCACCCACCCAATTTTGTCTGTTGGAAGAATCGGAAACCGAACTATTTGCCGGGTCTATATTTCAGGGTATGTAACAAAATTGGCGTAAAAATTAATAATTACACCGGTGACGAAAAGGTGTTCTACTTGAAGGGAATGTGGTTCACCAGAGAACTTGGCAAAGTTGTGCGACTATTTTTTGGCCAAAAAGGCGGACTGGCCCGGCAAGACACGCGTTTCCTTACCTCTCGATCCGAGACCAGAACCTGCCAGTAAGCACCCAGTAGATGTCTCAGCAACCAGTCTGGTGGAAGACAAATACAAATGTAGATGGACACAACGAATGCAACAGCACGCAGAAAGAAGCTCGAACAATACCGGACTCCATAGCGATAAAGATAAGAGAAGCTAACAAACTTATGCAGAACATTGACTGGAGTACTGTTCATCTGGACTTGCCCAGACAACTCGTTGTGTTACAAATTTACCATACATCACTGGGAGCAACCCACAGTTTTCAACGAAAAAACCATCATCAGGCAAACTTACCACGGACCCCTTTAAAATGTTTTCACTATACGATATCGTAGTATTAAATGTACAGTCCAATCTGCTGTAAGCAAGCTCTGCAATAGGTGGCCATCAGGGAGTCCTAGCATCTAGGGAGACGACCTGGGTGACTGTAACGCTAAATGACGTGGGTTTCAACCACTGGTTGCCCATTACAGTTGACCTTTGGACAGGGCCTATTTATACAATGCTCCAGTATGGCATCGCTTGTTTGGGCCACACTTCAGGTCAGCAGATCAAGACCTCGATCGCAAGTTGCATAGACAACGGATCATGAACAACTTCCAAATCTGGGGTAAAGCGCATATTGTTTCAGGTACTATGTGAACTTGTGCCGTCTTCCTAGACGCCATGACTCCCTGGTGGCAATCTACCATTACTGACATGTTTTCATGCACTGACGGTTTCAATACAAACTGATCTGCCCAGGGTGACCAGCTTTCAGCTTCTTTTCCTCTCCACTTTCATATTTTCATATTCTGCATTTGAGCTAAATGAAAACAGAGGAAAGTAACAGTAGGGGCATGTTCAATTGGTAGGATCTGGATCCAGATCAACCGGATCTACTGGATTCGCATCCTTTCCCATCGCGGGGAGCAGCGTTGACAGGATCCACCGGATTATTTTTTGCCACAAATCGTGCTCTGTACGTGATACGTGTACAAATGATGAGAATAAAAGTGATGATGCGGAAATCGTTGCTTTCTCTCATGGAAACCCTAAAAAATCACTAAAATTCCAGATTCGATCGAGGGGAGCGTTTGATTGGACCTAGGTGGATCCAAAGGATCCACTCAATCGATCTGGATCCAACCCCTAGATTACACCTGTACAAAGCACAATGAACTGCTCACAGAACGCCGGACTTACAAGACACATGAGCCTGTTGCAGTAGCTTGATCTCGCTGAATGTATTCGCCGGCAATGTCGATCTTCACATCGGCAACCAACTCCTTGTGCCGATTGAGCAATAGCCGCTGACAGGCCTTGGCAATATCATTGCCATACTATCCAGAACAAGCAGAGCAGTTGGAAATACTGTACGCGTGAAGAAAGCAATATGTGACCCATTGTTATGGGTGGCCTTTAGACCTACCACTGTGTCACTCAATGACAATGGGTACACGATGCACCAACACCCATTTCCGTGTACACAAGCACTTGTGTGTGTGTGTGTGTGTGTGTGTGTTAAATCTGTGGGTGCACATCCAGTGCATTTGCAGATTTGCGTGCTTCTCTTGCGACGGGCGTATACATGGAAACATGGTACATGGTGTGTGTGTGTGTTTGTGTGTGTGTGTGTTTGTGTGTGTTTGTGTGTGTGTTTGTGTGTGTGCGCGCGTGCACGCGTGTGTGTGTGTGCACTTGTGTGTGTGTGTGTGTCACTGTGTGTGTGTGTGTGTGTGTGTGTGTGTGTGTGTGCGTGCGTGCGTGTGTACGCTTATGTGTGCTTGTGTGTGATCGTAAAGACTGCATACTGGTGAAGAATAGTTGTGAATACATCACAATTCTTGCGAACTAAGTTTAAGTTTCTACAAATTTACGATGGGCCAAGGTGAGAGACTTGTATTTCAGTCCGTGTGTTCAGTAAACATACCCTTAATACGGATGGCCGTGCTATCACACAAGCCCAGTTCTGTCCCGCAAACGGCATTCAGACTTTACACCTAGTTTTTAATAGCGACGTCAACTTTTGAACATGAATGTGTACCTGTGTCACATCCATCCACCCACGTGCAAACCAACACACAAACACATCCACCCACACCCACACACACACCCACGTACAGCCGTACAAACAAACACATGCACCCCCCCCCCCCCACACACACACACTCACTCATACATGTACAGGAAGGGAGCCGGACAGACAGACAGACACACAGGCACACATGCACACTTACACCTCTGGGTAGCTCCCCTGCACAGATAGCAGTGCCAGTGATTCGCACAACATGCCCGGGATCAAGCATCTCCACTGCAGATAGCTGAGCAACGGGTTGAACATTTACATCCACAATGCCACCACCTCTTGGAAAGAAGCCACTATAAGTAATGACAACAAGAGAATAACCCACAGACAGGCTAATCAACAACAAGGATGACAGTACTGGTAGAGACTCCACATGCCTATGTGAATAGTCCGGCTACAACCTTGCCAGCTGGATCAGCAAAAATAAACAGATTAGAGCGCAAACAAATCATTTGCTTACCGCTTGACAATGCTAACATCGCAGTCAACACCAAAGCGTTTGGATATCGGACAAAAAACCTGTTTGGAGACACCATATAACAGAGAGAAAGAGAAAGAAAGAAAGAGAGAGAGAGAGAGACACACACACACACACACACACACACACGCACGCGCGCGCGCGCACAGGTGCGCAGGCAGATAGACAGCACAGGAAAGAAAAGCATCCACTGAAACTCGCTCATGGCCTCGCCAGAAGACAATCAATAGTAGTGGATGGCAAGTCATTACTGGTCATGGTCACCTTCCCTACATGTAGTTCCGAATAGCCTGGCTGTGGATGATGGTAGTACTCAGGTACATGTACAGTTGAAATTGGATAGTACCGGTACTAAAATACTAGTACATGCAGCGTATTGAGTGAATGCCCAGTAGGTGCAACGTGTACAGTACGTGTACAGTACGTGTACAAGCACAAAGTAAGTCTATGCGGTACCCAATCATCTGATGTCGAGTCGGCCTACTCACTTGCTGTATGTAGTCGACGGGAGGTGCCATGTCAGCATTGGTGCCGCCGCGTAGCTGAAGGCGAGTAGGCCGAGGTGCGAACAGGGCGCACGGCAAGGACACTTGGATGAGCAGTGCAACTGATCTACAATGTACCGCAGTACAAGACACAGCAGCGGTACCAAGGGTATACAAAGCACACACAATCATACTACATAACATGTACTACGCTGGCTTTGAAGTACAGTGTGTGGGCGTCGGGAGTTTGAATATTGTACTGTTGTACATATGAATGGCGCTGCCCCATGAGGAAATGAAGGCATGCGTTGACACTAGCAGCACAGTCACAAGAGATGTACATGTATAATTATGTACATGCACATGAAAAAATATAAATGCCAATACATGCACGTACACGCGGCAAACACGCACACGCATCACGCACGCACACACCACACACGCACAAACCAGAAGTCAAATCCACAACTGCAAATTACCCAGCCGTTCCCGGGTCGGCCTGAAAACGGCCGCCTTGCAGTTGCCCGGGGTGCAATTGAACTTCAGTAGCGCCCACACCGCCACCGACCAAGTTGCCCTGACTCATTTCCATGACTAGGCCGAGGCCGGTCAAGTGCTGTGCTCTCAGTCCAGGCTTGCTGCGCTTGGCTCTGATGGAGTGGAGAGCAACAGGCTGCCGCAACAGGCATGCCAATGCTGCCGAAATCCTGATGATCTGCCCACCCTGCAGGACGCACACACAGAAAGCAAAGCAGTCAAGGCCATGCAGTGCACACACATGCCCAATAGAACACACAAACACAGTTGGACACACACACACACACACACACACACACACACACACGTGTACGTAATGGGCCTCCCCGAGGCACACATAGCCTACCATTTGGTCTCCTGCAGCCCAGAGCTACTTCAGCGCAAAATGGAGCGCCTCCAGAGATCCATCGGTGACATTCTGGTCTACCTAGATGGTATCCTGATCTTTCACCTACCCACCTAGAGCGCGGCCATTAGTTTGATGCAATCAAACAAATACTGAAGGATAATGTCACTCTGAACGGCAGGAAGTCCACAATCAACATGCACGAGGTGACGTTCCTGGGTCATCAGATCTTGGCATCAGGTGTCAATTGTGCCAATGGCAGAGCCCAGACACTACAGGACATAAGTGACCTCGAGGACGTGGCCCGAGATGCATTCTTTCATCGGATTCTTTATGTACCTTATTGAAGGCCGACTCAAACCGCCGCCTGGAGTTAACGAGGTGTTTGTTGTGCTGGAAACGGAGGGTCTCTGTAAGTTTTTATCCCTTGATAATACCTGGTTCCGGAGAGTACTAAAAAAGGGGCAAGCATTTCATCAGCCTAGTCAAGCTCTAATGATATGGGGTGAGCCCCCCTCCCCCTAAACACTGTGTATTGGGCAGAGATTGGCATTTCTATCATGTATTCCATCATTCAAGAGATATCAGGAGCCTCCTCGACAGGCGAACAGCCTTTGGGGAATCCTTAGTTAAATAAATAATTCGAAGTAAATCACGTACCCCTTCCAGAATGGAGCCATCAATGCTGACAGGATCTCCACTGCCTGCTGCCTTTCCGCTCTTCAGCATGGCTCTAAACAAACTGAGTCTGGTGCCAAGGTTGGCGGGTGACCAGTTACGAAAAATTGTTGGAAGTATCTTTGCAAGGAAACAATCAATTCCTACAAAGTTCTAGATATCAGTAAGTCAAAAGATGATTGTCCCACGTCCTCGGAGCGTATTCAGTTCCTCTGCTTCTCCTATCTTTCAAACAGCAAATCCCATTACGACATTGAAATCGTCAGGTCTTCACGGACAGAGGAAGGCCTAGCACGTAGGGACCCAGAAACTGAGCACATTTGCAGTAAGGACAGGTGCTGGAGTTCGAGTATGTTTTGTTTTCGGACGAGCATTTCAAACGAAATGGAAATAATTCAAATGTCACGTGCACACGCACGTGCAGTCGTGCACGTCGACATCATGAGTAGATCTTTTTTTCAAAACCTCGATCAACACGTGCTCGATCGGATTGTACCAGTGCTCCAAAAAAATTTCAGTTTCAGTTTTTAGTCCTTTCAGCAAGGACACAAGCTCAGACTACCTCTTGTGGTATGGGCAAGGAGCTCCCAGAGGCAGAGGTCTGCAGATCAGAAGTATAATACTTATACATGTTGGTCATGTATAATGCTCTTGGGCCTGGCTGGGAATAGTTGCATTGGCCACATTCTCCGTTGTTTCAGAGCGAAAACTCATTCTTCATTTACCTCTCCAATTAATTCATTTCAGTTTTCGAGAAGTATCTACTGTGCTACAATGGCCTCTGCTGCCGCTGGCGAAACACGCACAGAACCTGTGTACTTTTCAGACACGTATCTGTTCTCGTTTGATAAAGCGTCTGTGCTGAAAGCGGAGAAATTGGAAGGCGATTCCAATGACTATGCTGTGGTTACTGATCAGACAATCATGCACCCTCAAGGAGGTGAGTAAAGAGTGCCGCTGCCGTTGAGAGCTTTACTTTACATCCACCGAGGGACATAGAAGTACCGTGTTTTCCGGAGCATAAGCCGCACTGGAGTATAAGCCACACTGGAGTATAAGCCACACCCCCATTTTTTTTTGCCACGAAATACAACCATCTACCCTATTTATCACTGGTTTGAGGGAAAGACGCAGATGGGAAAAATCCGAAGAAAAAACTGACTGTCACCAACAGGACTCGAACCAGGGACCCTTGCTTGTAGCCAGCCATGCTCTAACCACTGAGCTATGGTGTAGCCGTCATCCCAGCAGAGACCGTTCAACATTTTCTTCAGACTTCGTAACTCACACTTCCTGCGAATCCACGTAGGCGGTTAATTTGATTGTCGGAGTATAAGCCGCGTCACCTTTTTTCAGAAAGTGGTGGACATCACGCAACTGCATTGTAAATAAAAGGGGGTTTGTCAACTGACAACCGCTCTATTTAGTTGCTATTCACTCTTTAGATGAAAATTCTTTTATTAATGATGTTGAAAAATTATTGACGTTTCGGGCCAGTCACCCATCGTCAGAACAATGTACAAGGAGCGAACCTGGCCTTTTATAACGAAAGCAAGCGAGAGCGTATGTATGTCCATGTACAAACAAACGAAACACACAATAGCCGTATGCAATTGAGTGTCTGAATTTGCATGTACAACTGACAAGGAGAAGTGCGCTAAAATAGTGGGTATGCAACAGCTCAGCAGATAAAGCGCACGTGGACATACATACGCTCTCGCTTGCTTTCGTTATAAAAGGCCAGGTTCGCTCCTTGTACATTGTTCTGACGATGGGTGACTGGCCCGAAACGTCAATAATTTTTCAACATCATTAATAAAAGAATTTTCATCTAAAGAGTGAATAGCAACTAAATAGAGCGGTTGTCAGTTGACAAACCCCCTTTTAGTCACCTTTTTTGGGAAGAATTTTCAGTGTTCAAAGTGCGGCTTATACCCCGGAAAACACGGTAGGTACGAGGTGAATAGCAATTTCTGGACATGAAAATAAAATAGAGGCCCACTGGCTGTGTGTTTTACATTTTTCATATCTTTTTGTATCTATTGTATGGCTTAATCCTTCATCTTTCCAAATATGTGACAATTGCTCATGCTGTGATCCCAGAGACTTTATAGCAGGATGTTTTCGACAGGCCAATTTTTTGGCCTAAATTTCAGTGTATGGAATTCTGGACATGAAAGTAAAATAGCGTCAATAGGCATCCTATACTGCACCATTTTTGTTATTTTTTCTATTGGTGGACTGCAGTTGGCCTCTCCATACTTCCAGCCAGCAGGTCCAAGACTATACAGCGTCTGAAGTGGAGTGCACATGGGGAAGCCAACGATTCGTCCATTACTTCTTATTTTACTCAAAATTCAAAATTCTCTTGCGACATAGTACCACAAAACTCGTTGAAATGCCTCCCAAGAAAAGGCTATCAACAAGGCACCGACACGAGGAGAAACTACAATAGCCCAGCTGTCAACTACAACAAGAAAAAAGTTCATCAACCTGACTGACTTGACTCTACACGCGACGAAAAATTATTTTACTCGAAATGTCCAGAAATGTACAATGTCCAGAAATAGCAATTCACCTCGTACATGTAATGAAAATGTACTCGTACATGCACCTACATGACATTGTGCTTCTGTGTCCCGGGGTGGATGTTGGTAAAGGCTTTGTTAAGAGGCGGTAGATGTTTTAACCCATTGAAGCTGTAACTGTAAGGGAAACTTCGAAGTTGCGGATTCGCCACTATTAGTAAATGAAGTTGCTTGCTCCTACGTGGAATACAATGCTTCCTGCCGAACTTGACGCTTGATTGACTCACGACTGCCGTCCAGAGCACACGAGGAGCCTGTCGCACCTTCCACTCGGCAAACCTGCAAGAAAGCACCACTCCCTGCTCAATATACAGTGTTTGGGATATTTCACCCTGCATCAGTTGAGCTAGAGTACAGAGTACTAGAAGGCTGAGGAAGATTGTGCCTGAACTGCTGAAGAGCACCATTTATATAGTGCTCTCCAGGCTAAACCATCACAAGGGATACAAACTTACAGAGACGTGCTGTTTCCAGCGCGACACACACCTCACGAAGCCCCAGGCAGCAGCGCGAGTCAGAGTCGCTCATTAAGTGATGCAAAACAGATGCTGAGAGCCAGTAGCTATTCACAACGCTGTCACCTCCAATTATTAATCGCACACCCGTGTGCGGGAAAACAATACTAACTTAGAAGTAGCGACTTCGGCGGTATTAGTAAATGAAGTTGGTTGCTCCTTGTCCCTCACGCTGATGTGCGACTAGCTGTTGGAGGTGACAGCGTTGTGAATAGGTACTGGCTCTCAACGTCTGTTTTGCATTACTCCATGAGCGACTCTGGCTCACGCTGCTACCTGTGGCCTCACGAGGTGTTTGTCGCGCTGGAAACCGAGCGTCTCTGTCAGTTTAGATCCCCGGTGATGGTTTAGCCTGGAGAGCACTATTATATGTGGTGCTCTTCAGGCACAATCTTTTTTCAACCTACTCTAGCTCAACTTATGAAGGGTGAATTACCCGAAACACTGTGTATGGAGCAGGGAGTCGTGCTTTTTTGCAGGTTTGCCGAGTGGAAGGTGCGCAGGCTCCTCGTATGCGGCGGATGGCAGTCGTAAGTCAGTCAAGTGTCAAGTTCGGCAGGAAGCATGTGTTCCACGTAGGAGCAACCAATTGTATTTGCTGTAAGAGAAGTTGCAAGTCAACTGCAAATGAAGTCAACTTGATGATCAACATGTGCGTGGCAGAGTGCTCAAAATCAAAATTTTCTTTTCCCTTTTCAATTCCCCAATCTTATGAATAATTGAAGAGCTGTACATACTTGAAGTTCACTTTTCTCAGGGTTCCCAAACTCTATTGCAGCCATTTCCACATCACCTGCCTGAGATTTGGCGAGGCTTTCGCAGCAAAGAGACTATGGGGGTGTTCATTTTTTTAATCTATAGGTTTCGGTGGAAACTACTTCTTTCTGTGAATGTGTTCTATTTTTTTCTACCTCAAACGGTAGATTCTACTTTCCTCTACCATTAGTCTACAGTGCAACACGAGTTGCCACGTACAGTAAAGTAAAATTCGCACATCCGCGTTATCACCGGCTTACGATTGTGTTGAGGAACACAACCAGCTTAGAGAAGTTTCGCTCGTGCCAGCCCACCACCATGCCTGACTATACCAGGGTGGCAGACGCAGTGCCTTGTCTACATGTATACAGTACTGTCGGGCGGCGAAGAACGATCAGGCTAGAAATTCATCAGGCACAGCATACCAATGTACCGTAAAGTCTTGTATAAAAGCCGCACTTGAATAGAAGCCACAATTTTGGGCCCATCAAATCACACATAAGCCTGGTTTTAGTGTTGACATACATAGAAATACCTGTCTCGTATAGAAGCCTGCAAAATTTCACCAAGAAAGTCATAGAAGCCGCGGCTTTTATACAAGACTTTACGGTATACACGGTGACTCAACTACGCACACACTGTATTACATGAAAATAAGAACGGTCTAGGCTAGGAGGCTGACCCCCAGTTCTTCGGAGAGCGACAGTACTGTAATGCCAAGAAAATAATTGAGAGTCCTAGCTAGCCAGGCATACCGGTAGTTGTGCCGCGACTACAGTGGGTTGGCAATAGTTTGTAAACTGTACATGTATGCTCCTCTCATGCAAGCCATTTGGCATATGCAAAGCTGTGGGACTTGGCATCCCATTGGTTCACTTCAACAGGACCATACCAGCATGGAGATAATAACATAATAATGGAACTCTTATGTCTGTGGGCACGTGGATGTATCATGCTCACTTTGACAGGTGGCCAGCCCTCGGACCAAGGCGAAATAACTACTTCAGTTGATGGTACGGATGTGGTGTTTCAGGTAAGGGTCTGCTGGCTTGCGAAGAAACCGTTTGCTGTTACCGCGAAGCCTGACTGAGGCATGTCGGTAATGCTGCAGCTTAATGTTGCACGATGGTACTTCGAAGTATTGTTTAGCTTCCCGATGTGAAACGGAACTTGAATTTGATAGGACGGGAAAGAATGGTCTCAGAAGTGCAATTATCGTTGAGGAGTTGCCCGCATGTTGCCCAGCATTCTCTTGCATTGTGTGCGTGCATGCATGCATGTGGAGAGAGCAAGCGCAGCACTGTCATGTGATACTCATTATCACACTGATAGGAAAGCTAGAAGAAGAGGCGCGTTGATCAGTGTGTTACCGCAGTGTAACACCAGCATGCTAACATGTTAGTAACTTACCGGCTAGTATCTATTACTATCCTATCTACTGTAGTATCTTACCGGCTAGTATCTATTACTATCCTATCTACTGTAGTAGCTTACCAGCTAGTATCTATTACTATCCTATCTACTGTAGTAGCTTACCGGCTAGTATCTATTACTATCCTATCTACTGTAGTAGCTTACCAGCTAGTATCTATTACTATCCTATCTACTGTAGTAAAGTTGAGAAGTCACCACTAGAGAACACACGGTTCCTATTCCAGATTTTGAATCAATACCCTGTGGATGTAGTATACATGCACTGTCACTAAAGACAGTAATCTGCTGTGTTTGATTGCTGTTGTTCAACGCCCAGGTGAAGCAGGTCAGCAAGGCCAAGGACAGCCAGGAAATCAAACACATTGGCTGCTTTTCATCTGGATCTGCTGAGCTGTAAGGGGAGGAGTGTTTTTTTTCTTTCTTCTCATACCGTAAACCAAGTTCACCTGCTTTTTCGTTGCGTTTTGCTCCACCATGCCTTTGTGTGTTGTTTGATCTAGTCACTTGGGGTACTGTAGTGTCGCGCATAAAAGCATGACCTGTACAGAAGCATGCCTCAAATAGAAGCCGATTTTTCGAAGCGCGCCGTGACACACGGTTGGAATAGAAGCCGCTCTCTGCAAAATACACGTGCAAGTACTTGCACAGTACATGCGTGGCAGAATCACTGCGCAGTATAGACTGATGATGTTGACTGTAGAAGCATAATTGAATAGAAGCATGGTTTGAACCATGCTTGGTTGGTTTAAATGGCAGTCAACACCTGCTTTTATACGCGACATTACAGTAAACTAATCATCGGCATGCATGTACAAGGCATTGTATAGCAAGAGTAAATATGCTCCCAAGGGTGTGCAACTCTGCACATGGGTCTCCAATGACGAAAACTCACATCATGTGTTCCAAGTACGATTCGTACTACGTACAAAGGAGGTCAGCATGCTCGCAGTCCAGATAATATCATGCGGATGACTCACGTAAGATGAGTAGGTTTCTGTCAGGTAGTGCTATTATACTGCTAAACTGTCCATAAAAACCGGCTGGAAACGTACAACGTGAACACTGCACCACGTGATTAGAGCTTTCGCTGTCTGTACTTCAATGAAGTAGACCTTATAGGAAACTCCTGCAGAATTTCACGCTCCTGGAACCTTATTTACTCCTGTCTACACAGTCATCATAGCGGACTTGAGCGTGTGCCAGGTAGGCATTGATCGTTGGGCAGTTGCTAATGCCGGTGATGTTGTTTACATGAGTAATAATCAGCAAACGAATCTTAAGGTAGCTCAAACCACTTTGGCCATGAAAAAACGTTTACAGAAGAAGTGCTGTTTTCTCGGTTCTATTATTTTAAAGTTGTTCTCTAGCATGCATAGACTGCGGAAATGATATTCCTATGGGGGATGGGATACTTATGCATTTTGTTGTACTTATGGCCTCTTGAAAGTACGAAAAACGCAATTTTCATGACTTCGAGGCCCCATACGTACAACACAATGGGATATCATTTCCGCAGTCTATGCATGCTAGAGAACAACTTAGAACAGAGAAAACAGCACTTCTTCTGTAAAAGTTTTTTCACCTCCAAAGTGGTTTGAGCTACCTTAAAAATGAGCAAGTCAGCTAGTGTTTCTTGGCCGCAGGGCATGTTTTATGAAGCAGCGTTATTTTTCTGTGTCTTGACTTACTCCAGGCTCCCTGTTGGCCAGACGGTGAAGATGACAATCAATGAGGACATGCGCCGTCTGCATGCAAGGCTAGTTTTTTTAATGAACTTGTATTCGGGTGAGGGGATGGGAGGGGAGGGGAGGGAGGGGTGGGCGTAATATTTGTGTAAGATGTTCTGCTCCATGCCGGCCTAGTGCTGATCATGCTCGTCTGCCTCTGGAATGAACAGCACATTTGGTACATGGTACCCGGGCAAGTTGCACGTTGCTTTACGCTGTTCCACTCTTAGCTGTTCATACTTGTTCACTTCATAGTCTTGTGCTACCACCAGTGAGGCGTTTACAAAGTTTGTCATGGCTTGTCGTGGTATATCATCAGTGCAGTGTCCGCCACTATTCTTACTTCGGTGGGATCCTGACATCCTGTACTGTGTGTGTGTGCACATCCACTCATTGCACAAATTGTGGGGAAAGATGCTGATGGTGAGGCAGGCATACATGTATTCGGCCCATGTCATACAATTCTCCTTGAGGTCGGAATCATCATTCATCAATGCGACGTCGCTGCTTCGTTCACCACTTATGTGAATTACATTTCTCGAGCTTGCATTGCTCTTGCCAGTCTTGGGCATCATGCATCACATTCCAAAACCCTTGTGGGAGTCCTGCTTTACACTGTGTGTTCTGTTTGCTTGTGCTTGTGTGTGTGTGTGTGTGTGTATGTGTGTGTGTATGTGTGTGTGTGTGTGTGTGTGTGTGTGTGTGTGTGTGTGTGTGTGTGCGTGTGTGTGCACGTGTGTGTGCACGTGTGTGTGCACGGTGCGTATGCTGGCATGTGTGTGGATGTGTGTTGTGTGTGTGTGTATGTGTGCGTACATGTGTGTGTGTGCGCGGTCTTGTAATATTGCTGCTGACTGCTCAGATTGCATAGTGCAGGTCACTTGCTAGACACGGCATTAAATCGTCTCAACGCCAGTGATCTTATCCCGTCGAAGGTGTGTCTCCTCTTTGTACTTTGATAAACAGAAGCAACAATTATTTGTTGCATCAATCACGGTTTTGTGTGATAAAAAGTGTCGTGACACTGTTTGAACATGCACTGTGGCTTTCCTGTGCTCTCCTCTGCTTCCCCAGGGCTATCACTTTGCGGATGGCCCATATGTTGGTAAGTCGTGTGCATCTTCCCGTGTGAGACCCTGCTACACTCGAGCAATTTATTTCGTTGTCATTTAATTTTGAATGATGGCATGTACCTTTTGCAAAGATTTGATTTTGTCAATCAGTGAACACAACCTACCCGCTGTGCTTTTGCAAGCTGCTGCCTCGAGGCAGCTTGAGAATGGGCCAGTTTGGAGAAGAGGTGTGTAGAAAGAGTTCTTAGTAGAACTTCTTACGTCACTTTGCTCACAGTATTTTGCATGACCGTTGAACCTTCGTATTCCACAGCAATGATGATGTTAGAAAGCGGAGTCAGCAATCTAATAAGTAATAGCATCAACATCTTCACTCTAGTACGTGTATAGCATTTTGAAATGCACTGACTGCAGCTTGAGCCTTGAGAGTGCCACGGGCGATGCCAGGATTCACAGAGTTGTAGCACTGCCTGTGTGTTGACTTGCATCATATTATGGATTTAGTGTCTTGCTTTCACATCCCGTTTGTGTGTGTGTGTGTGTGCTTGTGTGTGTGTGTGTGTGTGTGTTTGTGTGTGTGTGTGTGTGTGTTTGTGTGTGTTTGTGTGTGTGTGTGTGTGTGTGTGCGTGCGTGTGTGTGTGTGTGTGTGTGTGTGTGTGTGTGTGTGTGTGTGTGTGTGTGTGTGTGTGTGTGTGTGCGTGTGTGTATGTGTTATTCCTCTACGCTATCAGAGTACATTGGCAATGTGGCAAATGAGGAGCGTGACAAGCTGATGGCGTCCATGAATGAAGTACTTTCAGATCTTGTCAAGGTGAGAATGACAGTGAACACATGCATCCAGTCCACTGCAGGGTAGCTGTGGGGTGTGTGGGGTGTGTGGATACCGGTATGTTTGTATCCACAGTGTGCACAATCTGGGCCGGTTGAGACAGCTTGAATAGAGTGCTCCATGCAACAGAGTACTGAGCAGTGGACATGCAAGCAGCTTCACATCTCTGTTTGTGTATTTGTTTCATGATTATCAATAAAACTGTGAACGGTGCCATTCGGCTGTTGGATTTTACAACGAACTCTCCTCCATGCGCTCTAAAGGCGACCATTGCTACCCTCGGTAGCCATTACTCACACCAATTATTTCAAACAACGAAGGGGTCACGGGTAAAACGTTTCCTTCTGGCAGCTGCTGCCGAGGGTAGCAATGGTCGGCTTTAGAGCGCATGGCGGAGGAGAGTTTGTTGTTTCATGGTTGTAGCTCATTTCGGATAGACTCTATCCCCCCCCCCCGTATTAACCTTTTGAGCACGACGCTACCTGAATGCCGCCCCACGTCAACACCTGCAAAAATCGCGTTTTTCCTATGAAAGTAGTAGCTGTTCAAGGATCGATAACTTTACCTTCCCTTGGACGAATCCCACGATCTTGAGCTTCCTGCAAAGGTCTTGAGGCGAGGAACGAAATAGTTCTTAGCTCAGCTCGGAGCGACACCAAAAGCCCATGCTACAGTCTGGCAAACTTCACGCACGCGCTCGACAGACTTGAGCACGGCCAGGAGATCAAATCCTCAGCTGCCATTTCACTCTCCTTGCTCGTATCGAGCTCAATTTTTTTAGGACTCCCCAGATCCGCTGCCATCATTTGAATCTAGTTTCCATGGCAGCAGATTGCGCGAAAATGATCGAAAATGGAAAATACGCGTTCTGCAGAGTACCCAAAAAAATCGAATTGAATTTCCCGTGTCGAGTCGCATATCTCATATCAACAACCCGGGGTCGTATCGCTTCGGCGATTGTTTCTATGGCAAGCTGAGAGTTTTCTCTTGCAGATACATGTTTCGATCGTGAGAATTGGCCAAGAGAATTGACCGAGTTACGATAGTTTGAACTCACGCGGTTCATGCAAATCGCGTTTGTACACTATGTGCACTCACGACGTCACGCGTGGGAGCAGTGACACTGTAATAGTACGTCATGCGTGCTCAAAGGGTTAAGAGCTCGATTTGCTTTCTAGCAGCGGAACAGAAATCCCCAATACTGGTCACGACACCCTCGCACTTGGCACCAGTTGAGAGGGATACACAAACCATCTTTACTCACAACTGGGCTATATGAAAGCATAAACTGTTGATGAGGTTTTTTTTATGAAACTCAGCCACCACCACTGTCAAATTTCTATTCCTCGCTGACTGATGAGCAGCTGAGTGATGATGATGGTTGCAAGCGCGCCCCAAAATATACGTACTGTATGCGAGAAATTCATCCGTAGATCTCCTGTGGATCTCTTGGTGAATATCATGACTTGCATCTCAAGAATCAGGACATCTAGATGCCTCGGCAGACGTCTTCCAGAACTTCAGCATAGAAGCTATGGACACGCATTGTCTTAATCCAGCCAATTACTACACTCTCCCTGGATTTGCTTGTCTACTGCTAGAATCTCTGTGTCCAGAGCGGTCAGCAGCTCCCTTTTGGACGACAGCGAATTGTGCACATGTCGCACAGACACACGGGCACCGTCTAGCAGCACATGCATGTACTGAGCTTCATCCACCACGTGTTGGAACTCACACTCGTGCATCTTGTACATGCTCCGCGGTGGGCCCCACGCCCCTTGCGTTGCGCGGATGCTCTCTTGACTATCAGTACTCGGCCATATTCTGGGAGTTACCGACAGACTGTGACCAGCGCTTGTTTGTAGAATCAGAAATGACAGGTGGTGTGTCAATGACCTCTCAGCTGTACCCTGCTGCTACTAATCCAGATCAGGAGGAGTGTGGTGCTGATAGGCAAACACCGTTCATTCTTCATCTCGATGCCGACGCTCTCTATGGTTGGACAATGTCTCAGTATTCTCTAGTCTCTGATTGTCAGCGAGAGAAACCATCAAAGAAACTCTTGAACAATTCATTGAACTTTTCTAGGTGACTCTGAATATGGATCATATATAATATCGTTGAGTGTGATTTGGAATATCCACATGAACTACACAAGTACTGGAGCATAGCGGTTCCGTTATCCACTGGCTCTGAATCGGCAGCAAGGGCCTGCTGTGCTTCCATCCACAGTGTCAGTTGCCGGCCCAGGCAGTCCATCATGCACAGAAAAGGCCGGACCCAGCACCAGTCTTGAAGGAAGAGGCCAGAACTGGGAACTCTAGAAGCTCCAAGTTCAGATTCGACGTCACGCAACACCAGCATGTGTGTCCAACAACTCTTTACCTCCTCCTCCTCCCTCCCCCCCCCCCCCTCCCACACACACACACTCCTCAGCCTTTAGGCAATGGGGGATTCCCGGATACCGCTCCGAAAATATGCAACCTTGGGAATTACCAAAGTTTGCTACGGCTCGTCCACAACCTGACCCAAGGGGGCCTAACCGCTCAAGGAGTCGATGTGGGGGTCAGCATCACACGTGCTTGATGAACTGCCCAGAGCCAGACACTTACAGTGTTCACTCCGACAAAAGAAGGGGACTTTTACTGAAATATATGCACACAATCTTATCACTGAATACCATAATTCTTTTCTTAGACGGAGAATGGTAAAACGTAACAAAGACAATAGGCTTCTAGAACGAAGTCAAGTTTGCATGTATGCACGCACGCAATTTCACACATCCAGTCCAGAAGACACTTCACACAAGGTATAACGTTTTCGTTCCCTTCTCTTCAGGGATAATACGGGGAATGCTGAACTACAACATATATTATAGCGTTCGATACCTTATGTGAAGTGTATTCTGGACTGGATGAGTGAAATTGCGTGGATACTTGACTTCGTTCTAGAATTATTTGACCTCCGTTACGATAATAGGTTTTACAATACTTTCCAGACGTGTCGTTGTTCTGAACAACATCGTCGGTGGATAAAGCACTTTCGGAGGTTTGGACTTTTGGTCAAAGATTTTTTTTTATTCAATGACACAATGAGAGTGGCTATCAAACCTACGGCTTGTCCATCAACTTTTTTTGAAATCTTACTTGCAATCTTTGCCCCACGAATTCATGGTCATTTTCACCCGAAGTTCACTTCAAAAAGATTTTTTTCATTTGGTGGACTAACAGGTAGTCACAGGCTGATTCTGACTGTGAAATAAATTGTAGGAGTCGCCATATCTGTTCCTGTGATATTGAGGTTCAAACGTTTGATTTTCGGCCAAAAAAGCTAAACCTTTGGACACTCTGGGTAGAGGTAAAATTGAATTTGCGTGCGTGCATGTGTTTGTGTGTCCGTTTGTCCATGTGTGCATGTGTGCATTTGCTCAACGACGTCCAGGAGAACATCGCTACTCAGATAACCGTTGGAGATTCAGGTTAGCGTGCTTCTTCTGGATGCAGAAGGGAAATGCCTGGCCACTGTCCACCCTGTCTGCATGTACATGTGCTCACTGCGAATCCTCTGAGCACACAACCATCGACTATGCTAGTGGTCTAGGGAAGGCGGGTAGCGATGAGGGGAGAAGTTCCTAGAAAGTTTAGAAACATGGTATACAGTCTACAAACGGTGCTTGTTAAACGCAGCATACCTGCTGATCGGCTTACTGTGTGTAGAGTCGGTTGTATTGCCAGCTGTAGTACTCAGTTGTAATAGTCAGCCGTACTCTTCTAGTCCGTTGTTGGATGCAGTTGCTTGTCACATCACCGATCAGGCGATCACATCACCGATCAGGCGATCACATCACCCCCTCTCCTTTTTTTTTCCCCCCGGTGGAATGTTTTGCAGGAGAGCGCATCGTGAGCATAGCAGGCCTGCCGTGTCCCTGTGGTGGTACACATGTCAAGTCGACGGCAGAGATTGGACCTATGAAGGTGACACGGATGAAGAAGGTACAGAGGCTAGCCATGGTTCTTCCAGGCCGCGTGTTTGGCTGCTACAGTGTCGGTGCTGCTCAGTGAAATCCAGTCGAGTCACTCAGGCACGCCATGCCCGGCGTTGCGCAGCCCTATAGTAGACCTGCGAACACTGGGCCGCGCAATGGCGCAAGGCACAGACTTGACTCGCGCGACCGGATTTCGTCGAGCAGCACTGTCTTGTGCCAACACTGGCTTGCTTGATAGTAAGATATTTATGCCTGCTAGCACAATACGGATGTGGTCCGACCCAGGTGTAGTAGATATGACACCCCAGAGTAGAAAGGTCTTCCTAGGATTTGCTAGTTTGCTATGCAAGTATCAATGAAACTGTGAACGGTGCCATTCGGCTGTTTCTAAAATACATAAAACTCTCCTCCTCCATGCGCTCCAAAGCCGATCATTGCTACCCTCGGTAGCCATTACTCACACCGATAATTTCAAACAACGAAGGGGTCACGGGTAAAACAGTTCCTTCTGACAGCTGTTTCGCCTATCAAAGGCTCTTCAGAGAAGGTGATACTGGATATTGTAATTGACATGGCAAAATTACTAGTAATATTTATACGGTATATTAACGTAATCAAGTGGTGTGCTTCACTGTCCGAAGAGTGCTCAATACCCATGTAGGGCAGAGCCTTGTACACAAGAGAGATTGGAACCTTTGTTACAACGTATTACTACGATCATCAGGCAACCTGATGATCGTAGTAATACGTGAAACTCAGAGTTGTGACAAAGCTTCTAATCTCTCTTGTACACAGTATATAATGGACGCAGAAACTAGGCAAGGTGTAACACTGAGAAGTTACAAGAATATTCTAAAAGCAGCACGCAGTGCCCAGGGTTCTAGGAAAGATAGCAGGTGAGAAACTGTATTCGTCCAATCGAAAGCTGCTAACATTTCGCATGGCTTGATAATGCAGCACAGATACAGTGTACGAGCGTGTAAAATACGTAACTGATCGTGGAAAAAGAAAAGAGTTTTGGACAAGCAACGGATTAGTAATTACTAAACAAGAATATTATGAATACTGAACGCCCTCACGTGAATGGTCGCAGCTCGACAGCACAGCCCATGCGGCACAGGATAGCATGCACGCACCACGACGACTGTCCCAGCAGAGTCCCCTCAGGCGTTCTCTCGAGTGACACACCTCCGCTGGCCGTTACATCACGCCCGCTGAGGACCGACCGCCAGCTAGCACTCGGTAGCGACGCTCCTAACATTCTGCATGGCCCGATAATGCAGCACAGATACAGTGTACGAGCGTGTGAATACATAACTGATCGTGGGAAAAGAAAAGAGTTTTGGGCAATTTTCTTTTTCCACGATCAGTTACGTATTTACACGCTCCTACACTGTATCTGTGCTGCATTATCGAGCCATGCAAAAATGTTAGCAGCTTGTGATTGGACAAATACAGTTTCTCACCTGATTGTTTTCCTAGAACCCTAGGCACTGCATGCTGCTTTGAGAATATTCTTGTAACTTCTCAGTGTTACACCTTGCCTACCGTAAAAGTCCGTAAATAAGTACGTATTTACTTTCGAATTTAGTGTCCACACCCGTACTAACTTTCGGGCGGGTACTGACTTGTGTGTAGCGGAGAAGTCATTTTCATGTAGATGTACATGCTGCATCGGCGCACCGTACCGGTACTTATTTCGGGCAGTATGTTTATCGGGCTTGACTTGACCTCAACAGACAGAGCCAAAAGAATGAAGGGGTATTTCTTTCGGGCAGGTACTTATTTACGGACTTTTACGGTAGTTTCTTGCGTCCATAATATACCGTATAAATATTGCACAAGCCTGTGAGAGTCTTGGTATGACGAAGAAATTTCTGCGAAGCAACAACTATCCCGAGGCAATCATCGAAGAGATTGCTCGAAAAAGGTGCCACACTGCCCAACGACGTGAGCCATATATGAAAAAAGATGCAGCTATACTGAAGCTACCCTTTCGCTCTGAAGACATTCAGCGGAAGGCGAAGCATTTAGTCGAGCGCTCGGGGTTCCCGGTCAATGTCGTGTCTGAACACACTCCCAACCTCAAAGATGCCCTCGTGAAGTCAGCGCTGAATGCAAAGAAGCAGCGTGACACAAGAACGAGTGAGGCCCCGAGAACAGCGGAGGCGAGGAGGAAGACCGCTCAACCCCTGCATCTCATGCTCCTCTGATTTGCCGAGCTGCATGTGTGATTCCGCCGGCATTATCTATATGATGAAAGTGTGCACTGTGTCGGAAGCGGTATGTCAATGAGACCTTCCGGGTCACAAGAGACCGTTCCGAGGAACACCACTACGAAGCACGTCACAGAATGCTCGACAAGCCGTGAGGTAAACACATGGCTACTGATCACCAGCAGCACGGAACCATCAAGAGCACAGATGTGATCTTCATTGGGGCCCAAGTACTGGCTGTGGAGACACAGATGGCCAGAAGAAAAATCAGAGAGTCCATCGAGATTCGAGAGCGTCGTCCGGAAATCAATCCTTCGGATGGCCATTGAAGACGCTAGCACCCTCACAGTGAAACTGCTAAACCTTGCTGTGTCTGTACAGGGTTGTACACACAATGATTGTGGTATACACCTTCGTACACACACTTCCTGCACTATATCTGCTGAGCCCTTGTATACCCACTCTTTCAGCGCACTTCTCCTTGTCTCTTGTACATGTGAATTCATACACTCAATTTCATACGGCTATTGTGTGTTTCTTTTTTTTGTACATGGGCATACATGTACATGCACTCTCGCTTGCTTTCATTATAAAAGGCCAGGTTCTCCCCTTGTAAATAGTTCTGACGATGGGTGACCGGCCCGAAACGTCATAATTTTTCGACATCACTAATAAAAGAATTTTTCATCCAGCGCATGCGCCAAAGAATGAATTGCAACTAAACAGAGCGGTTGTCAGTTGACAACCCCCCTTTTATTTACAATACAATTGCGTGATGTCCACCACTTTCTGCGTTATAAATATTACTAGTAATTTTGCCATATCAATTACAATATCCAGTATCACCTTCTCTGAAGACAGTGAAGAGTCTTTGATAGGCGAAACAGCTGTCAGAAGGAACTGGTTTACCCGTGACCCCTTCATTGTTCGAAATTATTGGTGTGAGTAATGGCTACCGAGGGTAGCACTGGTCGGCTTCAGAGCGAATGGAGGAGGTGAGTTTGTTGTTTGCTATGCAAGTGACAAAAAATTTCGGAAAAAAACATTACAACTTACTGCGACTGCCGCCGCCGCCGTCACCGTCATTGTCACCGTCATTGTCGTCGCTGTTGTGTTGCGCTGTACATATTCTGAATATTCCAATGTTCGTTCGATAAACTCAACCGAACGAATATTCGTTACGACGAACGAATACTTTCACACGGCGCTCTGCTACATCCTCTGGCGTCGTTGGCCGGAAGGGCTTTCGCTTTCTCTTCGTTCCTGCTGCTGTACTGGTGCCGGTCGCAGTCTCCGTCACCGATTCAGCGTCATCGAGATTCTCCTCATAATCGCTCTGTGGCAGCGCGTTGATGTCGGAGTGATCGCTTGTTTGATCATCGTCTGAATCTTGACCCAGCTCAGTCGCGTCATCTGGCGTGATCCCAGCAGCATAACCAGCCATAAGATAAGAATTCCTCCTACTGAGTATTGAGCAGAAGAGCATCGTCAGGCAGAAGCCCGACGACCTCCTGAACAATAGATCGTCGCGCCGCTCGGTAGCCATTGTCGATCTCAAGAGGTGACACGTGACAAGATCAGCGCGCTTCGCGTGCCTACGTAAACGAACAAATGTTCGTTCGTTCGTTAACGGAAAGAAAATTCGGATAGTCAATGTTTGTACCGTAAAGTACCGTTGATGCCCCCCCCCCACGCCATATCGCTTCCCAGCTGGGGTTTCGGCAGGGGCGGGAATTAGATCAAGGCTGTCAACTGCAGTACGATGTACAACAACGTAGAAGTTCAGACTCGATGTGCTGGATTGTGCACATTTTCATCCTGGATTGGCAAGTATTGTGTACAGCAGTGCATGCGTCGGTTCAACATCGTCTTTTCGTTGTATACTCCGAAGTCGGTTCACAGGTAGAAAATCGACAGGGGGCGGGAATTAGAGAGGGGGCGGATCAATGATACCTTACGGTATTCGTTTCACCCCTAGTGTTTTCTGACTTTCGACTTGGGTCAAGTCGCACTAGTTCTATTACGAGTTTCTTGAAAACAACGGTATAATTATGTATTTCCAATATTTGAGGTGGAATGAGTCATACCCTATTCATGATCTGATTCGTTGTTGACTATTTTATGCTGCAGAACAAGAAGAACATGAAGATGTCATATTCATTGGAAAGCAGCTAAGTTCTGACAGTGTATTCGCCCGCCTCCAGGCTCTCTCCGTTGATACATATACATATACGTGTACATGTATTTCATTTGTAGTTTTCTTCCCCCGTACTTCAAAGTACTTTACATTTTCTATTTATTCTTCTCTTCCGTTGCTCGTGGTCCTGCGAGTTTTTGTTTTGTTTTGTTGCATTATGTGAATGCTGGCGTTCATATTGTGACAGAAATCACAGAATCAATCTCTATTTATCTTCACAGTCCATCATTCTACTTTTCTTCCCTATTGCCATTGTCTATCTGTTGTAGCACTGCTGTAGCACTGCTGTAGCACTGTTGTAGCACTGCTGTAGCACTGTTGTATTTCTGCTGTTGTAGCACTGCTGTAGCGTATCAGGCAGTGTATTATTTCTGTGCTGATTAGAGTTACAATTGTAGTGGCCAGGCGTAATCTACCGGTAGTTGAACCTGTATTGTGGCATGTTCACCACGCGTGTCCCGGCGGCCTGAGATAGAGAGGTGAAGATGATCATTAGTTGGGTGAATACTGAATAGCATGTTGGCCTGGGTCTACTATACGGTGCTGGCTCATGAAATCCTCCCCCCCCCCCACCCCCCACCCCCTCCAACACATGCGCGTGTGCACACACACACACACGCACGTGCACACACACCATGTACCATCAAGAGTACATAACCCCCAGAGTGTGCAACGCCGATCCAGCTCTGCATAGGGTTTTGGTCGAGCGGAATCGGATCTTCTGATGTCATGCGTACACTCCACACCACCGCAAGCCCGGTCTCGAGGCAGGACACCGTTGTTTTTGATCCGAGTGTACCCGCGACTCCCCGGGTTCCCCTCAGATGTGTACGGTATTATGACGCAAAGATCCGATTACGCTCGACCAAGACCCTATGCAGAGCTGGATCAGGCGTCGCACACTCTGGGGGGTTATGTGCTCTTGGTACCATGTATACGCCCATCGCAAGAGAAGCACGCAAATCTGCAAATGCACTGGATGTGCACCACGCGCGCGCGCGCACACACACACACACTGACACTAACACACCTTTGGGAAGCCCATCGCCAATGGCGATGATAGCTATTACGCGAGGCAGTAGTTCTTGTGTCGGGATAAGTCATTCGGACGACGAAAGTCGCGGCCGCAGACACAAACGAACACACACACACACACACACAAGGAATAACAATCTGCATGGATGTGGGGTCCATAATAATAGCTGCGTGGGCTGGGATGTGGGGTCCCTAGCTTTGGCAGGGATCTGGGGTCCCTAGCTAGGGCTTGATGTGTGTCAAGTGGTGTCCCTAGCTTCGGCAGGCAGGCTTTGTTTCATTCATTGTATACTGTTTGTTGTGTTTTGCTGTGCAAGTATCATAAGTACCATTGTATTACGAACACCATTGTGCAGGAGAATTAGTTCTTTATAACCGAAGTTCGTTATAACAGAATTTCACTCACACCATACAAGCAGCAAGACGATGACTGGCAAGTGACCCATGTCCATGACAGTATGAGTGCACTTGGTTTACATGCGGCCCTACAAGATTTGGTTCGTTATAAACGAAAACTGTTCGCTATAAAGTATAAAGGATCAATTTTGCATGGGTTCAAACAGGAACATGGGCATGGGTTCGCTATTGTAAATTATCATGAAATTCGCTCTACGCGAGTTCGTTAAAAGTGGAGTCGACTGTATACATACAATCAAGAGTACTCTTGATAAAATTATTCAAGGAGAAAACCTACAAGGTAAGGAATTGTGTGTTTCTCCCTACATGCGAGCTCCGGAGGAGGGAGCAACGGACACTTTCTCAAGTATCGCCATGTTTGCATTTGTCACGCACCGCTACCTTGGCTACTGGGGTGCTTTGTCACGGCTGTCCCATGCATGCGATGCGCGTTCATTAAATATGGCGGCCAAATTTTAATCTTTTTCATTTTTTACGCGATCTGGCCTAGTCGTATGTTTGCAATTTCGCTCGACTTTCATCTCAAACGGGCAAGGTCAACCGAAACCACGGGTGTTTGCCAGGTCATTCGATAGAGTTTAGAGCTTGGACTGGCCTTGCCTTCGACTGTGCCGCCGCTCGAGCGAGCGATCTTCTTGGGTTACCCACGCGCTACGCATGGTTTCTTTCTCGACGTGGGTGCAATTATTTTTGGATCGTCGCTCGATTTCAAGGGCTCGCCAACCTCGTCAGCGAATTTTCTCCGCCTCGCAGACAATTTTCTAGTATACCTCGATGTCCTAGCCTTTCGATTTCGTGTAGTCCTAAGCTTGACGTGCATAACTGTAGCTTTTCGTGGCCATGTTAGAGACGTAATTTTGTTCAGAAATGGAGGCTCATGTTAGCTTCCTGTCGTCGTGTTGTCGTATTGGAGGGGAGAAATTCGCGTCAAGGAGTGGACAGACGAAGTATCGTGTGGCAGATCATACTGAATCCATTTTGGCAGTGTTTCATCTCAATGTGGATGAAACCAAATACACCCTGAACATTTTTGCCACACTTGAAAATTGGCCATGGAATGCACTGTTACTGCCAGGGGCCCAACATTCTCTGGAGCTCTAGAGGTGGATGTACACCGCTCAAAGACTGGGAGCCACACAGTGGGACAAACTGTTTGAAATGCAAGCCCAAGCCTGGCAGGAAGTCCAAATGCAGAACACAAACGCAAGACAAACTTGCGGCATGGGAGAAAACGCGGGCCATCGCCCGCAAGCACGAGCACATGCACGCCGCCACCACTGACAGCAGCATCACCAACAAAACCTCGCCCCACCACACCAGTACCTGATCACTGGATAGTTTAGTCTGTTCGGTTTACGAATTCAAAAAAGGCAGACAAAATAACAAAACTAAAAACACGAGCGTCGCATGGACCGAATCTGATGAGCAGCAGCGCGTCACACCCGCATACCAAGTTTAGTAATAGTAGTAGTATAGTATTTATTCATATTTCTCTAGGGCTTAGTGGGTAAATCTCTGCATCCAGAACAGTTCAGTTCAGATAGGAATGCAACAACACACGCACAATGTCCACTATGTCACAGTGTGGTAGGGAGAGAAGTGTTTGCAGCTTGCTGGTAGACGTTCAGCCGTGCATGCATAGGCAAATGGCTAGAGCAGACGGCCCGCTGCCCTTAATGTAAGGCACACACGCAAGCGTCAGAGCTACAGCAGCCAAACAGCATAGTTCATGGATTCATGAAAGACTGCACCATACACTGCGCCAGCTCTGGTAGGGTGCCCTTTTGAGCATCGTCACTGGTCGGTGACGTTTTGCAGGCCTCACCATCAAAGATGCGAGGTGATGCTGCTGATCGACTTGCTGGCATGATAGTCACAAGCATAACTAACGAAGGATGGCTGGAAGTCAAAACCAGCTGTAGATGTAGATTCCAGGTATACCAGACAATTACTGACGCCAGCACTTTATCCGATGCCCCATCAGCGTCAACTGTACGCCGATGGTCACAGGACCGTGACAGCCTTTCGATCGGTCTACGGTCGGGAGACGGGGCTGCAAGCCCAAAGCAGCGGGTATATAGTGTTCGTCACCAGCTGAGCAAGAGAGCTTGCTGAGAGATTTAGGTGTGCACTGTTCAGCAACCAGTCCCAATATAGGTTTGTCCATGAAGGCTGGTGATCCTCAGCTATCATACAACAAATTCCTACTCACTGCGGATATGCGCATATGGCTTGTGAAACAGCAGCAGAAACTGCACTGCCTTGACAAATGCACCAGTTACCATGATGGAGCAGATATGCCCAGCCCTGGAAGCCAACACCAAATCTCCAATCGCTAGTACAAGTAGCTCTTCACTAAATCATGCCTAGTGCATGCTTGCAGTGATATTTTCAGCAAGAGCGCTGCAGTTACTGCTGAGGAGATATATTGCGTCCTTGAAGTCGAAGGCGCTCATCAAAGATGTCTTGCCATCAATTCTTGGCCTTATGCAGGCACGAGGTGGTCTCCCGTGGCATTGGCCATATTACCCCGAGCTGCACTTGCTCGAGGAGCACGTTGTTTCGCTCATGGAAGTTCTTCGTGTTGGACTGAGTAGGCTTGCTGAGAGAACAGAGCGCTGAATCCATCCACATCCACAACTACGAATAATTTACAAAAACATTCCGACTGCAGATCAGCGCTTGAAAACGGCGATGCAAATCAGCGACGTTGGGCTTCTCCATTCAAAAGTAGAGCCTTCCTAACGAAGCAATTCTCATGTGACACTACATAGTCTCTCAAGCACTCTAGTTCAGGTCTTCTTCTCTCCACTCCATTATCATTTCGATCTTCACTCGGTCGACGTGATGGTAGTAGCTATGTAAATAATAATGATGGATTCCTCCCGATCCTCGTCGCGGCTAAAATTTGTTCGGTGTTTGTCTAAATTCTCAAACTGACAGGGTTTACAAGAGAAATGTACCTAATTTTGTGCGATTGATGCAAATAAATCGGAATATGTCTGACTTCATAAATCCGTGCGGTAAACCGCATGAAAGGACGCCATGTCATTAGATGGTGCACATGAAGTCACCGTGTTGTGGCACTGTGAGCTTTACTCACGCCTAGCCTGACGTCACCTATTTTCCGTGGCAACGCCAACCAAAATGGTGTCGTACCTGCATATGCAAACTTGTGCTTGTGTTGCATGTGCAACATTAGTTGTGCAGACTAACTTGCTTGCTTTCTCTTTCTTTCTTGCTGTTGGCTTCACTGCAAAGTCAAATTATTCGCGACTTTTAGCTCGTTGTAGCATCAGATTTTCATGGCAAAGACTCCAAAACCTCCTCACAAAGCTGCCCAACGAATCCAACATTATACTGAATGGTCAAGACATTTCTACCAAGTTTGTTCCGTGTTAAAAACGTGCACTGACTCTCTGTGTGGTTCGGTGATGGTTAGAGTATGGTTAAAACAAAGAAGACCAACGGTGTCACCTACATGTACATGTCGGCTAGGCTTTCCTCACAAACTTGCTGCCTGAGAAATCCAACATTATAAATAATAGTGGTGAAGACATTTTTCAAGTACTTGTACAAAGTTTGTTCCGTGTTAAAAGCATCACACGCATGCCGGCAGTGCTAGTCACTGAGGGCGATGGCTAGACTGAATATGGTTAGAACAAACAAACAAGACCAATGTGTTCACCTACATGTCGCCGGGCTAGGCTTTCCTCACAAAGCTGCTGCCTGAGAAATCCAACATTTTAAATTAATGGTCAAGACAGTTTCACAAAGTTTGTTCCGTGTTAAAAGCATCACATGCGTGCAGGCACTACTAGTCACTGAGAGCGATGGCTAGACTATGGTTAAAACGAACAAGACCAATGAGTCGCCTACATGTCGGCTAGGCTTTGCTGGAATGCCAGTGTCACGTCTGCCGTCAGCTGGGTGTGCCCTGGCACACTTACACAAAATACATACTGGACAGAAGCGCCTCCTGGACAGAAATAGCCTCTTGGAGTCCCCGGGCCTGGTGTCGGCTATCAGGCGTGTCCTTGGCATGCGGACTAGCTGGCCTGGCCGCTCCGCTCTTCCCTGATCTGCCCCGCCGCCCACTGCCATCGTCGCCGTCGTCCCCGGCATTCCCGGCGATGTGGTGCCGCGCGCGGAACGCCACCAGGTGCGCGTAGTAAACCGGCGCCGGTATGCTGACACTGCGCGTGCAGCGTACATATGTGTGGCATAGCTCGTAGGTCAGCTGCTGCAGCGAGTCCTGAGAGAACCTGTTGTCATCCCAGAGCACATAGTAGTGTGCTGGACGGCTTGTGCCCTTAAGGCCAAAATGGCTGCACAAGAAGAAGTCGTGATCGGTCGGATGAACCACTCCCTGATCCACCACCGTTCCGGGAGGTATATTGCCGCCTCTCTCGCGGGGGTGCTGGTAGAAGAAGCGCGTGTGATGCCGCTTCTGCACAGTGATGAATGTGATGCCGGGCTTGTAATATTTGTCAATTGACAGACACGCTTGTTGTATTGCGCACAGCTCTTCTGTCAGACACGTCTGAAACTGACCCTCACTCACGCCGTCACGATAGAAAACGATTGAACGAGCAAGACGGCCCGCTGCTTGGGCATACTGCTGCAGCAGACTCTGAACCATGTCCTTGAGGTCCGCAATCACTTCTTGCCTGTGATTCTGAGCCCTAACCCGGGCTATATACTTCATCGCAGAATTGCCATGGCTCCCGACAACTGCAGCAATGGACGGACTGGACGAGTCTCCAGCTGCTGGATGCGTGACGTCAGCACCCAGAACAATGTTGCGCGCAGAGTCGCGGAGGAATGGGTGCCGTCTGCGTTCGTCAACGACGAAGTTCACCCCGCCCAGCTTGGCGTTGATTTTCAATAGAACACTGTGACAGAGCATATCGCTGGTGGCTTTACGAAGTTTTTCGCCCTGGAAACATTGCGAAGGGACACCAAGATCAGTGTCGCAAAGGCGTTTGATATCGCTGTAAACCGATGAACTCATTGGAGGCAAAATAAAGAAGAACAGCTCAATTGGATGGTTCCTCGCAATGGATACATTATACCAGTCGACTACCTGCTGGTACATCTTGGGTCCGGCCGGTCCGGACTTCCAGCATTCGGGTCTCGGGTTCAGCGTAATGCCATCCTGTGCAGCACACGACCCAAGTTGCTCGAAGAACTTCTCTAACGTCTTGACGTTAACCTCCTGATAGCAATTGATCAGAGCCCAGGCATCCAGGTTCTTGGGATCATACAACTTCTTCCCATGTGCGTTCCACGCGCCGTTTTTTAGAGGCAGGGGAGGACCAGTCTTGCAGTGCCTCATTCCGGGAGCGTCGATGGTACGCCCGGTCACCTCCACCATATCCTCTTTGATGTGAATGCCGAAGTCACTCAGTACCTCACTCTGGTTCAGTTTAGCCTCTCTGACTTTCTGCATTATTGCCACCCTCCGCTTTGGAGGTGATTGTTCCGTCGCGGTTATCATTTTGGCAGCACTGCGCTCCAGTAGCTTCTTGTCGACACGCTGGCCAGATGCGATCGTGCACAACTCCATTGGAAAAAAGGTCCGTCTTTCCCGCGTGCCAACTTGGACGCACGGCAAGGCAGGGTACTTGAGTTGTATCTTGTAGCGATTCTTGAAATAGTCGGCAACGGAAGTCTTGACTTCTTCACCAGCACTGTCCTGCGATGTGACCACGATGCCTGTTGCGGGTTCGACGGAAATGTCTATGACACGATGCGTGCGCCTGGCACCAGAATGGGAGACTTCTACCTTGAGACCGTTCAAATCAGGTTTGACCTTACTCCAGTGTTCGTCCCGCCACTGTCCTCTCTCAATGGGATATTCGATTCCCCGGCCTTTCCTGGCCTCATTCAGAAAGTCAATAACGGCCTGGCCTTTGTAGAAGGCGGTATGGGCCACATCGACATTGAGCTGTACTCCCCACATGCTAGGTCTGGCGGACAAGTAGAAGCCGCGCCATGCGGCCATGCCTCCTCCAATATCGCCAGCGATCTGAGTGCTGTCCCCTGGCGAGAAGAGCGAGCGTCCAACCGACACGTATCGACTCGCCGGTCCGTAGCGCAAGATCACATCTAGTGCTTGAATGGCGGGCTGCAAGTTCTCCGCAGCTAGCAGGGCTTGCTGCCGCCTATCTTTGCGATGTTCCGGTTTCCGGCAATGTGCCTGCTGTGCGAAGCTCGTCAACAGATCTGTACTGATTCGGGACACTCGCTTCAATGTCACTTGATACGTCTTTCTAGTGTCGGGTCTTTCTGGCTCGGCCCACTGGACTTCAAAAGTGGCGTGTTCACTGTCGAACGGCAACGGGCGAGCACAATACATATTCGCAGTTCCGTCGTACACGGGTTTCTGGCCTCCGAGCCGACCATCTCCACTTTGAAGAACAGCTGTGACAACAGCGATTCTTACACGCTTGGGTAGTTCGGTTGGACTTATGACAACGTCGTAGTGGTGAATATCTTCCTTAGGTAGCCTATCTACGGCAAAGTGGTTAGCTGCTAGACGAATCCTCTGTCCAGCTTTGCCAGGGTCTTCGGGCCGTTTCGGCGGGCGGTAGGACTGAGCCGCGACTGTGAACTTGGCAGCCATATTCCAAGTGTCATCAAGAGGTTGGCAACGGCCGCTGCTACTCAAAAACGCTTCGCTTCCAGGCTGAGGGCTAGAGCAAGACTAGACTGGAGACGAGTGAACTGAATCTTGGACTCTTGGACTGGTAGATCTACTGACTGTAAACAACAGTAAAGTAAGTTTGCATGACTGATTCACGGTCCACGTTACCACCAGATACTATAGTTGAAACACTGACTGTAGTTATGATAATCGAGTCAACGTTCAACGGCTATTTATACCAGATGTACTGAGTCTGTGTAGATCTACTGACTGTGTAAACGTGTAGTATGTAGATCTACATGATTGTACTAATGAGCAAGAGCAGTATGATTGTAGTCTAGATTCCGTGCCATTTCAGCGCCCTCAACTCTGAAGTAACACGTTCGTTCAGCGCCAACCAGGTGAGCGCTAGCGTGACCTTCGAGTCCAGCGTTGTGAACATGATCATCGGACTTTAAAAACGTCTTTAGTCAAGTAAAGTTAGTGCCTGCTCCTATCCGAACGACGGAGCTCACACTTCCTACTTGACACTAAGTGTCTTGATCTTGACTGACTCACGATTGCGTTTTTTAATATATTTTTTTAATTTTTTTACAGAATGCACCTCCTACTGCACTGATAGACCATAACAAAGAGAGGAGAAGAAGAAGACAAAAATAATTAAAAAGAAAATAATGATCGAGACAACAAAGGAGAAAGACAGACAATGTACTAGTAGGGGCTCTCAGGGAGCCTGCGCCGGTGAGGCGGGACTAGCAACGCCGACCTAGGGTCTCGGCGTTAGCGCTATCCAGCGCACCATGGACAGGATTACGAAACACATGGAAATAGATAAGTGAGGGGGAGGTGTTTGGACCTGCTCGTTGTCCCGTCTATTTATGTTTGCCTTGGAAAGGACAGGAGTCGACTAAAGAAGTAAAGTTTGTAGTGCAGTCAAGTAACCCTTCTGCCCCTGCTGCCCCTGCTCACCGCATTACCCCACTGACACTGTTCAGGAGGTCGCACATGTCACTGACATGCATCCTCGTTTCGTGTTACATGTAGCTGTGACTTTCGTTAGGGTTCACACTTTTAAGTCACAGGCTTTGTCTTCACCTTCTTTCGCGCCTGCTGATGGAGTTCTTGGCATGCAAGTGTTATAGCTAGTCGTTTTCACGGCAGTAGTGAGTTGGCTAGAGTAGGCTGTATTGCTTAAGAGTTCGGTGAAAGGTTTCAAGCAATTGCGGCTTGGAGCCAGAGTTTTCTAACAGAGTTCTCTTGATAGTCGTGAGCTGGTCTTTTGTGTGGTTTGGGTGTGTGCCGAGGTAGGAGCACGCCTCTACAGAACATATTGGTAGCAGAGGATGGTTAATTAAGTCGAGTCGACCTCGTAAGTGCTGAACGTTCCACCTAAGCGCGGCTATGGAGTCTCCAGTCGAAGAGGACAAGGAGAAAGACAGCCAAGCCGCGGAGGACGGGACCGCCAGCACCGAGGAAGCAAACCACCTAGAAGAACCAGCGGCAGTAGAGAACAAGCGCGAGAAGCTTAGCGAGCTGCTCAGAGAAAAGATGGTGGCTAAAAAACACTTCACCAACGCGCGGCGGACACTTCTCGTGCGCCCCATGAATGGCGGAGTGCGAGGAGAGCAAGCTAACGACGAGCTAGCCGAGCTAAGCTCACATTATGACAACGCCACCAGTGCTATCTTGAACCTCGTTAGTCTGTACAGCTCAACCAACGAAGAGAAGCGTATTGAAGTAACGCTGCGGGAAGCGGAATTGCTCGAGGAACACACCACCACAACCGAGAGCATTTTGGAGGACGTACGTGGACAGGTACGCAGTTACGCGGAGGAAACTGACTACCTGGGCGTCTCACAGCGGCCCCACCCAGTCCAGGCTCGACGCGAACTAGCTTCGGAGGTCGGGTACGGATACAGCGGACCTGCCGCAAGCACTATGCCCAGTTGGGCTGGAGCCCGGAGCTACCTGCACGCGCACGGCAGAAGTTCAGTTGAGGCCCCGGAGTCTACTGCTGCACGTGGACTAGCGTACGACTACGGCGTACGAGCCGACGAGCCGGTCAGCCGGCGTAGAGCAAGTAACAGTTGCAGACCAGCACCGGGGAACGGAGTACGGTCTTGCTGAAGTCAGCGAAGACAAGTACAAGGCGGTCAGCGAAAGCGGACCGAAAGTCACCATGGGCACGGATGAGTTGCGACCAGAGGCGCCGTTGGTCCGCAGAGCGCTCACTCCGTCTAAGACCCAGGTCAGCGCGAGCAGAGCGGCAAGCGGCTCGCCTTTGTCCGCGGCTGCGGCGCAGGTTGGAGGGAGCGGCGCGCCAGCTGCTGCCGCTTTAGAGTCTGGCGCCACCACAGCGCGAACAGAGCGACACGCGGTCCGCCTTTGTCCGCGGCTGTTCCCCAGATGAGCGCGAGCAGCGCACCACATGCGTCAGATCCAGAGTCTGCACCAGTGCCTGCAACGCTATTCAGCGCAACCGGCAGGCCGCCTGGATCCGAGCCTGCAACGCTATTCAGCGCTATTGGCAGGCCGCCTGGATCCGGGCCTGTGCACCCGTCGGAAATTCAGACCAGCGCGGACAGCGCACAGCCTGTGACCTCTGCGCTAGCTGCAGGATCAGCGCCTTGGGGATTGATCAGCGCAAACAGCGCGAACGGCACTGGAGCGATCAGCATTACCAGCAACCTACCTGTGTCACCGGCTGAAACGTTAGCACTCCAGATTGCCAGCGCAAACGGAATGAGGCCAGAGATGCCTGCATCCCAGCAGACAGTCAGCGGAAGCAGCGCAATCGATAGGCTGCCTTGATCATCCGTACCTGCAACGCTATTCAGCGCAATCGGCAGGTCGCCTGGATCCGCTTCTGCCACGCTATTCCAGCAATCCGTTGACACCCGTCACACCACTACTCAGTCGCCAGTAATTACATCTGCGTCTCGGCAGTGGGCTGGCGCCAGTGGTGTGGTCGGTGTGCACACTGTGCCAGCAGCTAGTCTGTGGAGCCCGCCCGCTCCACAGGCCATGGGTTTGCAACCAGCAGGGTCGACTGCCGCACCAGTACCGGTGCCATCAGTAGCACCAGGCCAAACGCGGCATCAGCAGTCATCGGACGAAATATTCCGGCGGCTGAAACCCATACAAATTCCAACGTTCACAGGCAACAAGAGAGCCTATCGTGCCTGGAGAGCAGCCTTCATGGCTTGTGTTGGGCAGACAAGCTCAAGTCCGGAGGTGAAGCTGCTGCACCTGAAGCAGTATTTAGGTGGAGAGGCATTGGTCGCCATCGAGAGCCTAGGCTACTCGGCCCATGCCTACGAAGCCGCTGAAACCGTTTAGACAGGAAATTTGGTGGCGAGCAGAGACAGACAAACCTCCAATTTGAGGAAACCTCCAATTTGAGGAAATAGAGTCGTTCCCCGCCCTCCGGACAGGCCGGCCTGGAGACCTGCAGAGATTCGCCGATTTGCTGGATGTGCTGATAGTGAACATGGTGGATGCAGGCAAGGAATATGAGCTGGGCGATGGTCTTCTGTTCCGACAGCTGCAAAACAAGCTGCCGATGCCCATGCTGACCCAGTTTAACCGTTGGCGTCACAACAACACGAAACCCAGCAGTGTACCAACGCTGTTGGAATGGGTGACCCTGGAGGCAGAATTCGCTACTGGAGCAGCGGAGATGGCCCACGGAGTCAGTTCTGCGGATGGTCATCATGCAGCGGCGCTGCCGACTAAACCAGCCCCTGCAAGAAGTCGACCAACGTTCGGTGGCAGTTCCGGAGCCCACGCGTCGTCATTCTTGGTCTCTGGTCAGAGCGCTGCCAAAATCCAGTGTGCAGTATGTGATGCGCCCCATCACACATGGAGTTGTGATATCTTCAAGAGCGAGTCGCCCAGCAGGCGGTGGGAAACAGCAAAGAAGAAAGGCCTCTGCTATAGGTGCCTTGGCACTGGACATCGAGGGACATCCTGTACTAGAAACAGGAAGTGCGGGGTCAGTGGCTGCAGTCAGACACATCACCAGCTGCTTCATGATCGTCAACCGCAGCAGAAACGGAACCTGCCTGAAGCAGCCATGAGCAGTGATGTAGCATCGTCAAGCGCTCCCACAGCTTCAATCAGCACAAGAGGGGCAACAACACCTGCAATAGAGTCAGCCTCTATTAATTGCTCCATCCAAGCATGCAACATCACGGAAGGGGAGCCGGATCTGGGAGAAGATCAGGCACGTGGAGTACCTTCGGTCTCGTTACGCATCCTCTCGGTGTCGCTTGTGCATGAAGGAGAACGGGTACAGGTAACGCTATGTTGGACGATTGCAGCACTACCACCTACATAACCACTGCAGCTGCTGGGAAGTTGAGGGTGGCAGGAAGACCGCAGCAGGCATCAGTTTCTCTTCTGAGCGGGTTGACGGAAACATTCGTCACGACGCCGGTCAACATCACAGTGGAAAGCGCTGACGGAACATTCCAGTCCAAATTAACGGCGCTAACTATTGAAAGCATCGCAAGCAACTTGAAGGCTGTTGACTGGGCGAATGCGGCAGCGCAATGGGACCACCTGCGAGATGTTCCCTTCACGGCTCTCATCGAGGAATCAGTGGACCTTCTAATTGGCAGTGATCATAGTGAATTGCATTCTTGCTGGGAGGAAGTCAATTGCAAGCCGGGAGAACCGCTAGCTCGCAGAACGCCATTAGGTTGGACATGTATCGGAGCAGTATTAAACAATGATGATCGACCAACCCGCGCCAACAGCACCTACTGTAGCGTACAGCTGAACCGGCAACGGGAAGTTGATCAATGCGGTATCAGCCCTGAGCCCTCCTGGCACATGAAGGACCGCAGTGTGAAGCCTGAAGTTGAGCAGTCAATGCGGCAACTCGACGGGGCTGGGAACGAGATTCACCTTCAATGGAATGGCCAGAAATCAAAACTGCCCGACAATTACAGCATGGTATTCAGCGACTGCGTAGAGCCGGGCCCTAGGCTGCAGCGAGAGATACTGGAAGTGCTGCTCGGATTCCGGCGCGACTCGGTAACCATCGTTTGTGATATTCGGGAGATGTACCTTCAGATTCGAAATCACTCCGAGGACCAACCGTACTTGCGTTTCTTGTGGCGACCACCGGAGAGAAATACTCAACCGGACGTTCTTCATCCCGACACGCCACGAGGGCACTGGCCGTGGGGAAGAATTACGGCAGTCTTTCCTGGTCCAGATGGACATG